GATAGCATAAGAATGAATAAAGATAATAAGAGAAAGATATAGAGATGACGGCAAGACATAGGGTACATATAGATAGGAAAATGATAATAATAATGAGATAGAGATGACGGCAAGAAAGAGAGTATTACACTCATAGCATAATAATGAATAAAGATAATAAGAAAAAGATATACAGATGACGGCAAGACATAGGGTACATATAGATAGGAAAATGATAATAATAATAAGATAGAGATGACGGAAAGAAAGAGAGTAAACACTGATAGCATAAGAATGAATAAAGATAATAAAAGAAAGATATAAAGATGACGGCAAGACAGGATACATCTTTCTTTCATTAGTTTTATTCATTCTTATTCTATCACTGTCTACTCTCTTTCTTGCTGTCATCTCTAGCTCTTTCATTAATTTTTATTCATTCTTATTCTATCAGTCTACTCTCTTTCTTGCTGTCATCTCTATCTCTTTCTTTCATTATTTTTATTCATTCTTATTCTATCACTGTCTACTCTCTTTCTTGCTGTCATCTCTATCTCCTTCTTTCATTTTTTTTATTCATTCTTATTCTATCAGTCTACTCTCTTTCTTGCTGTCATCTCTAGCTCTTTCATTAATTTTTATTCATTCTTATTCTATCAGTCTACTCTCAGGGAACACTTTTATCACTAGAGTCTTCGTCACTGCTCGATTCGTCGGAATCAGAGTCCATGCTCCATGCTTCCATAGTAACAAGATCTCGAGCCTCCTCTACACTAAACACACGTTGACGTTTTCCAGCAGGTGCCATCGTAACATCAGTAAAAAAAATCCAAAGAAAACCGCTAAATACACGGTAATTTCGAATGTAACACTATGAAGAAAAACAGTTTACCGGAAAGTGTGCGATGTATACAATGTAAACAATAGTAAACGCAACGCGTGGCTACACACTGCGAGCGGTATTATGAATGTCTAATTGACTCGTATACATCTGTGCAAAAATGCGAAGTTGGCACGCCTACGTCCGTGCAAATCGGCGAACAAAGCAAACAAAGAGTTAAAACGAAATTGGGTTAATCGGAAAAACGACTGGGGCAGATTCACAATTTTACATATACATCAAAAAAAAAAAATTCGAATAAGAGCAAAGTAATTTTTCTATTTCATAAGTTCTAAATAAGTTATTATTGAGGTGCTTTTTATTATACATGTAGTTCAAATCAGAAAAATGACTCGACATTTAAGATGATTCAATCTTTTTCCTGGTACATTATAACATCGCATGCTAACAATGGCGATAGGGCTAGGTGCTATTATTTGCATTCAAAGTTTATTATTGTTTTCAGTAGAATGTATGCACCGGAGTGTTGGCTCATTCAGTAGAGCGTCCGCCTCACAACCGGGAGGTCGTGGGTTCGAACCCAGGCCGCGCCATACCAAAGGACGTTAAAAGATGGGAGTTGATGCTACCTTGTTTGGCGTTCAACAATAAGGGATAGAGCAACGTCGATCTGGCGCTGCTCAGTGGCTGCCGGGCTCACGATCAATTGGGCAAAAAGAATTCCCTTTTTCGGTTTAATAAAATTTGGAGTAGACTATTAGGCTATTATTAGGTGGTCTGTCAACGACAGATCACCTATTGATTTCGTTAGAATTTTCTTTCTTTATTCTTTCTTTATTCTTTATTCTTTATTTTTATTTCTTCCGTACACTTTTTTTTTCCACACGTTTACTCGAAATCAACATTGTCAATTGCCTTCAAATTTCTGTCAGTCATCAAGCCCTATGATTTCAAGTCAAATTAACTTTCTCAAGGTCACTAGGTCATCGTGACGTCATCCAGGCGCCATTTTGTAAAAGTCAGGTCATTATCATATCTCGATAACGAGTCATCAAAAATCAACCATATTTGGTATACATCAAATTCAGGTCAAAGGTCAACTAAAAATGTCAACAAATTCCGCGCGCGCACCTCGACGCGCACGTACGCGCGCATCAAAATTGTATAATGCTCCGAATCGTTTAAAATTAATTTTGCATACGTTTCAGGCCATTTTAAGCATTTTGCAAAAAAACGCGCACACGCGCATGCGCGCTCGTTTTCGCGCGTACATGCATTTTGCAACGTAGAATCGCCAATTTTTTCTGTCATCATATTTTGCACATTTTTTCAAGCATTTTGATACCTTGTTCACCTTTTTCTGACCATTAATAACGGAATGAGCGTCCGTTAAGATACGCATCCGTGCGTGCGAGCTCTTGTAATACATAACATACATGTGCAAAAACATGCCTATACAAAATTCATTGTAACTCTTCAGAATGGACAGATACCCCCAATTTTCTTTCATATTTAGATAGATTATGAGTCGGAGATATGATTTCATGTTTCATTTGACCCTCAATTAACTCATGACGTCATCATAATGGCCTCCGAACTCAAAATTTCAATTTTCATATTATGACGTCAGCAGATTTTTGGAAAATTGATTGTATCTCTGCAAATGTTGATCAATTTTCTTTCAAATTTTGATATGTTCTACCTTAGAATATTCTCTAAAAATGCAGTCCACACGATATTTCATTTTGACAAAGGCATCATCGCGTATTTTTGCGATTAAAGGAGGCATATCAATTTTTCACATTTTGCGTGTATTCTCTATGGGACATTACTTTTTCTCAAAACTGGATTTTACATTTTCGTCTTTCGCGAGCAATATCTCCGTCGTTTTATCTTTGTTTACGCTGAGCTTTGAGTATGTTGTAGCTGAGACAATAAGCTATCACAAGTGTGTCCTTTATTTTTCGATCAGATGCCGGGATCATGCTCATATTTCACTTACAAAGTGGGATTTGAGTTTTCCATTTTTCGTTTACGTGTAATCTCTATGGGGAATGTTTTGGTATATCGGTAACGCACTTGACTTCCGACCTCGAGGTCCCTGGTTCGAGTCCGGGCGTCTCCAACAATTTTTTTTCTTCACTTTTTTTTCTTTTTGACCTTTCACTGTACCATCTCCTTTGAATATTAAAACACGTACAATCGCAAATAATGTAATTAACAACCATTTTTACTTTATTATTACCCTATTATCACTTGATCCATTACTTTTTGCGTGTAATCCTTATGGGAGATGACTTTTTCTCAAATCTGGATTCTACATTCTTGTCTTTTGCGAGAAATATGGCCGTTATTTTGGCTTGATTTTTGTTGATTTTGGGGTATGTTGTAGCTGAGACTATATACTATCTAAATGTTCTCTCATTTTTTTCAGTGTGATGTCATCATGGTCTGTTGATGATAATCATCAACATCATCATCATCATCATCGTCATCACCATTACTATCAAGATCATCATCATCTTGATCATCACGATGATCATCATTGTTTACATGTCTATATAACTTCTCCCTTTCTCAATATAGTAAATATTATAATCTATCATAAGACTTGAAGACAGACCACCTTATTCGTCTTCGTGACGAATTAAATTTCTAGTTATTATTATTATTATTATTATTATTGTTTCAATATGGTTTAAAAAAGGAAGCACTGACGTTGCTTTAAAATAGAAAAATATACTCGTAGTCATAGTAATTAAAAGGTTATTCACTGCATGTAATATTATACAAATAATACACAGCAGTGAAGGAACTAGTAAGAATTACCCACACAAGGTACCTTTAGAACAGTCTAACAGGCCCTAGGCTCGAGCCGATGGTGTTTTGACTGTTTCGAAGGTACCGAGGGTGGGTAATTTTTGCTAATGCACGAACAAAATGATATATATTATTTGTTTTATAACACGATGTTTTATTTTATTTTTTTCAAATGATTCTTTATCACATGATTTAACTAATGACCGGCCATGAGTATCTATTATATACCTCACTTAAGAAATCCAGCCATCTGATTGGTCGAATTGCATTCATAAACTTCAACTGTTCCTGTAAAATTCCCGGTAACCATGCTTAAAACATTTCAATATTTTTAATAACCATGGTTATTAAAAAAATAGGCCAGTCTCCATGGTTACCCCATAGGTTTACATGTTAAAAAATGGTTTGAGCGATGGAGGATACCATACGTGTGCGAAAAATTGGTCGGCAATTTCAATACAATTGAATCTCGATCGATCTTACCGACAATTTTATCTTGCATTGTTGACATGAAGACGAAAATAAACTCTCAAAAACAAAAAAACAACATCTGCCGATAGATATTGATCTAAGTTCGTGCCAATATGCATTGCAAAAGTAAAAGAAGGGTCCGTTTCATGGAGCTTTTGCGAAGCATCCCTCACGCGGAGCCGTTTTCAATTCATTTTAATGTATATAATGGAGAAAACTGCCAAACATGTTAACGGCGCGCGATAGCCGAGTGGTCTAAGCTGTGGTTTAAGATACACCTCTTGTTGTACGCAAGACTTCGAATCCCGTCTTCGACAAAAATGTAAATTATTTTTTATTTTTTATTTTTTAGTCTATTTTTTTTCGGCATATAAAAGTATTAATGACTGCTTTAATATTCGAGAAATAGTTGTTTTCATACGCTCTCGGGAAGGTTACAATTGGGCTATTCCCCTCGGCAAGCCTCGGGGAATAGCACAATTCTAACCTTCCCTTGAGCGTAATAAAACAACTATTTCTCTCAAAGCAGTCATTAATACTATACTAATGACTGGCCAGTAGTAAAATTACGTTTTAGGCGAACTAAATACCTGGTTAAGTGGACGCTCTTAACCAACCATTTGATTAGGATCCGATTCATTATTTTATAATATGTAAGGTTCTATTATCTATGTTCTGGGGATTTTTATTGTTATTTATTTTATTTTATTCGGGGGGGGGGGGATTTTGTTTCGCATTTTGTAGTAGGCTGAGAGAAATGATTGCATTACTTTAAGAAAATACATACTCACCATTTATCGGCTCAGGAGGTTCTTTTGTCTGTAATAGTTTGGTATGATGAGTTCTAGATGAGCCGGGTTCATGGCGTGTCGTTACAACATGGGTTGGGTTAGAGTTCATCTTCTTTTGTGTTGTCGAGAACAAGATAGTTGTAGCCTCCGTAGCTAGGATAGTTCCAGGATGAGGTGGCAATGTTTCTTTGTGAGTCGATAAAATGCTTGACAATGTAGTAGATTCTGACGTGAGTGTGGTATCTTTAGACGCAGAGTCGAGAGTTGTAGGATTCCATTCTGGTGAAGTGGTATATTGTGTATGTTTATTTTCTGTTGTGGGTTTCGGTGTTGCATCCGTTGTAGTTATCAATTCTGTTGTAATGCTATCTGTCAATGTTTTCTGTTCTGATGTAAGGATATATGTTGTAGGTTTATGTTCTTTTGTAATTATATTTGTAGTGGGTTTCAGTGGTGTCGTTGTAATATCTTTTGCAGGGATATCTGTTGTGGGTGTTTGTTCTGTTTTAATAATATCTGGTGTGGATGTCCGTTCTATCATAACAATGTATGTTGTGGATATCTGTTCTCTTGTAACGGTATCTGTTGTAAATTTCTCGTCTGTTGTAATAACATATGGTGTGGGTGTATGTTCTATTGTAAAGATATTTCCTGTGGGTTTCTGTCTTGTCGTTAGAAACTCAGTTCTGTGTTTCATTGTTGTTGAGGTAATATCTGTTGTGGGTGTTTGTTCTGTTGTAATCAAAACTGCTGTGGGGGTCTGTGTTGTTGTGATATCTCGTGTGGGTGTTTGTTCTGTTGTAATGAAATATGTCTTAGATGCTTGTTCTGTTTTAATAATATCTGGTGTGGATGTCCGTCCTATTGTACCGATATATGTTGTGGGTTTCTGTTCTGGTGTAATGATACCAGATGTAAGTTTCTTGTCTGTTGTAATAACATCTGTTGTGGGTTTCTGTTCTATTGTAATGATATTTCCTGTGGGTTTCTGTCTTGTCGTTGAAAACTCAGTTCTGTGTTTCATTGTGTTGTTGTGATATCTCTTGTGGGTGTTTGTTCTGTTGTAATGAAATATGTCTTAGATGCTTGTTCTGTTTTAATAATATCTGGTGTGGATGTCCGTCCTATTGTACCGATATATGTTGTGGGTTTCTGTTCTGGTGTAATGATACCAGATGTAAGTTTCTTGTCTGTTGTAATAACATCTGTTGTGTGTTTCTGTTCTATTGTAATGATATTTCCTGTGGGTTTCTGTCTTGTCGTTGAAAACTCAGTTCTGTGTTTCATTGTTGTTGAGGTAATATCTGATGTGGGTGTTTGTTCTGTTGTAATCAAATCTTTCGTGGGTGCTTCTTCTGTTGTGAATGTCTGTTCTTTTGTAAAAAATTCTGTTGTGGGTTTATGTGTTGTTGTGATATCTGATGTGAGTAGTTTTTCTGTTGTAATGAAATATGTCGTAGATGCTAGTTCTGTTGTAATAATATCTGTTGTGGGTGTTTGTTCTGTTGTAATAAAATCTTTCGTGGGTGCTTCTTCTGTTGTGAATGTCTGTTCTTTTGTAAAAAATTCTGTTGTGGGTTTATGTGTTGTTGTGATATCTGATGTGGGTAGTTTTTCTGTTGTAATGAAATCTGTCGTAGATGCTAGTTCTGTTGTAATAATATCTGTTGTGGATGTCAGTCCTGTTGTACCGATATCTGTTGTGGGTTTATGTGTTGTTTTAATATCTGATGTGGATTTTTGTTCTGTTGTCATGATATATGTTGTAAGTTTCTCGTCTTTTGTAATAACATTTGTTGTCGGTTTCTGTTTTATTGTAATGATACTTGTTGTGGGTTTTTGTGTTGTTGCAGTAATATCTGTGGGTGTTAGTTCTGTTGTAATGATATCTGATGCGGATTTCTGTGTTGTTGTGATATCTGCTGTAATGAAATCTGTGATGAGTGCTTGTTCTGTTGTAAAAATATCTGCTGTGGGTGTCCAGCCTGTTGTAACGATATCTGATGTGGATTTCTGTGTTGTTGTGATATCTGCTGTGGATGTTTGTTCTGCTGTAATGAAATCTGTGATGAGTGTTTCTTCTGTTGTAAAAATGTCTGCTGTGGGTGTCCGTCCTGATGTAACGATATCTGATGTGGATTTCTGTGTTGTTGTGATATCTGCTGTGGGTGTTTGTTCTGCTGTAATGAAATCTGTGATGAGTGCTTCTTCTGTTGTAAAAATATCTGCTGTGGGTGTCCGTCCTGTTGTAATGATATCTGATGTGGGTTTCTGTGTTGTTGTGATATCTGCTGTGGATTTTTGTTCTGCTGTAATGAAATCTGTGATGAGTGCTTCTTCTGTTGTAAAAATATCTGTTGTGGGTGTCTGTCCTGTTGTAATGATATCTGATGTGGATTTTTGTGTTGTTGTGATATCTGCTGTGGGTGTTTGTTCTGCTGTAATGAAATGTGTGACGAGTGCTTCTTCTGTTGTAAAAATATATGTTGAGGATGTCTGTTCTTTTGTAACGATATCTGATGTGGGTTTCTGTGTTGTTGTGATATCTGCTGTAATGAAATCTGTGATGAGTGCCCCTTCTGTTGTAAAAATATCTGCTGTGGGTGTCGGTCCTGTTGTAACGATATCTAATGTGAATTTTTGTGTTGTTGTGATATCTGCTGTGGGTGTTTGTTCTGCTGTAAGGAAATATGTGATGAGTGCTTGTTCTGTTGTAAAACTATCTGTTGTGGGTATCCAGCCTGTTGTAACGATATCTGATGTGGATTTCTGTGTTGTTGCGATATCTGCTGTGGATGTTTGTTCTGCTGTAATGAAATCCGTGATGAGTGCTTCTTCTGTTGTAAAAATATCTGCTGTGGGTGTCCGTCCTGATGTAACGATATCTGATGTGGATTTCGGGGTGCCAGGTAAAAATGTCAGAGGTAAAAATGTCAGAGATAAAAATGTCAGAGGAAAAAATGTCAGAGGTAAAAATGTCAGAGGAAAAAATGTCAGAGGTAAAAATGTCAGAGGAAAAAATGTCAGAGGTAAAAATGTCAGAGGAAAAAATGTCAGAGGTAAAAATGTCAGAGGTAAAAATGTCAGAGGAAAAAAATGTCAGAGGTAAAAATTTCAGAGGTACAAGCAAAACAAATGAGTGCCGTCATAATATCTCAGCACTTTTATCACTCAGAATGTTGAGACGTACAGCTACTGCATGGGCTAGTCTATTATATTCCTTTCTAAATGGCTGTGTGTTGTATATCGTACATGTCCTGAGGATAATATAATGTGGAAAATAGATTTTGAATTTTTTTTTTGTGTGGAAGCAATCAGAGAAGCTTAATTTTCTAGCATAAACATGTAAGTATTGGTGTGTAGTGCAAGGTTTTGGAGTCATCACAATGATAAAAACATTTGGCCCAGTCTTGGTAAAGTAACAAGCACTGTACACAGAAAGATATTGATATGGGCCTACACAAACATATGGCATACAAATCGGGCAGGCATACAAAGATGTTACTTGTCATATCTGGGATATGAAGTCATTTGAAATATATTTTCAGGGAATAACTTTTTTCTTTGATGTTCTTCCACACTTGCATTGAACGTTCAGAAATTATTGTTCACCTTTCCCCAGAACTCAACCTTCTCTTTAATTGATGTAACATGGGCGGCTTTCTGCTTTGTATCGGAGTAACAAAGCTGCTTATTGATTTTCTCCCAGACTATTTTATACCGCAATAGTAATCGACAATATTTTATTGCAACGCGCGCACTTCGGGAATGTGATGGTGCGGTTAGCATTGATAACATGGCTCTCTGCTTTGTTTCAGAGTATCAAAATACCAAGCCCACAAGAAAGTGGAATTGTCGGAAATATGCATTTATTGGAAATTACATATAATAGTAGACATTGCCATGCAGTTAAAATGTCCAACAATCTTCAAATATGAAGGAGAAGTGGGAGGGGGAAGGTTCATAGATATCTGATCCTATTTTGGGGACTGTACTGACTTTTCTTTTTATTTAATGATTACACCATGGAGCGACAACTCAGCCTATAAAACATGGCCAAACTTCTCGATTTTAGAAATCTTTTTCCCAAGAAGTTTGCTCAGTGTACCAGTACCATTTGCTTATACAAAAGCATAATATACCGGTATATAAATATTGAATAAGGCAGACTAATGGGACATGCATGGTTGCTACTCCGAGTTTCACGCCTTGCAAGCGATCATCAGACAACTGATAGTATTCTTACATGATTCCTCTTACAACCTTGGTACAAATACGCTCAAAATAAGACGTAACTAATACAATACAATAATACAGCGGTGAAATAACGACTGCAGAATATCCCTCGCTGTTCTTTTTCGATAAGCCTGATATATAACCCGGGTGTAAACATAACAAACTTGTCACATGCTTTTGTTCTTATTTTATACCTCTAACATTTTTAACTCTCGACATTTTTACCTCTGACATTTTTACCTCTGACATTTTTTCCTCTGACATTTTTACCTCTGACATTTTAACCTCTGACATTTTTACCTCTGACATTTTTTCCTCTGACATTTTTTCCTCTGACATTTTTACCTCTGACATTTTTACCTCTGACATTTTTACCTCTGACATATTTACCTCTGACATTTTTTCCTCTGACATTTTTACCTCTGACATTTTTACACCGAGCCGATTTCTGTGTTGTTGTGATATCTGCTGTGGATGTTTGTTCTGCTGTAATGAAATCTGTGATGAGTGCTTCTCCTGTTGTAAAAATATCTGCTGTGGGTGTCCGTCCTGTTGTAATGATATCTGATGTGGATTTTTGTGTTGTTGTGATATCTGCTGTGGGTGTTTGTTCTGCTGTAATGAAATATGTGATGAGTGCTTGTTCTGTTGTAAAAATATCTGTTGTAAGTTTCTCGTCTGTTGTAACGATATCTGATGTGGATTTCTGTGTTGTTGTGATATCTGCTGTGGGTGTTTGTTCTACTGTAATGAAATCTGTGATGAGTGCTTGTTCTGTTGTAAAAATATATGTTGTAAGTTTCTCGTCTGTTGTAACGATATCTGCTGTGGGTGTCTGTTCTGCTGTAATGAAATCTGTGATGAGAGCTTGTTCTGTTGAGGATGGCGTAACTTCTGACGTCAACTCTCCAGTGGCCATATCATTTGATGTAGAAGCTGGAGCCTCCGTCGTAAAAAGATACGTGAGGTCATCAGTTACATAAGTCGGAGAAGTTGAGAAAGGAGTGGTTGGGGTTAAGGATATTCCGTCTGTAACACGTATTGTTTTTAAGTTTGTTTGGAATGGAAGAGACACTTCTTCCGTTGCATATTCGGTTGTACTGGTATCTTTTTCTAAAGTTGAAGGCTGTTGATTTGTTACAGATATGGATGATCCAGAAGTTGCCTCACTCAGTGCTTCTGTTTCCTGGCCATTATCTGTCAACAAGGAGGTTTTATCAGCAATAGTTGTAGAAGAGTGCCTAGTTTTATATTTCGAAGTCATGTCTAATGTCTCCGATGTCGGCGATGTAAGGGTACTAGTTGCATCGCTTGTCATAGCATTAACGAGTGTTGTTCCATCATATTGTTTCGTTGAAGTCGAGATATCATTCGGAAGCTCTTGCGACGTAACTGCCTCGGTTCGTGTTGTAGACGATTTTAGCACGCTATCAGTGGGTGTCTTGGGGTCTCCAGTCGTTTGGGTAAAATGAGAAGTATCATATGTGAGAAGACCTTCGGTTGTTAACGGTAAGCTGCTTTCCGTCCATTGCTGGCTAGTCTGCAGATCTGTAGGGTAAACATCTGTGATTGCAATAGTATTCGTTCCAAGCTCGGTAAGTTGAGGCAGGCTTGTGGAATCTCTAAATTGGGAACTTGATACTCCTAATGACGTTTCACTCTCTATTGTGTGAATATCCGTGGCTCTTGACGGAAAGCTACTTTGTTTGTTTGTCGGAAAGCTGGCTGTGGTGACAGTTTCGGTCATTGCAAAAGTTTCGAGTTCGGTAATTTGAGGCAGGCTAGTTGATTCTGTAGTTTTGTAACGTGTATTTGGTGTTGACGTTTTAGTCTTTTCCGTGGGGATGTCCCCGGTTGTTGAGAGTACAAGTTCCGTGATTGGTGGCAAGCTTGTAAAATCTGTACTTTTCGAACGTGTCGTTTTTAATGAAGGAACGGGTGTTTTTGGCATACTCTCTGTTCGCTTCGTAGTTTTGCTGTCTTTCGTGGTAATATCTCCGGTTGTTAAGGGGAAATTAGTTATTGACGTTTGTTCGATTGTCGAAAAAATGGTTGTGGGGAAATCTTCAGTCATTGTGATTGTTTGCGTTACAAGTTTGGTGGACTGTGGAAGGTTTGTGATATCTGGTGTTTTTGAATATGTAGGTGAGGTTACACTGTATGTTGTAGGTTCTGTTGTCACTTGCTTTGTTCGACTTTCAGCTGTAGAAGGTGACGTCAAACCCTCAGAATAGAAGTCGGATGATGTCATTCTCAAGGAAGAATACATTTCGCCTGTAGTCAGCTCTCGAACATCCGTTGTGTACAATCGAGTCTCAGTCATTATTGTGACGTCGAACGTAGAGTCTGAAGGTGTTTCATGGGTAGATGAGAGAACACTGTTTATTGGATCATGGGTGCTAGTTCGATGTGTGGAAGATGTCTCAAAGGTTTCGGTCGCTAGATCCGTTTGCGTTCCGCGTTCTGTTAAAACAGTTAAATAAGTCAAATCTGTTCTTTGGCTACGTGGAGTTTGTACTGGAGGATTTGCCGTTGTCTTTTCCGTTCCAGTCACATATTCCGTTTGCTTAGACGTCATCAAATCTTCGATTGTTGTATACATGATCGTATCTGTCGTGCTTCTCTCTGCTGTAGAAATTCCAGAATCCGTATGCAATGTGGTCAAGTGTGTTTTATCTTTCGTTGACATGCTGTTAGTGGTATACTCTGACAAGAAATCTGTTGTAGAAGGTTGACTATCTGTAATGATTGTTGTGTAAATGCTCGTATATGTCTCTGTGGATGTAAATGAATTCGGCTGTGTACTTTCTGCCAAAGGTTCGCTGACAATAGTAGTGGTATATGTAGAGGTAGTTATAACATCTGCAACTGAAAAACATTATTAAAAGGCGTCATTGGTGACTGACGTTAATGTAGGTACTGACTCACAAAGTTCATCTTATTGTCTTAATACAGGTTTCCGGCAGTGCATGGTAAGCAGGGCCAACATTTCTAAAATAGTGGAAATCTGAGGACATAATACATCACGACACTAGCTTGTACATACCATCACATATTTCGGTAGATATATCTGGTAACCATATGCCCCCATAGCAAACAGAGACCTGTGATACATAAGGTATGGTCTTGTTACAGTAGAAATATACCCTATCAAGATTCTTGTAACCACGCAGTTGATGGGGTTCTAGGTAGGCACTCTGTTTTCCAAGATCTGGATATGAGCAATCTTTAAAAAAAGAGAAAATACGAGGTATTCGATTTCGCTCAATCTTAAATTTTACCAGCTGCCATGTCTCAAAGTCCTACTATTTTTGAGGTATATCAGATTTTCACTGAGCAGGCAGTATGTGTAGTGTGTTTGAAAAGCTTATATTTGTTTCCCATTATTTTACTGTTTATAGAATTGTATTAAAGTAGTCCAAACATAGCCACTAGTTTCACATTTCCTTTCCAAAATAACAATTTTTCTAAAATATACATAATTCACAATATCTACATGGCAGTTATATTTAAAATATAAGCCAATCAAAGATATATGGTGTCGCGGCTTAGTGGTTCATTTACTTGACTCTCAAACAGAGGATACATGATTAAAAACTCAGCTTGGAACTAACGTCCCTTGTCACATTCCACCAAGGTTTCAATGGGTATGGGACAAATGCTAGGATAATGGTTAATGCAAGGCCCCGCCGCTGACGACACTTCCATGTGTAAACAAAATCATTATAATTTATATTGGTAGGTTATGATAATTTGTAAAAGAAAAGTCTTACCAGGTACTCCAAAAGTCGTCATACTCGTAGTGACTAACTTCTCTGTCGTTGCCTTAGCAGTTGTCTCAGAAGGAACTATGATGAAACAAAGCAATAAATCATCAAGTCGCTGTCACCATTTATTTATTTATTCATGATTTCATGATTTCTTTCAACAGGATAGTTTCATTCAGTTCTACTTGAAGACAGTGGATCTGCTTTTTAAAGAAAGCCCTTACCCCCCCCCCCCCCTTTGCTTGCTATGAGTGCTGGTCGGCTCGACAATGGGAAACAAACAAGGTTAAAGCAATGTAGTGTCATTTTTACATGTAATAAAGCATCTGCGTTGTTATTGAGTTCTTGAGCTACATATTAGAACAAAATTGCTATATTGTTACCCATGAAATCTCAAATATATATTTATTTCAACTCTCATTTCAGAACGACAATGTGGTAAGAAGAAAACTATAATAAATAACATTATGGATGTAATAATCTGACATAATAAGGACGATCTGGTTCTGCTTTAACTTGCTAGACCCAAAGTATGGTTCATCATAAACATGATTTCAAATGTGATAACCATCGGCATGTTTATAGTCTCGAATCTACATTCTCACTTGGTTTACAGTGTGTACTTTCTGAAAACCAAATGGCTATCTAATCTTTCTATTCAACTTAAATATTGAACTTTACATATATTTGTAAAACAATCATGCACTCTTTGAAGAAGAAAAAGAGCTCAAACTCTACAAAGACACCATCACGTTTCTGTCTCTAACAAGGTCAAGTAATGTTGCCTATATAAAAGGTGTTTTCTTTCATCTTCACTTTCGGTAACGAGCTTTTATATATATAGTGGTGATTATTTTACCTGACAGCTAAGAAAGCAATAAATGCTTGTTAGTAAGTAACGAGAAGACCGACGGCTTAAGGTCCTCTCTGAGGGACCTGGTAATGAGGATTAATGCCTTACCAAAGGGCACTAGCGCATCGACTTGGTTTCGAACCCAGGTCACCGGATAACGAAACCAGTGCTCTATCGACTGAGCTATCGCGCTTCCTCTACTGAGCTAACAAATGAAATAACAGTGAAAACGATCTTATAATTGATTTCTTTTCATACGTAACACTAAATTACTTACATTTGAAGATAGGAAAATTGCTATTAAGACTTCCCTGATCGATGAATATGAAGAAAAACTTACTTGAACAAATAACATCATCTGACCATTCCCCATCTCTACAGGTTGCGGAGGTGATACCATTTGAAACTGTGCCATCGATACAACCCGTAAAGAAAATAGTGGAACCGTGTTTGTTAACTAAGGGCTTAACCGGCAATACATTGGCTGGGGCGAAGCATTTATCTACAGAATGAAGAAAAAAAATTCTGATCTCCGAGTTTTGATCTGAAATAGGCTTTAATTGAAAACTTACATGTTTACTCAAATTTGATGAAAACTTTAACATGCCTTTTCACGTTTTTTATAGGCGGCCATGCAGCTAAATATTCTTGAAACTACTATTTAAAAAAAAAATCCTTTCAGGAAAAAGGTAAAGCCTTAATTACAGATTAAAATCATATAATTGAAACAAATCAGGCAATATCAATATGATATGCTACAATATATTTCTTTGTTTTAACGACTTTCATTTTTATCTCTGACAAAACTAAGAACTAAAATATAATCTGAGCAAATATTTAATAATGACATTACCTCTGCAAATTGGCACCTCAGGTGGATCCCATATTCCATCCTTGCATTTTGCTGTTTTAGTTCCTTCGAAAACACCTTTATTTTGTACACACTTGTATCTGATATTTGTCCCGTGAATGTATTGAACAGTCTCGGATATCTTCGTTGCTTTATCGAAGTGTTGTACATCAGAGTCCACGGCGGGAACGGGACAAGGGGCTGAAAGTTTGAAATCAGTAACAACAATGATAATATTGATTTGCAGGAAACCGTTATTGCATTCTTTTAAACTTGCCACCTTGATTGTTGGAAGCTCATAATAATAGGAATAAAATGTCGTGTACCTACGGAAGCCTCATCAATATCAATGCTGTTCTTCCTGTTTGCCCTGCAACTATTATTTCCCCATCAATTGTTAAATACCTTTTTACACACAATTATGTGGAGTGTGAAAATGTAGTTTAATATTGTCAAAGAACGTTAGTACTGGACTGGGATCCGAACCCTTATTCCTAGAAATGAGAATCAAATGAATGGACCATTCAAATACGACATATCAACTTGATTTGATTTATTCTTCCACTCAAATATCCACAAATTAAAATGAGATAAATAAACCATACAGTGTGACAATATAGGATAGAACACATGAATTATACAAATAACGAAATACTGATACGTATGTGCGTAATAAAATTAGTTTACAGGGTCGATTCAGTTTGAGAATGAGACAAACATATTTAATATTGTTTAATCTAACTGAGAGGGGAAAAGAGGGAATCTCAGAAAAGCTAGGCTTACTGAGCGAGATTCCCAGTATAAATTAAGTACTAGACATTGTGTATTTTTGGAAATAGAGTAATGTAATTCACTTATGCTTGTCAATATTCTCCAGCTGTCAGCAAAAAGCCTTAAAAGGAATGTATCATACATATTGCCAATGGAAGTAACGGTCTTCGTGCCATCAACTGTCGATTTGCAAGGTTGAGTAGTAATTTCAAAAGAGTTTATCTGAAGAGTACAAATCATTGATTTCAGTTTTGGTTATAGAGAACGCTGTAAATTTGACAAAACCACACCGGTAATACTCTTCGCATCGCTATAACTTACCACGACATGCAGTTTCTGACGGGTCGGGATTCCACACACCAAGATAACATAAACTCGTATAGTATCCATCGTGTATGTAGGATGGTTCACATTGTACTGACAGTATCGAAATCTCATCGTATTTAGCCTGTTCAGGCTCCACATACATCCCGCGCACAGTGATTATCGGTGGTGTACAGACTGCATTGAAGACAAAAGTAGAATATTTATTAAAATATAAAGAGGAAGAACGAGCTGCTGGAATATTCAGGGAGAAAAAGGAAGAACAAATGATAATGAAGAGAGTATTGTGGAAAAAAGAGACAGAATGACATCAAGAAAGCTAGTCATAAAGGATTTTAAAGAAAGAGAATGAGAAAGAGAGATGAACAGACAGACGGACAGACAGACAGACAGATGATGGGAAATGAGGTAAGGATAAATGATTAACTTGAAGTTGTGAAGTGAACAAAGTAACTGCATATTCTCAGTAAATAGAATTCTTATATTCATAGTTTATTCCATGTTTGTTTTTAGATACAATAATTTATTTTCATGTTGACATTGTATGCAATAACTTTGGCGAAATTTATTGTTGCCACTATATTTCTCATTCCTTTTACCCTTTGTTAACGGACACTTGAGAACTGTCCTACATGATTTAAATGTAATCAATAATGTTTCAAGTGAATTTTTGCGAGTGTCTTTTACAAATTGATCCAGTTGACTATTGAATTATAATATTCCTAAAAGGTACTATGTCCCGTTTGCAGGCCACATAAAATGAAAAAGTTAAATTCCAACGGCATCTGGAAGATAATACCAAATTTAGAACTTTCCTCAAAACGAAAGGGCTTGAAAGTGTCTTTTAATGGAAAAATAACAAGCATTAATTGTCGAGTCGATTTTAGTGATTGCAATAATTTTAGTAATAGTTTGATTTTCAGACCCTTGTACCGAATGTTCGTACGTTTTGTGCTGCGCGAAGATTCAATCTCGCTAATGTTGGCCATTACAAGAGGTGAACTATTGATGTAGACAAATGCTCATGTATTATGATAATATTCCGCTTTTATTTAGCGCTTAATACAAATGTCTAAGCGCTTTACAGATACACTATAACCCCCAAAACAGCTCATTTCATGCATGTTATTACCAAATAAATACAGTTAGTCAGTCACTCAATAGTCTGACAAGGACGTTTAGAAAGTAAACTGGTTTTCTTGCATGATTTGAATAATAGGACACTGCTAACGTTTTACATTTTACAGGTAGGACATGCGTGACATCTTCATAGTTCCTGCAAAGTTTACCAGAATTTGATATTGGCTGTAAATGGGACATAGTACCTTTAAAGCTTTTATACAGGAGTCATCCAGTTCCAGTAGGCAAGTAATTTATATAAATAATGTTGTCATTAAAAGAATTAGTAACGTTCACATTATATTTCAGAGTAAGAAAACAATTTGTTCTCAATCAATAAAAATAAATAAAAATGAACAAGTGCATTTAAAAAAAAGTTATCTCACTTACCAGAATTGACTCGCAGAACATGCCATACCAGTGAGAATAAAATGAACCAACTCATTGTACAACGTTTGCATTGATACAAGAATAAGATCAGAATTGACGTTCTTTTGCATTCCTTTTTGAGCCAAAAGATAGAGTATAACTGTTTAACGATGATAGGTGATGGTTGAGAGATATTCCGAAATAATTTCACTTGAATAGGTATTCTTTGGGTGGGACGGTCTAATAGTAAATATTCTAAACGCCAATAGATGTTTGATTGTTACACTGTTTATACGTGTGTCCCTAACAACTGACCAGATACACTTGAAAGCTTCAAGAGCTCTCTATTGGACACTTATCTACTTATATACCACACCACACAAAGGAAATATGACTTCAAGTGCAGAATAAACTATATGCACATGTCATCCATTATATTTGACTTCTGGTTAAATATAGCTATCACAAAGTACAACAAAGAGTCAGTTTAAAATAATTATGAAACATGATGATATACAAGATTTATATATAATATACAAGATTAATATTCGGTGTGAAGAAAAAAAGTTGTATCATTTCGAATTTCATCTGCTTTGTAAATTCAAGCAAAGCATGAAGTATTTTGTGTTCGAAACCAGCGAAATTGCGCTGTAACTGTCCTCAGATTCGTCATATTTGTAATAAATCCAATAATCCCGTAATTTCCGAAATAGCATTCGATGCCATAAATCTCATATTATATGGAATTCTAAGAAATAAGATGGATTTAGCTTTTTTTATATTTTGTTTACATATAACATTTATATGACATCTTAGCACTAAACGTAAAGTAAAGTTATGAAAGAGCAAAGTCATCCAAGCATAACATTCCTTTAGGTTACGTACTGCTGTGTGCATACTCTTTTGCAGCGTCCATTACTTTAATAAAACAAACGATGAAGCGGATCCTAATCAAATGATTGGCTGAGAATGTACACGTGACCAGGCATTTATTTTGCCAAACACGTAATTTTACTAATGACCGGTCATTAGTTAATACTTATGACCGATCATTAGTAAAATCATGTAATAAAACATCATTTCATTAAAAAACTTCATTTGATAAAACAAATAATATCCATCATTTTGTTCAGGTTTAGTAAAATTACCCACACTCGGTACCTTCGAAACAGTCCAAACATCCTCGGCTATCGCCTCGGGCGTCGTTAACCTGTTCCAAAGGTACCTTGTCTAGGTATTTCCTATTGAAGCCCTCCCTGCTGTTTATCATATTTAATCATAGTAGCTGCTTGTCAAAGATTGATGACATACACTGATTGACAAGCGGTGTATTTGATCGCGTAATACAGGTAGGAGTGACACGTGTTGTTAAGTCTATAACTGACTTTAAATGTTCTGTGTGATCCATTCATTCAAAATGTATTTGTGTAATACTACAAATAGACGTTCCATATGTGATTGATACTCTTCAGGCTCTTTAGGTTACAACCATGCAGATTTTGAATTAGTTGGCTACAAAGCACTTTTTCTTACAAAACGCACACGCAGCCACAACAAAATGTCCCTTTTCTGACATAATATGACGTTGAGCATTGTCGATTTTTTTCTCTCTTGATATCCTAGAATATTGTATTTAGGTCGAAAACGAATACAATTTCGCTAATTTCAATGACTTCTAAATTAAGTTAACTAATGACACGAGTGTCACAAGGTAATAACAAGTCTACCAAGACTTCATTTTTAAACGTTTCTACGTTTGTTGTAAACAACATTTCCCCAGAATTTACATCATCTTTGGTATCCACGGACTTCTAAAACAGTCAACATATTGAATTTAGCTTTCGCAAAGATATAGTTAAAACGAAAATACAACATGTAGAAAGCGAGAGATAAAAATCCTCATATAATCATCTGTCTTGAAGTTTCAGTCCACTCACCACAGTATCGGATCCTCCTTCCAAATCTAAATCTGGTGAAGACTGGTAAAAGAAAAAGAGGGCGGAAAGAAGAAGGAAAAAGAAGCAATAGAAAAACAAAATGAGGAAGAAAAAGAGAAGATGAAATAGAAAAGAAGGGTAGAATAAGATAAAAGAAGAAAGTTTGACCAGAAATATGGAGAAGAGGGGATACAAACACACTTTTAAAATAGTAATACCAACAATGTAAATGTTCATGTTATTCAAAGAGATACCTTCTTTGAGCTTTTACTTAGTAAATTTGTTGGCGTTTTTATAAGTCCTTTTCCGAAAATGTGCGATTTTAGGAATATCAATATTGATTCGATTCATAGCGATACTTTTTATATAGGTGAGGTAGGGGAGGAAGGATCTACTTGTTTTACATTAATAATAATAATTGTTTACATATTCGAAAATTAGCAACGAAGCCTGGGGGCTAAATTACACAGTAATTGTACAAAAGTATTTACTTGATGAAAGAAAGACACTTTATAGAATAATAATAATACAAGTAAACAATACGCAATTGTAAATTATTTATGAATTTAATACCAAGTAGGACATGTGAGTCACCAATACAATTAGTAGAACGATTTTGGGTGTATAGATGAAGGTTCAAAAATTGTAGTGTGATAAAGACGGCAAAGGGAAGGTAGGTGGAAATGAGAGAGTAATAAAGACGACTGATAGTGCTAGAGAATGAGAGGAGTGGAGAAAGAGCTGGATTTACAAAAAGAGAGAGGGGTAGAGGTGGACAGAAAGTTTGATACGGGAAAGAGAGAGGGCGAGATAGAAACAGAGAGAGAGATAGTGAGGTGAGGAAAAGAAAGGAGAAAGGGAGTAGGTTGTCATCAACACACAACAATTTTGTAAAATAATACAAACATTGGCAAACGTGGCTCGGTAAATTAGAAGTAATGTGTCGTTAAATGTATATAATCGGTTGCTTCCAGGTTTACAAAGTGATGACCATGTCATGACTTTTTTTTTCTTCTTCTGTGTAATGGTAAAGTAGTAGTATGATATACACATTTTTAAATATAAGTAATGCAGTTTCACCTAGCATAAGTATAACTATTTCATAATATTGACATACCGTTGGACTAAAATGCAGTATCGAGTGATCCAGTTTCGTTGTTGTTCTTCCTAGTTTTGTACCGTATGAGGGCGACGCCGGCAAGAACGAGAGCTGTTGCGCCACCTACGACGAGTAGGTATATCCACCATGCCCAAGTCTCCTCAGCTCCTAAATGCCATTAAACAAAAAAATGCCTGTCATGCTTGTATAAATCAGCATACACTTAAGAACACTAGACTTAAAACGAGATAAATCAATCAAATCATTGGGTCGTTAGTCTTTTGAAATTGGCGGAAATACATATTGCAAAGTTCAATTCGCATACTTTTTCGCATTCTATTTGGACTGCAGTGTAGTAATTCATTCAAGTATTAGTACAGATCAATTGCAGATTATACAAATAGTTTGGGTAAAGAAGACCCAATCAATGATAAATAATTTTTACCTAAGTATGACAGAAAATAATGTTGTTTAAAGTTTTAAAGGACTCCATGAAATAGTAACGAAAAAGCAAGCAAAACAAAACTACCGGTTTTTTGTTGTCGTAATAAACGTGGAGTTATTTATTTGTAATTCTTATATCTATTGGAATACCAAAAAAGATAATTACCTCTATTGTACTGCAATGTAGGGTTAACATTGTTAGTATGGTCCTCATAGATGGTAACACCGGTTAAAAGTGAAGAACCCGGTCGGGCCGTTGAGATTTCTGTCTCATGAAGTGATGTCGTCGTTGATTCTAAGGAAATGGACTGAGTGGCTAATGCAGCAGTTATATCGGTAGATGATGACTCCGATACGAAAGTAGTCGGGTCAACAATTGAATCCCTCGTTGAAACCGATTCTTCAGTACTGGCAGTGATGGTCTCAGATGTAGAAAGCGTTGCTACCTCACCGTTTTTCAGAGTGTGCTTAAAGAATGTGTTCCACTCGGTACAGATGCAATATCTGTGGTCACAACAGTCTGCAAGGTTAATGGTGCATCGGTAATCGTCAAAGACTGTGACGTTCTACTCGAAAGTGTTCTAGTTTCAGTGAATTCTGGTGAACTTGTTATTGGTGAAGTTGTGACATGGTTAGGATCCCTACTCAAGGCGTGCTCGGTAGAATCAGCTTCTATTTTCGAATGGCTTGTTGAATCAACTCCAGGCATATCAGTCGGCGTATATAGGGTTTTCCCCGTAGTTTCAAAGATGTACATACTTTCTGTAATCATAGAAGATGTTCCTGGCAAAACTCCATCGGTCGCATCAGTCAATGCTGTCCTTGATAGTGTCGAAGGAGGTAAAGTTGTTATAACAGAAGGTTTGCCTCCTGAAGTTGTTCCTAACGGAGAGGTCAACTCGTCACTGAGGGTAATTAAATCCGTTTTCGGCAATGTCTCAATCAGTGTCGACGTGTCTACGCTTGTAAAATCTGAAGCTGTCCATGTTCCCAGAGATATACGTGGAGCTTCTTCTGAGAGTTCATCAGCCACAGTGGATGATACGACATGCGTCGAATATGCTAACCTGGTTCTCGTAATAACATTATCAGTCAATGGGGTGACCAGATGAATAGTAGTTGTGGTAGGGTCATGGGAAGCTGTTGTTTCCGCTCCTAAAGTTGACAATGCAACTGGTGTATTTTCTGCAGTTAAGGTCAATATTGAAGGGGACTGAATGTACTGTTCTGTGAATGTACCGGTATGTTCTACCGAGGATGTGTCAACTGCAGCGGATGTCAAGACAGGCGTCGTGTCAGTGAATCTCGTATGCGTCGACATTCTGACACGTGTAGTGTCATAAACAGATGGTTCTGTCTCAAATGGTGTAGAGCTGTGACGCTCTCCTGTCGCTTCCGTGGTCAATACAGTAGGGGATGTCATAGGTTTGCCAGAAGATTGTTGTAATGTGGAGTCCATTCTCGTAATATGATGGGTAGTCGAAGAACGCGAGGTAGGACTTTCTGCAGTGGTAGCATCAGGGAGTGTTGCTTCTGGTTCAAATGTTGTAAAATGACTTAGCGTCGGATTTTCAACTGTGGTCGCTGTTGCCAGAGAGGTGGAGTCTATAGATGTATATGTGGTTGGAAAACTCTCTGATATGCTAGAAGTAGATTTGTCTGTGATAAGGTTTTCTGGTGTGGTTTCCGTTAGACTATTATCAGTAAGCATGAATGATGTGCTTTCACTTGGAACATATGTGGTTGGTGTCTCAGTAGACTCCATTCCAGATGTGCTGTATATGTCAGTTATAGGGTCAGCCGTACGAATAACTTCTGAGTCAGTTCGATCAGATGCAGTTTCTGTTTCAGGTACTTCTGTTCCTGTGGAATCTGTATGAGTAAGTGTAGTCATGATTGTATGAGGTAGTAATGTTTCAGTGTTTGATGAGGTAGGAACAGTTGGCGATGTTTTACTAGAAGATGTGATAAGTGGTCTCGATGATGCACTTGGTGATGATGTCGAGTATGTCCATTCTGAGGCATATTTAGTTTTACCATATGTTGAAGGGAGACTGGTCAACAGTTTAGAAGTAGATTCCGTTGGCAAAAAGTTTGATGTAGTGTGGATTCTTGGTGTAGTATATTCTGAAATTAAAACAAGACATATTCCGGCATTCGTAGCCTATGACTTTTCTTGTGAGTCCATTACATGTACAAGGTATGTATAGTTTCATTGGACGATATGTGCACTTTGAAGAAAAAAAACAGTGGGTCCATAAAACCAGCCTTAACATTTAACATGCTTTTTTGTGTGCTTAGTTTGGAAAGAGCAAAATTATATGAATCACATTCATTAATATCAATTAAACAAATATTGTCTGAACCACCCGGCCACCGTAATCTTCAAAGTATTAATACTTGCAGTTTAAAAGCGATTACTGACATAAGAAAAAAGAAGAAAGGTATGTCACACATCCAATGCTTATTTGCTTTCTCACCAGGACATTCTACTATTGGAATCCAGCTACCATCGTCACAGGTCGATGAGGTGGTGGTGTGTCCTGCAGATTCGCATGTATAGGATATATCGCTACCATGCGTGTAGATAATGCCATCGGTAAGACCAGCTATCAAGGTATAGTTGAGTCCTTCTGCCACGGGGATTGCACATGGGTCTAGAAAGAGTAAGACATTGGAGGGCACACTGGTTATGTCATGTTTATCCTTAGCATTATAATAATTAGATTTGTTGGTGTTGTTTTGCATTTCTAGCGTAACATTCGCTTTCGAATATCAACTTCTAATTTGTCTTCATCTTACTTAATTTACGTCTGTTATGGTATTAATATACAATCTGGCGAAAGCGGAGAAAAGTGTGGGAGTATAGGTCTTTGCAAGAAAAAAACTAATTAGCTAATTCACGATCCCACGTATTTCATTGTTTCATAGCAGTAGTGGATTTGAAAAAAAATGATAATGGTGTTGCTCTTCTGGTAAAACTATGTTTGATAATTAACGTGATGTTCTTTGACCATTTACTAAACACGAAGTCTATTTTCTAAAAGGTCTAAGAGGGATCTCGGTGAACTAACAAAAGAAAAGCGATATATAAATGACCTCTACGATAAGAAAGTCAAATATATTACCGTGACAAATCCTTTCTGGGATGGTGGGAACCCAGGATTCGTTGTAACAGAGGGCGACATATGCTACGTATGGCATGGTTTCATTGCAGTAGAAGTACACAACATCAAAATCTCGATAGCCAACCTCCTGAACCGGGTCGATGTAAACGTTGTCTCTTCTGAAATGAGGCTTCTGGCAGGCTACGAACAAACGAGATGGAAACGTGAGTGTACAAGGATGTGGACTAAACAGTTTAGATGCAAGCTTAAATAGATAAAGCACAGTGGATAAACATCAACATTGCACTACAGTCAATAGTACAACATATCGGTGGCAAAATATATATCAGAATTACGATAATGCGTAATAACGCTAAAATATTAGCCAAACTTTGGTTCAGTAATGATATTTAAATAGTATTAACGATAAATGATTTTGTATCGTTGTACGTATAGGCATATCAGGACTGTCTTAATATCGTTATTTAATATAGAAGTAAAATAAATATCGTTCAAGTTAATTTCAGTTTAATGCCTGATCGAGAATTGGCTAAAAAATATAAAATTAAGAGGATGACTGTTATTAAAAGTAACAAGAATATTGGTTAATTGTTTAAATATCATTATGTGGGTTTTCAAATATTTGAAATACCTGAGTCTGGATATATTTTCAGTTATTTCTATCTCTAACATTTTCTATGCCAGTAAAATAAGAAACGCTTTTAACTTGTGAATATCTGTTCAACAATGCTTCATATTTCATCATAATACACTCTATATTAAGATTGAAACAATACTTTATTATCTTGGACTTACTTATTGGGCTGTAGACTGTAGTCAGTTCTTCCGATGGTATTGCAGTCGTTTGTGTTGGTTCTAATGTGTTTAAGAGAAATATGTGTTGACTTTCTTTCACGAAAGTTTCATAAAAGGGATACAATATATATATATATATATATATATATATATATATATATATATACGTTGGTTACATGACATTGGTAGAAACTCTTTTGGTATTGGACAATTTTGCGATCAACGATGATATAGAAAATACAGGAATGTTTTAGAATTGATGACACAGGTTTTTCTACGTGGGTTATAGGAAAATGACCCCCTGGGTAATCACCCCCGGAAAACTTTCCCCTAAGGACACCCCCCCCCCCCCCAAAAAAAAAAAAAAAAAAAAAAAAAATATCCCAAGAGACAACAACCCCCCAAGGACATTATCCCCTTAAAAATTATCCCCTGCGAGGACCAATTACCCCCGAAAAAATGTATGCTTTTCTTTAAACCAACTTATTATCAGGTTAGACTTCCCCTTTAATGGACAGGGGGGGGGGGGTAATTGTCCTCGAGGTGGTTTGTCTTGGTTGTTCTTGGAGAAGGGGTAATTGATTTTAAGGGGTGGGGTATTTGTCCACAGGGGTTATTGTCCTAGAGGGGGTATTTTTCAGGAGGGGGGGGGGGGTTGTCCTCGAGATGTTTGTCCTTCAAACACATCAAACGCGAGGGTTGACAAAGTAAGCAAAGTTTGATAGCAGTATTACCCTCAATGGATACATAATAATACAAACATGAAGGAACAAAAATTGGAAAAATTGGAAAAAGAAAAAGAGAGATAAAAACAAGAAAGAGGGGAAGTACATCGGGATACATATGTTTGTGGTAATTGTATTTCATTTTGAAATATGAAGATAAAAGAGGAGATGCACATTTGACTATTGCGTGGCCAACTAGGGATGTATTTAATTATGAGAAGACTCGCGAGGTTTCTGGACAATATCAATAAGAATATGAGATCAGTGAGCTGGTTTGTAAGGGCTGTACACCTCGGCCTACGAGTAGGGGCCTTGGAATGTTTGCATACAGAACAATGTTTGGTCAGTATCTCAAGGAGGCCACTCTTCATTCATACCTTTATGCATACCAAGTTATATAATTTACGAATACACATTATTTGACAAGCTGACAGAACAGATAGTGCTGCTCAAGCTTCAAAAAAGCACGTCGGGATATTTACATGTACAATGTTGACATATTGTTTTGCTGTCTATACGAGATAGCTAGGTACATCTCTTTTAAATCAACTAGAGAAAACGGTATATATCTATAAACATTTTCCAGCAAACATACAACATTCTCGAAACGTTTGCAGAACGTCCCCAGAGTGTTTTGACCTAAATTACGTTTCTTTAGGACCGAGGATCAGTTTAACCACACATGAAGGTATCATTTTCACGAGTAAATACCAGTGCTTACTTACCCGAGCACATTACAGCATCAGACCATTCTCCATCTACACAGCGAACCAACGAGATACCGTTTGAAACCGTACCAGGTAGACAGATAAAGAACACTAATGTACCATGTCGATATGAACCAGTCTCATATACATTATCAGGTGACATACATTCATCTGCAATGAGAATACTTGTTATCATAATTAAAAATTATTACCAAAACACATGCAGTTTTATTTGAAATGTTGAACATTGTTATTGGCAGTATTAAGAAATGTCTGCAAGACCAGTTTCAAACAAATGACCGCGATGTATACGTTATGTCTGAGATTATATGTCAATAGATTAATCTGTAATAAGCATTGATCGATTAAAAATAAAAGTATTATCTTACCCCTGCAAACTGGTATATCAAGAGGGTCCCAAACCCCATCGTGACAGGTAGCCGTGCTGGTACCATCAAGTACACCTAGTTCCTCTTTACAGGTATATTCAACGATAGCACCATGGAGGTAATACTCGGGTGCTGATTCACCTGTTTCTTGATTGGTGTGTGCAACATCTGGGTCTGTAGCAGGTGGATCACATGCTTCTATCAAAATGAATGAAAAGTACAAACCGAACTTCTCTCAATAACGATTTCAAGAACATATTTGATAAGGAACATTAGGGAAACTTCGATTTTTTTTAAAAAGCTGGAATGGTGTTTCTTTGCTATTGTCATAACGATTTTGTTTAAAACTATTATCTTATGTTGTTTTATTCGCTCTTTTTGTTCATTGTTATTGTCAGCGCAACACCGAATATGTATTGTTTAATCGGTGACTTCCATAACACATAAATCATTTAAAATATTGATTCACTTTTCCTATTATGGGTAAAATTTTCCACCATTTTACCCCTTCATTAAAATGAGACGAAATCGGTCGTATATACCCACATACACTCCTCGTTCACATATGTAAATGTTAACTTCTGTAAACGTACAAAATTGTATCTTCAACTGAATATTCGAACAATCAAATTGATAATAGTTTGCAGTTTTTGAAAGAAGGTGCGATTAGATATTACTTCATCACTGATAATTAAAAAAAAGATAAATAAAAAGGATTTTCGACCAAAAATGGAAATGTAGAAATCGTTTACCGTGACATACAGCAAGCGTCGGATCTTCTACCCATACATCTGACATACAGAAACTGAAGGCAGGACCATCATGAAGGAGGTATAGACTAGGATCACAGTAGAGGATGATAAGATCCATCTCATCATATACATCATGGTCAGGGCTGACCAGCAGACCTGGTTCAGTGAGTACTGGTGAGGTGCATACTGTATGGAAACACGAAATGGGATAAAGGTTATTTTTGTATCATTGATATATAACCCCTTCACCAAAGCCAAACTGATTTACGATTCGTTTTTCTTCATAAATGTGGAGATACCTTAAATCAATTGTGTTATGGGCACTTTACATAAATGGGGTTTCATTATTTTTCTTCAATGATAATTCAATTTGAAACATACTAATTTCTCAAGAACATCTGCTTTACGATCAAACATAAGTTCCATGTCTCCCATTTTATCAAAGATTGTATATTGAATCATCCATAAAACATCGATACATTGTACTCATTTTGACATTAAGTCCAGACAGATCAAATCAATATAAATCAACATGCTAACGATGACCTATTGCATCTTACTGCAGAGTAAAAATGAAACTTGTTTTAAAAAGGGAAACATACCAGTGTGTCGCAGTAAATTCAAAGACCATGAATGTAATTTCAAATAACAAAGAAACATTATGAATTAGAATATAAAAGTAAATTACCCTTACCTGATTCTGTATTTATGTAGAAATTGCAAATAACAGCAAGAATAATGAGTTTCCTCTTGAAGATATCCATAATCCTTGCAACGGTTTTAAAACTCCACACGCATGCGAACCACTTTATATCATATCTACCTCCTTACAGGTCAGAACTCTCTGTGTATCGGTGGTTGTTTGCCACACTATGGCATGCCCCTCCTTGAGTTTGATTGCACAAAAGGTGTGTCTGAAGTGTCAGGTGTTAAAAAGTGAACTTTCAAAAACGCTACATTATTTGCGTTTTGTTTTATATTTCTTCTTGTGGCGAGGAATGCTCAAATAAAACACTTCATGAGTTAGAGTGGCTCGGTTTGTCACTTGATTTCAAACACTATTCTGTTGTTATTAAAGTGAGAAATATGTGTTTCAATTGCGAAAAAAATATATTCTACATCAAAGTGAGATTCGAGAATACAAAATATGCCTGCCATGGTTGATTTATGCTTTCCAAGCATTGGAATAAGTTGAGCCGAATGATCCCTAATTTTTCGACATATTGTTTAATTTTGTTTAATACTGGTGGTACTTTCAAAGGAACACACTATGTAATTCTAAATTTTGGGAAAAGACTTCACTTCCCCCAATCTCTACTTACAATGTTACAGTATTATTTTTGTTTATATTACTTTCTTAGAGTTTAAAGCCTACTGGCTACCTTGCAGATTATCCTGGTATCATTACAAAGAAGACAAAAAAAAAACATCTTGAATCTTTCAAATCTTGTGATTGTTCGTTTTTTTAATTAAAATAATACAAGGAAGCAATGATCTTTGTTAGATTATCATGGTCTCAAGCTTTTCTTTTTGAATTCACGAATATTATATTTCTTTGTCGAGGAGTTGTTAAACCAAGATTGATCAAGTTTATTGAATTCGTAACAATGTGCAATAAAATCCTGAAACCTGTATGAATTCTTCTTATCCACAATCAATTTGATTTAATCATAGACGATAAACCCAATTACTGCCATATTTTACCAATATAATAAAGCTGCAAATTCTGATTGACATTGTTTTAGCATCATATATACTATAACCACTTTTCGCCGAGAGGTTTGTAACGTCTTTTCTTCTAAGATACAAATTCATTTCGAGTTGCATTTATTTTTGCATTGAATTTTTTGAGGGTTTTTATAGCCTTTCAAGCGTTTACATAATACTAGTAGTGAAACATGGCTGGATCTTCAGGGTCTGTGATCGTGGTTGCTCCTGGGTTGTAGGTAACGTTAAACTCCAGCTGTTTACAAAGACCAAATTTAAACATGAGAAAATAAATGTTGAGCGTTTCCATTCATGTTTTACATGAAGTAATCATCAAAACTCACATTTTAACATCGCAAGATGGGGAATGGGAGGGGATGGTATTGTCGATGACTTTATTCAGAAACACAAATAGAATGGCAGAAGAAATTTAGGGGTAATTATTATTATCATCATTATTTTTGTATAACGTATAAACGAATTGCATCCGGGCGCAACAAAGGAATTACACGTATTCACTGAGCTCTGTTACAATATACAGAAATGTGATACGTATTACACTAAACATCATCTTTAAGCTAGACAGCCGCGGTCCGGTCTTGCCATGTCCTTTCTGAACGAGCCTAAAGACAAGGTTAACATAAGGAGATTGCTATGAATAAAATCATTTTCCTTTTTGTTTAGTGACACCACGGAGTTTGTTTTAATGATTATCTCATGAATAGATGCATTCTTCTTTATGTTTTAACAGGGCAAGCAACACTACGGCGAATAATTTGATTTTTTTTCTTTCTTTCGTTGTAGTTCCTCAATCAATTTAAACAATAAAAAAAGTATCTTGGTATTACCAATGAATAATGCCTTGAATGCAGAAATTAAAAAATGTACAATCACCAAATATTTATTTTTTTTAGATTGAATTAATGGATAAAAGATTGAGCTCGTGCCGGATATATCTCATGGGAAAGTAAACATTATTTATTTGGTATGAATCTGAGTGTACTTTAATAAAGTAGGTCAAGCGCCCACTTACACTTCCAGGTGCACTAGAATCCGATGACTCAAACCCCTTGTGATGCATCTTGCGTCTCTCCTTAAAGACCATTGCGAAGATGAATCCGGTACAGGAAGCCAACAACAAAAATAGTGATGCAGCCCCCACGATACCAAGAAAGATCACCCACCAGCTCGAGGTGGTTTCTGCGGAAACTAAACAAAGGCGAACGTAAAAACGAATTGATTAAATTGGCAGCGGAGAGAAAGGGAAAAGGAAGACCGAGACGAGATGGAGAGTGGAAATGAAGAGACACACCCCCCCCCCCCTCTACACGCCCATAGCGGGATATCACAGGATAATGATGATGATAATGATGCTGATTAAAAGCTAAGCGTAAATGAGAAATTAATACGCTTATCAATGGAGAAAGTGAAGAAAATGTTGTCAATTTTAGCTCCCAGAAAAGTAGAAAACGTTATTTATTGAGAGACGATGAAAACAGAATAAAAATGACAATCCTGATTTAGTTTAGTTTAATGTTAGTTTAATGTTTTGGTATAGACCTTTTCGAATGGAAATAATAATAAAACAATAAACCAGAATACAAGGGCACTCATTATGCTTATCACAAACATGTCCTGTAAACAGAGAAAGCATCGTTATGCTTTCTTTAAACAAAAAGTAGGTGGCATATAATTAACAAAATTCTTCGAGCCGCCAGTTAACACTAAAAATCATTTTAAAGCCGAAATTATCTAGGAGCACATCGTTGAAGTACCTGGCCCTTGGGTAGTTGCTCGTTGATCCGTCGTAGCTCTCTTTATTGTAGTAGACCATTTAGTCTCTTCAGCTGGGGTTGTAGTAGCACCTTCTGTAATTCCTAGTGTTGGTCTGTCTATTTCAAGAGTTGTTGCGTCTTCTGTTGGAACCTCTGGGCTTGGTTGCCCAATAGTTGTCGAGGTTTCAAACGTAGGGTCAGAGGAAGCCAAGAAGGGTTTGGGCGAGTAAGTGTTAAGAAGACATGTAGTTCCTATAGATTGATGTAGAGTCACGAATGTCCCTAGATTATTTGAGGTCTCCCTGAAGTAATCTGTGCCTGTTGATGTATCATATTGTGAGGTAGCAACAGATCGTCCAGTATGGTACGAGTCGCTTGAAGCTTCTTCTTTTACTGTCTCCGTTGTTATACTTTCGAATGATGTAGCGACTGATGTAGCGACTGATGAAAGTGTCCCCAAGGAAGTATGTAAGGTTCCCGTGGTTGAAAAAGTATTATCCAGAACATGTGACGTAGGTTCACCACTAGCTGATGCTGTACCTTGGTGGCTTATGTCTGATGTTGACCCGTCAGTCGGCATTGTCGCTGTGTATCGTTGCATTGTCACTGTATGAAGCATATAAGGTGTTTTCTTGGTAGCAGCGACAGTTTCTGAAGTCACTTTCGGTTGGTCCGATGCTCCATCGACTGTATTTCCAATAGTAGGAGCACTAGACGGGTCAGCATTTGTCGTCGTGGAATATTTTGTTGGTGGTGTTAAGCTTTCTGTCGGCCCAGTAGTTTTCTGTTCCACTGTTGACTCGGAAGATATAGATGGTGTCGTGAAACTGTCCAAAGCTGTTGTGGCAGCTGTCGATATTAGCAATGGTTTTGTCGAGATATCGTCTGTACCTGTTTGTTCTGTCGACGCTGAGTTTGTGTCAGTACCATCAGTGACAGGTGAAAGGGTTGAAACTGCTTCCATAGGACTGTTTGAAATAATTTCATTTGTCCAAGAAGATGGGATGGATGTTTTTTGCTTAGATGTAAAACCGTCTAATGTGTGATCTGTATTGGTATCCGTGGTAGTAGTAGAGAGGTCAACTGTTGAATAGGAGATAGGTGCGTCGGAGGTAATCGAGGGCTGTAGCTCTGTCGTTTGCTGTTCCACTATCGACCCGGAAGATATAAATGATGTCGTGAAACTGTCAGAATATGTTGTAGCAGCTGTCGATGTAAGCAATGGTTTTGTCGAGATATCGTCTGTACCTGTTTGTTCTGTCGACGCTGAGTTTGTTTCAGTACCATCAGTGACAGGTGAAAGGGTTGAAACTGCTTCCATAGGACTGTTTGAAATTATTTCATTTGTCCCAGAAGATGGGATGGATGTTATTTGCTTAGATGTAAAACCGTCTAATGTGTGATCTGTATTGGTATCCGTGGTAGTAGTAGAGAGGTCAACTGTTGAATAGGAGATAGGTGCGTCGGAGGTAATCGAGGGCTGCAGCTCTGTCGTTTGCTGTTCCACTATTGACCCGGAAGATATAAATGATGTCGTGAAACTGTCAGAATATGTTGTAGCAGCTGTCGATGTAAGCAATGGTTTTGTCGAAATATCGTCTGTACCTGCTCTTTCTGTTGACGCGGAATCTGTTTCAGTACCATCAGTGACAGGTGAAAGGGTTGAAACTGCTTCCATAGGACTGTTTGAAATTATTTCATTTGTCCCAGAAGATGGGATGGATGTTATTTGCTTAGATGTAAAACCGTCTGACGTGTGATCTGTATTGGTATCCGTGGTAGTAGTAGAGAGGTCAACTGTTGAATAGGAGATAGGTGCGTCGGAGGTAATCGAGGGCTGCAGCTCAGTCGTTTGCTGATCCACTATTGACTCGGAAGATATAGATAGTGTCGTGAAAATGTCAAAAGCTGTTGTAGCAGGTGTCGATGTAAGCAATGATTTTGTCGAAATATCGTCTGTACCTGCTCGTTCTGTCGTAGTAAAGTGGTCAACTGTTGAATGGGAGATTGGTGCACCGGAAGTAATCGAGGGTTGCGGCTGGGTCGTCAATAATTCAGTTCCACCTGTACGTCCATTAGTCGATGGTTGAGCCGGGGACACAAATAGCGTGGTTAAGTAAGTTGTTGATGTTTCTGAAACAGACAAAGGTGAAAACATCCCCCTAAATTGAGATTTTAAATACTCAAATATTTGTTACTTTCCGGTTTATATGGGTCTTTCTGGAAAGTCGAAAAATCAACCGAGGCCAATATGATAAGTAGTGCACGCGATGCTGTGTATGCTTATTGTCTGTTATAGAGAAACATACTTCAGTGAAAATAACGTAATTTGTGTCCAATTTTAATTTGTCGGAAAACCTGTTTCAGTATCATATCAGAAATTGTTATTAATCACTTCTCTGAATCTATTCCGCATGAATATATTAATTCCGTTCTATTGTGTGTGTGTGTGTGTGTGTGTCTCTCTCTCTCTCTCTCTTTCTCCTCCCTCTCACTTTGTTCTGTATATCTCTTCATATACTGTTTGCCTCTATCTCTTTCTTTATCACCATCTCCCTTTTGTTAGTCTCTCTTTTTTCCTACATATATCTGTATTTCCATTAAGTACCAATCAACACAACCTTTACATAGTTAATAATCGAGATGGTTTTGAAAATGAGGATACCTGGACACAATACAGGTGGTTCCCAAACACCATCGTTGCATGTTGAAGTAGTTGGACCTGGGTCCCCTCTTTCACATGTGAATGATATACGGCTACCATGTGTAAAGATGACACCATCAGTTTGACCAGCAAGTCTGCTATACGTCATGCCATCTGCAACTGGAACTTGGCAAGGGTCTGAAATGAGAAATGACGGAAATTCCATTTTTCTGAAAAAACAGGGAAAAGGCTTTTTGCAAGGACCCATAGCCAGTTTCGGGTCCGCCTCTTGTTGCAGTTCTTTCCGTTAAAATAATATGCGTAATAAAAAATGGTTTTCTATTTCGTGAACATTGAACATTAAGTGAATTTGTATGGATCAAAAGTGTAGTCTGAAACTCATAGACATTCCGCAGTAACTCATTGTTCCCACGAGTGGCGATAATTAACGTATGAAAGGTAGGTTGTGTTTATGGGGACCATAAATTGATTTTCATACACTTCTACAGGACTTTCATACGACAACCGACCTTGTTGATTTGTCACTTTACATAATCAAACGAAACTTACACTGAATGTTCAAATTACAAATAAATGTCATTTGCCAAACAATGTTGGTAGAAAATGTATACTGGCTGAGTAATGAGCATATAAAGATAATGAAATCAAGTAACCCAGACACCATTTGTGTAGTCCCATATGCATCTTTCTGTGTACAGTACTTGTTACTTTACCAAGACTTGGCCAAATTTATTATGATTTCCATGACTCCAGAACCTTGCAGTACACACCGATATTTACAAGCTACATGATCACCTTTTTTTGGATTAATTCCACACCTTTTCTTTCACAATGCAAACGCATGACCAGCACTCAACTTTATGTTTAAGATACAAAATGTTACACGAATAAAGAAGAAACCGAAACAAAATAAGAAAAAGTGGAGGAAATAAGAGAACAAGAACAGAACAAGGACAAGAAAGAGAAATTCAAGGCGGAGAAGAATGAGGAGGAGAAGGAGAGTAGGGTGAGGATTAAACTAAATCAATGTCTTTCAATATTCCTTTAACCCTTACTGTACTGACATTTTCGGAGATTGCGCCGTAACCGCTCGAAATTTTGAATGGTCGTTTCATGACTTTCCCCCCTCAAGTCTTACGCACATTTTGATACCATTTTCGTAGAAATCGGATATACCTGTAAGGTGTTACATAACAATTAGTATGCGCATGTCATCAAAAAAGTGCTATAATTGCATATATTCATGTACAAGCAGAAATGTGAAGATATGAATTGATATCAAATTGCTTTTATATGTTTCTCAAAGTAACTTGATGTATTTCAGAACAAAAGAATACATTAGAAATAAAACAATAGATATAATAAGAAATAAAAAAACAATAAAATACATAAGAAATTAAATATTCGAAAATCGCATCAAATTTGCATAAATCATCTTTATTAATTACATCAAATAACTATTTTGTGTTAGAAAAGAAGTTTCATATGAATAATGAGTTTCAACATTCAAAAAGTGGAGTCTGAAAATTTGTGTAATGATTCTAGTTCCCTTTATATATTTCCAGATTTGATATTCATGAATGCGTATTCATAATTTATGCAAATTAAACTATGCATTTTCAAATATCATAAAAATAATGAAACCTCATGAATTTGAGATGAAGGAAACATTTATTCAATACATTTTCAAGATTCTTCACAAGTCTACGGACAAATATGTTGAGTTTTCTGTAAAATGCATAAAATTAGCATTTTGCATAATTAATTAGGCTATAACGACAAAAATTTGCATATTAGGAAAAACTAATTATACCATCTTGTTCCTTACGTTAATATCTACAAACGTGCAAGTTTTCGCGTTCATCGGACATTCGACGGTCGAGATCATAGGGGGGGGGGGGCCTCCCAGGCCCCCCCCCCCCCCCCCCCCCCCAGTCAGAGAGTGCTCGAAATAGCCCAGTACAGTAAGGGTTAAAAATCAAATGGACAGGGACTTAAATTTCTGAAACGTGTTTAACAAACATAGTAGTTGTTGGTTGTCGGGCCAATTCTTCGCGTGCTCGATTCCATTCAAACAATTCAGACTGCCTAACCATATGTAAGTTCTAATCGCTTGGGCAAATATTTCGTAGCTACTTTCGATTAATTATTTCTCATTATGAATCTACCCCATTATATATTTTTCTATCTTTAATTTTTATTTATGACAAATGATACTCATGTTATAAGCTTTAAAGATAAAGACCAGTTATGGTCATACGATTGCATTGTGAAAGAAACGTTGTGGAATCGATCAGAAAAGGTTGATTATCTAGCATATAAGTATTGGTGTGTACTGCAAGGTTCTGGAATCATCAAAATGATAATAAATATGGCCCAGTCTTCGTAAAGTTACAAGCACTGTACACAGAAAGATGTATATGGGACTATACGCACACCTGCGCGACACGTGCCTTTATCTCTCACAGACCATGTAGATCAACTAATTTACCAACATTTTAATATATCAATTAGTAGGCGGTTTCCCGGCAAAATGTTATCATCATGTATTAGTCAAAACATATTCTTTCACATGATTAGTAATAAGAGCTTCCATTTCCTTTTTTTTTTTTAAATTGGGGCGTTTCCAAAACTGGTCTTCACCTTTAACTACCATTTACTTTACTTGTTGGTATATATGGCCATGCATTTAAAATGTGAATTTCATTTAACCTACAAAATAATCATGTGTATTAAAGACAAAATTAAATACAAGTACTATAGATCACGACACAAACTTGTACTTACCATTACATATTTCAGTAGGAAATTCTGGTCCCCACGTGCCAAAAAGGCAGATAGAGGCCTGTGCTACATAAGGTATGGTCTCGTTACAGTAGATGTAAACTGTTTCAAAATTGTTGTAACCATCCAGGCGATAGGGTTCTAGGTAGGCAATCTGTGTTCCAAGATCTGGATATACACAATCTTTAAAAATGAGAAAATACGAGATTCAATTTCGCTCATTAACAAGATTATCAATCTTGTATTTTACCTGCTGCCATTTCTTAAATTCCCAGAATTCTGGAAAGCAAAATCCTCTCCGACACTTGAAGTATTATTACACTTACACTCAGCATGCAATAAGTTTTATGTGTGTAAAAAAAGCTCATATCTGTTGCTTATTAGTTTACTGTTTATATAACTTCATTAAACCCAACATTTTTGCTTACTCCATGTTTTGATTTATTCATACGATATTTAGTTGTAGTTTTGACATTTGCATCCAATAACTGTTTTAAACTTTAATTTTCATTGCTGCTTTTCATTGTTAATATAGAATTGAGAACGGTCCTACATGGTTGAATCTTAATAAATAATGTTTAATTTTTACTAATGCGAGTGTCTAATTTAACCTGTTGAAAACTGAATTTATACTCCTGATATGTTTTATACAGGAACCACCCAGCTCCAGTAGGAAAGTAATTAATTCCTAATTTCCAGCGGCGACCGAGCAGGCTACTAATCGGTCGGTCGCTGCTCTGATTTGTGACCATAGCTTTATCAATTAATGGAAATACAACGAAAAAAATGCATTGACAAAAATATGTCACTTACCTGCATTGACTCGCAGAATGTGCCACACCAGTGAAATTATAATGAACCAAATCATTGTAAAAATGTTGTATTGATCAAAAAATAAGTTCAGAATGTTGTTTAGCGAAAAGATATTGTAAAACTATTTAACGATGATAGGTGATGGTTGTGAGATATTCTGAAATAATTTCACTTCAACTGATCAGATACACTTCAAATTTTGAAAAGCTCTCTTTTGGACACTCATATAACTACCACACAACTTAAAGGAAATGTGACTTCAAGTACAGAATAAACTATATGCACATGCCATCCATTATATTTGACTTCTGGTAATATATATAGCTGTCACAGAGTCAGATGAGGCCCTGTCATCCAAGCACAGCATTTGTTTAGGTTACGCTTCGTTGTGTACAGACGCCTTTGCAGCGTTCATTACTTTAATAAAATATTGCAATTCATTAGTCAATGTCAATCATACCAGTCGCTTGTCAGAGATTGATGACATACAATGATTGACAGCCGGTGCCTTTGATCGCGTAATTCAGGTAGGAGCGACAAGTGACAGGTACTAAAGTTTTGTTTGTCAAGTCTATAACTGACTTAATGTTCTCTGTTTGATCAATTCATTCAACATTTATTAAGGAAATAAAACAAATAGACGTTCCCTATGTGATTGATACTCACACTGCATTTGAATTGCAATAAAGCATGTTCTGAATAAGTTCGCTGTCCTTTTGTACAATAATTGTCTTCAAACACAGCACATAAAAAAAAAAAAAAACATTTCCATAATATGCCATAATATGAAGTTAAGCATTGTGGCATTGTCCTCTCTCGATATCCTAGAATGTTATATTATGTACGCCGGAATAGACTATTATTTCCCTAACTTTCCTGACTTCAATATAAAGTTAACTAATTACAAGAGTCTCACAAGTAATAAAAAGTCTACCTAGACTTTTAATGTTTTACAATTTAAGATATGCCTGTCATGGTTGATTTGTGCTTTCTAGGTATTGGAGAGCGTTGAGCCGAATGTTCCCTCATCATTTTTTGTTAATACTGGTGATACTTTTATAGGAACACACTTTATGACACTTAATGATCTTTATTATATTCTTATGGTCTCAAGCTTTTTATAATTCACGAATGTTATATTTCTTTGTCGAGGAGTTGTATACTCAAGATTTATCATGTTAAAGGTAATACAAAGTTTGGGAGATTTTGAAAATTGGGTGGATAGTGAATCTTTACAATTTTGATATATCTGGATGCCACTGTGGATGTATTATAAGCATTAAAAAATTATCCCCTAAAACACTTCTGTTTTCGAGAAAAATTGAATATACAAATTTACCGGTGCTTCCGGTAAATTTTGATGAATTTCAAATAGCGCCTATGGCCGTACAATGGTAGCTGCGACCATGAAAATCTCAGAATATGTAGTTGGGATACATAATTTCCGAACGGGAATATCTAATCGGTCGATTTTAGTCAAGAAACATTGTTTCAAAGCTAAAATAATATCTTGACCTTGAGAGGGAGCTATACAACATAAATAGTTTATTATTTATAATTTCATAACTTTAGACTCGATTTCAACCGCGACAACGATCAATGCATATTGTAGGAACGTATATTCTTCCAATGTGTTAGTTTGAACCAAATTCATGACCCCATACCACAACTTTGTAATAACTTTAATTGAATTCGTAATAATGTGATATAAAATTCTGAAACCTGTATTGATTCATTTGTATCGTTAAACTTAATGGAACTAAGATAAACAACCAATTTGATTTAATCTTGGGCGATATACCTAATAAAGCCAATTTTAACAAACATAATAACGCCGTCACATTTGATTTGATTAGATTTGATTTGATATGGTTTATTGATTACAAAACATTCAAATAGCAACCAGAGGCTCAAACAAATTGAATTTACAAAAGATACATACAAATGCATAACATATAAATATAAATGGTAATTCACAATAAATAATCAAGGATATGATCAAAGAAAAGAAAGAGAAACAAGAGAAGAGATTGAAACGGATAACTAGAGGATAATTGAAGGAGAACGATTGAGTAACAGAAGGCAATAATACAAATATAATAGAAGATTAGAAGGACTGGTAGGACAATAAAAGAGAGAGAGAGAGAGAGAGAGAGAGCGTAGAGAAATGAGAAAGAGAAGCTGGAGAGGAGACTACACATTAAAAGGGACAGATAAAGAGTAGGACAGATAAACAGGCTGAAAAGGAGAACTAGAAAAATAATCGGATAAAGTGTTAATAAACTATAATGAGACTTAAAAATTACAAATATAATACCGTAAATGCAGCAAAACTTTTGAGACCAACTACAACCGACTAACTATTCTCATTGATATTGTTTTAGCATCATATCAAACTAAAACCGCTTTTCGAGAGGTATGCATTGTCTTTCCTTATGATGAAGATTTCATTTTGAGTTTCATTACTTTTGCAGTAAAATATTGAGGTATTTAAAATCTGTCTAGAGTTTATATTAAACTAGTAGTGAAGTATGGCTGGATCTTCAGGGTCTGTGATCGTGGTTGCTCCTGGGTTGTAGTTAACGTTAGTATCCGACTGTAGAAAAAGATGGACAATTATTAAAAACATATGAATCGGCTTATGTTAGGGTTTTACATGCTGTTATCAACAAAACTGGCATTCCAACAATGCGAGATGGGAAAGGGGAGGCGATGGTTGTATTGATATTGTTATTTAGTAGAAAAAAATAATAGATGCAAGAAAAAAAACCAGTCGGCAGCGATGTAAGCAGGAATTGCAACTGTTTGACTTAAGTATAGTTAACCAAAAAAGGGTTTGTTTAGATATGGCATGGTAAAACACATGTTTTACCCTTCTTTTTGTTTAAACGTTTAAATGAACTGCAACAAAAGACTTGCGCGTATTCTTTGAGCTCTGTACTACAAAATATAGAAATGTCATGCACACTACACTTTACGTCATCATTAAACAAGACAGCCGCGGTCTAATTGAATAAAGTAGATTAAGCGTCCACTTACACTTCCAGATGCACTAGTATCCGATGACTCAAACCTCTGTTGATCCTTCTTCCGTCTCTTTTTAAAGATCATATAGATGAGTCCGGTACAGGAAGCCAACAACAAAAAGAGTGATGCCGCCCCCACGCCACCAAGAAAGATCACCCACCAGTTCGCAGTGGTTTCTGCAGAAGTATGATACAAGCGAAGATTACTTTATAAGATGGGCAGCAGAGAGAAGGGAGAAGGGAAACGAATAAGAGAAGACCCGGGAACAGATGGGTATACTGAATAACGGAAATAGGTAGAGAAATTGATTTACAGCCAGGACGAAATGGAGAGCGGTAATGATTATCCCCCCTTCCCCCATAGTGGGGTATGAAGGGAAGAAGAAGATGCCGGTGAAAAGGTAAGCGTAAAATAGATGTTAATACCTTTTTCAATAGGGACAAGGGAGAACATTGTGTTAATTTAAGATCCCATAAAAGTTTGAGAGGATATTTAATCGGAGACGCTGAATACAAAAAAAAAATCTGTTTCAGTCCTAATGTTATTGTATGTACCTATTTCTAATGGAATCAACGATAAAACAATAAATCAGAATACAAGGGCACTAATTTTGGTTATCGCCGGGATGTCCTGTAAACGGAGAGAGGAAAAGGGAAATTATTGTAATGCTTTCTTTAATAAACAATAACAAGTGGCAAGTATTATACTAACTTTATGAATCCGCCAATTAACACTAACAATCATTTCAAAGCCTAAAATATATAGGAAAACTTATTAAAGAAGTGACTTATCAAGAACATTAATGTACCTGTCCCTTGGGTAGTCTCTTGTTGACTCGTTGTGACTCTCTTTGCTGTAGTTGACTGTTCAGTCGCTTCAGCAGGTGTTTTCGTAGTACCTTCTGCAATTCCCTTTTCCGTTGTGCGAAGCATATAAGTTGTTTTCTGGGTAGCAGCTTCAGTTTCTGAAGTCACTTTCGGTTGGTCCGTTGCTCCATCGACTGTATTTCCAATAGTAGGAGCACTAGACGGGTTAGCAGTTGTCGTCGTGGAATGGCTTGTTTGCGTTGTCAAGCTTTTCGTCGGCTCGATCGTTTGCTGTTCCAATGTTGACTCGGAAGATATAAATGGTGTCGTGAAACTGTCCAAAGCTGTTGTAGCAGCTGTCGATGTAGGCAATGATTTTGTCGAAATATCGTTTGTACCTGTTTGTTCTGTCGAAACAGGATTCGTTTGAGTATCATCAGTTACAAATGGTCCGGTTGAATATGCTTCAAAATAACTTGTTGAAATCATATCACTAGTCCCAGAAGATGGCATAAATGATACCTGCTTAGAAGTCAAACCGTCTAATGTGTGATCTGTATTGGTATCCGTGGTAGTAGTAGAGTGGTCAACCGTTAAATGGGGGATAGGTTCATCGGAGGTAATCGATGGTTGCTGATTGGTTGCTGATTCATCGGAGGTAATCGAGGGTTGCTGATTGGTTGCTGATTCATCGGAGGTAATCGATGGTTGCTGATTGGTTGCTGATTCATCGGAGGTAATCGATGGTTGCTGATTGGTTGCTGATTCATCGGAAGTAATCGATGGTTGCTGATTGGTTGTCAATGATTCAGTTCCACCTGTACGTCCATTAGTCGATGTTTGAGCCGGGGACACAAATGGCGCTGTTGAGGACGTTTCTGAAACATACAAAGGTGAAAACAACCCCCCAAATTAAGATATGACATAATCATGTATTTTGACTTCCCAGTTTAGCTGGGTCTTTCTGGAAAGTTAAAATAAGAATCGAGACCAAGAGGATAAATAATACTTGCGAGGGTGTTTTTTCCCTTGTCGTAATTTTAGTGACTCTGAACATCGATATTTTATTCATCAATATTTTGTACTCGTCTGAAAAAATGCCCCCATCTATTCATGTCATGACCTTTATACTGAGTGTTAACAATTTGCTCCTGGACTATATTTTGATCTTTATCATCTTGCTACTAAGATTATACTAAATTAATGTTGATGAATTGTGATTTAGACATTGTAATAACACCTTTCAATAACAAATATTTATGTTGGCCATTATCAGACAATGTATGATCAATAACGTTTCCCATTTTCGTGTTAGGCGACAAGTTTAAGAAAGATAGAATTATGACAAATTTCGCGAAATTTGCCATTTAATTGGGTTCCCTAAATCAATGTTGGAAGTGAAAGACTAAACGATATTAATGATAATGAAAGTATGAACCTTGGTCCTCAGTTGTCAATGGATTTATCGTAGAAGTTTCAAGCTCGGATGTCAGCAGCGTAGTCTTTCTTACATAAACTGAAGTTGTATATTCTGTCGGTTTGTACTGTATAGAAGTAAATATTGGGGGTTGGGTTTCTTTCACGGTATCACTTCGAGTGGTAGGTGACGTCATCGTCGTGGTTTCAGTGGCTAGGGTGGACGCATCATACACCGTTGTGACCGAGGTACCAAAAGTGATGCCATCACTAGCTGTAGCTGATGTCGGTTGATCTGTTTGATCAGATTCAGTTTGTACAGGTGTTGGGGCTATTGTCGTGAGTCCTTCGGTCTGATTGGTGCGACGGACTGATGTCATATGGGACACGTAATCTAAGGTAGACACGGTCTCTCTCACGTTTGCAGATGTTGCGTCGGTTCCACTCTCTGTTGGCACTGATGTAACCCACGTTGATGGATTCGTCTTCGGTGACATGGGTGTGGCGTTCGAAGTGATGACCATTTGCGTCCTGGGCATACTGGATGAATCTGTGACGGATGGTGAAGTGTATCGTTCAGAAGATGGGTTCGGTGTTTCACTTCCCAACGGCTGAGTCATATCAGTGGTACTGTCCATGGAGGTTATAACTGGAACATTGGTTAATAGGGGAGTAGTCAAGAAACTGCCTGTCGTAGATGAAACTGAAATATATAATATGAATAGGCACATTAACATAACAATTAATATGATGGTCATGATGTTGATAACGATGATCATGAAGATAATGATGATGATGGCAGTGACGATGCTACTGCTTATATTAAGTATTAAATAAATTATGTTGAAAAGTACAACTTATAATGTAAATATCAAAGACAAACGCTACTACTATCACCCCAAAGAATCATACAGTACATACAGCTCTGTCATATAGTATCACATTTGATGACTATAAAAGATGGATATGTCTTTCCGAATGTTAGTTAACCTGATTAAAACATGTACACATGTGCTTATCACCACACACACCTTCACAGGTTGGAACAGATGCAGGATCCCAGGTCCCATCTCTGCACATCGACGAAGTTGGTCCGATCAGAGTCGATCGATCTGGTGCAGTGCAACTAAAATCGATGGTGTTCCCGTGAAGGTAGTATGTGTCCGAAGTCTCTCCCGTATCACTACGAGTATGTAGAACGTTGCTAGGTACAGATGGAGCATTGCATGTCTCTGAAATAATGATTAATATTGCATTCTACATCGTGAATTTAGTATAACAAATACCAAAGACAATCATCACCGACCTTAAAAGCAGGGGATAACGTAAAAGGAAAAAATAGCATAATGTATTATTAAATCAACATCACAGAAAAAATATTTATTTCAATAATCACAGCCTAATGCCGTTGGGTAAGGTTACTCTTTATGGCTGAAAAACTGGCAAGATCTAAAAAGAAAATTTATTCCGGTTCTGCCTTTTGTGGTTTTAATCATACAAAATAGCAAGAGGCACGAGACTTTATACCAAGTCGTTATTTACACAAATAATATATAAAAGCTATAACTAAGATACAAATCTATGACGTAACAGATATACATCAGCTAAATAATAACTTTAGGTGCAGTTGCACACGATTTGACAATGTGTTATCATTCTGATCAAGGCTGTGAGGTCTATCAGTGTAACTCTTACATGGTGCGACAAAACAATGTCAGTCTGACGTAGCCATGCATCAAGAAATGACGCCTCGCATGTCAAGGGCAACATATTGGGTATAAATAAATAACGCACAGGGTGTAATCTCCGTTGGTGATAGAGGGGGGGGGGGAGGGTATTTGTCCTCACAGTTGGTTGTCTTTGGGGACGGGACCGATTGTCTTAGGGGGTTATTTTCAGGGGTGGGGGGTAATTGTCCAGGGGGTAATTTTCCTCAGAGGGGGGATATTTCGGAGGGATTTTTTTTCCGGGGGTTAATTTCCCGGGGGAGAGGAGGTAATTGTCCTGGTACGGGTCAACCGTCGTAAAATTTAGAGTGTACGTACTGTAGCAGAACCGTTGAGCTGGATCAGGATACCATCTAGAATCCCAGCAGAATGTGAACCAGATCATAGGGGTAGAGATGGTTTCATTGCAGTATAGAAGAAAGCTATCTCCATGAATGAATTGGTTATCAAGACGAGACTGCTGAGGGATCACATGAATATCATCATCCAGGATCGTAGGATAAGTCGTGCAATCTGTGAACGCAAACAAAATATGAAGTGTTGGGTGGGGGCGGGTAATTAATGATGCAAAGGGGCCATATTTTCTCTGAATTTGTGTATTCCTTTTTAATCGATAAATATAAGGTTCCGTACATCAGTTTTCTTACAGGCAGAATATTTATACAGAAGTAAATTATTACATAACGATGATCGATAGCAAGATGAGTGGCTATTTAGTAATCTTAGTTTCGGCATACAACTACCATTGACATTTAATAAACATCCGAATGACATACAATCCGCTCAGGATATATTAGGAAGGTAGAGAATACAACAAAATTGACAGACACTCACTACTAATAATTTCATGATGAAACCGAAGAGCAAGATTGTAATATCTATTGGGCGAAACAATGCTGGAAACAGATCGGGAATACCGGCGATACAAAACGAGTCGCCCTTTAACACTTGAGCGGAGAATGACCCTTTCGATGATGAGCAAGAGCATTCTATTCCGAACTATTAATGTAGCAACATTTTCAAAGATGTCAATCATGTTTGTCTAATGGGTAGAAATTATAACAAAAAATACATACCAAGGAGTAACCAGAAACTTACTTTGTCCGTCCGGTGGAAGTGTAAAGTATTCTTGGGTAAACACAGGTTGAGGTTCGAGTGTAGAAGCTGGAAATAGGGTCTCAGACACTACGTGTTTGGAGGAAAAGAATATTAATGACTTAGCTTTATTTGGACACGGTCGGATGAGAAACTCACATGCTCTGTGTTAGGCTCGAGTATTATGATTATTGAGGGACCACATGAGAGATTTGGGGCTCGATCGAGAAAGCACTCTTTTTTAAAACAAATATTACAGCGCCTCCTTCACGTAATCCATGCCATTGTTCGGCACGTTCACTTTCGTCTCATTCAAACCCTAATACTAAAAGCGTTCAGCGATGCCTGATACAACTTTTCCAAGGTTCATGACACCAAATAGAAAATACAGCTGTACCCCTACGACCTGCTCATATTTGAGGAAAAAAAAACATTTCTACAGTAATAATAATAATACATTTTTATAAAGTGCATAACACATTACTCTCTAAAAAAAATCGAGTGATCACGGACGGCACTACTCTGGAGAGTGAAAATGTAGTGAAAATAGAGTGAACATTCACTCTTTTCTTCTTAGAGAGCACTCTAAAATCAATCGATTTTCACTCCTAAACAAGTGATCACGGACGTCACTCCCAAGAAAGTGAAAATAGAGTGAAAATTCACTCTTTTTTTAAGAGAGTACAAGGTGTGCCCCCATGTGCTTTAATAGAAAAAAAAGCAAAGAGAAAAATAGGGTACCGACTTCATTTTACTTGTTTACAATAATTGAAATAAATATGTTTTCAAGATAGACTTTAACCTTTCTATTGTTTCATTGTTTCTAAGTGAGTCTTGGAAGCTATTCCATAAAACAGGGGCAGCTCGGGAAAATGAACTTTCACCATAATAGTTCGAAATAGGAGGAACACAAAATAGATTCTTTTTACATTATCGAAGATTCTTTACTAGTTTATATACATTGAGTTATTCATTTCAATACGAGGGAGCAAATTCATTAACAAACATTCATGAGCTTATAACAATATTTTAAATTAGATTCAGGTCTGGACTGGGAACCAATGTTCATTTCGTAAGACAGGGATATTAAATAATGTTTCTTCGTACGTGTAACTAGTCTGGCTGCTGAATTTTGGATGGTTTGTAATCTTTGAATTAGGCGAAGTGGTAACCGAAAAATAAAAATGACACATAACAGAAGCATGAATCAAACGTTCTTTTATACCTCTATCAATAAAATTTCAAACTTTACCGATTTTCTGTAGTGCAAATGAAGCTGAGCGACATTTGTGTGTAACACACATTTTTAAAAGAAAGCTTGTTATCAAAAGTTAACCCAAGATTTGTAAATATTTTAGCTGACTTAATTGAACTAGAAAGTTGAAATTGAAATTGTAATTGAAATCATAAATGCATTATTATGTAAAGTATAATTTTTATGCCAATACTTCTTAACATATATGACAAAGGAAACAGTTATTTTGTAGGGAATATTTTTAAACATAATGGCCCGAATTCACAAAGGAGGTTTGTCGACAAACCTAGATTTAAGCGCGTTTCAAACCAAGGTTTGTGCAAACCTTGGTTTGAAACGCGTCATATGACGCAAATAAACCTATGTTTGTCGACAAATCTCCTTTGTGAATTCGGGCTAATAAATTCATACCTGGACAGGTAGGTAATACATCGGGATTCCATGATCCATCAATGCAAGCCAGGCCAGCGGGTCCATCCAGTAACCCACTGCTACAGGTGAACTCTAACACAGAGTCATGAGTGTACCTTTCTGACCGGTACAGTCCCGTCGATAGGGTGTATGTAACTGGTACAGAAACAGCAGGCGGGTCACACGGGGCTACAAAAGGAAATCATGGCAGTTTCTCTTTTAATTAACATTATAATCAAGATATCGGGGTCATAGAAAAAAATGAAACTGTTTTCGTTATATAATGTCTATTTAGTTATATAAAAATCAATTCTCGTTCCTTTTGTTTGCACCTTGTTTTGCAGGAAATCGGCGGTATTATAGCATTTATAAAAGGATTGACGTCACAAACAGACCGGAATATTTAAAAAAATCGGATAAAGAAGATGTAAACAAATGCTGTTATAAAATGGAGGTAAATTTGTCAACTCATTTTTGTTTTACTATTCGAAATGTTATTATCTGATGACAACACTCAAAGCCAAATGGAGCCATTTACGAAAGCTATGTAAGTTTTTAAACTTTCCATGAAGAAAAAAATGAGGTAAGTGTTGCAGAAAAGAGCAGAAAAGGGATTGTTAGTTGTTACCGTAACAAGCGTTGTCAGATATATTTGGGTCCCACTTCCCATCGATGCAGAGAGAGAAGGCCGTCCCTCTAGTAGCGTACGGTATGGGAGGGCAGTATAGTAAGATGAAATCATCCAGGATGTAGTCGTCTTTCAATGGGTTTACAATGATATCAGGGTCCAAGTCGGTAGGGAGAGTACAAACTGGGTCTGAATAAAAAACAATATTACAATCGTTAACAATTTTAGGCTTAGATCCTGGATTACAATATAAAGTGCGTTTTAAACATTGCAAAAGTTCTTGCCAATCTAGGGAATTCTTTGCGTATCGTGTCTTGATATGTAAGCTATATGTCTAAATTCACATTACATTTGGTTATTCGTGCAGTGCAATAAACCTCACCAGAACTAAAAATCTACGTTTGTACTTGAAGTATAAAGCATATTTCTCATATTCACGTGAATGTAAACAATTACTCTATGAAGATTTGATTCGGCTTGATGTAATCTTAAATAGATCCCATTCTCAAAATTCTTGTTCATATCATACAAAAGCTTATTGTCCTGTAAATCTTTTGAAACGATTGCACTTTCAAGTAATTATTTTATCCATTTTCGAATTTTCATGTAGTAATTCATCATGTACCTTCACACGTTGGGTAATCTAGGTCATCCCATACACCATCGACACACAATGGGCTAGATGCATGACTCAAAACCTTCGATGAGAAAGTACACTTGAACATAAGAACATCGCCATGTGTGTACTCCCCAGTGTATCTCCTGTAGATTGTTCATGGTGCGTTAGGTAGGCTGGTACAGACGGCGCAGAACATGGAGCTGTTCAAACATATTAACAAATGTAAAGGAAGCGTATGAGAAAATTAAAAAAACAAGGATCATCATGGCTGCAGGGCCCTCAGGGAGAACAGTATGAATACTGATGAGGCTACCCTGGGTAAACAAGACATATTATTATTATTATTATTATTATTATTATAAGAGAACAAATCAGATGTCTTCCAAAGACACGTGACATGCATGATGAAAACATACCCAACACATCAAACGCACGTAATATTTGGCGATTTAATGCGCACAATTAAGGTACGCATACATACAACTAATTATTGTGATGTGATTTGACAAGAAAATGCGACTTGTGGATATGGAGAAAACGAACATGCAGGACACCAAACCTAAACTAAATGTGTACACACTTGTACACAGTAGCTAAATCGTTATCATCAAGCTACTAAGAGTGTACCAAAGGTTTGACCCTAGGTACACAAGAGGAATATACCATGGGCTAAATGCTGGTCAAGTTTTGCCCAGGGTCCTCATTCAATTCAATTCAATTCATTTTATTCATTTCCATTTTCAATTAAAAAATACAAAGGTATATACAATGATAGGCATTTGCAATATATAATAAAATGGAAATAGGGAACTAAAAATAAGGCCACAAAAAGGCTGAACAAAGGAAGGAGAGAATAAAAAAATGAGTAACAAGAGGAGGATTTCTTAGATCAGGAAAATAATACAAATATTCCACAAAATTGACCATAACATGTTTTAGAAAACAAACACATATGATGCCAAGTGGTGTCACGGCACCCTAATTGGGTTTGCATGTGAAGGTACATCTTACCGTAGCATGCCTTGTCAGATATGTCAGGCAGCCAACCTATCTCCGTACATTGAGAGAATATCCCACCCACAGTCGTGTAAGGTGGAGGAGGACAATACATGATGATAAAGTCACTGACGTCATAGCGATCCTTCGTCAAACTTAGCGTGATATCAGGGTCGAAGTCAGCTGGTAACACACATCCAGGCTCTTCGAAGTAATAATGGTAAAATAAAAATGCATTCATTATAGGAAGTCTGAATTAATAATGATGAATCATAACGTTATATATATATATATATATTGACCAGTTATATATATATATATATATATATATATATATATATATATAGTAATATCAGCAAGCAACTAACCATTCTCCTTAATACTTTTAATATTGGGGTTGGCCTTTGAAAGACAGTGTAGGATCAATAACGTTTTATATTTCCGTGTTAAGCGATATGTTTAAGAAAGATGAAATGAAGAAAATGTTCACGAAATTCACAATCTAGTTAGTTTTCCTACATTGAACATTGACAATAACAATAAAAACGCTAAATTAATACTAATGCTAACGAAAGTATGAACCTTTAGTCTCAGTTGTCAATGGATTTGTCGTAGAAGTCTCAAGCTTGGACGTCAACGTAGTCTTTTTGTCAGGCTCTGCTGGTTTACTTGTCGAATCCAATGTGCTATAGAGATCAGACAAATACCTTGCTGTCGTCATAGGGTCGTTCGTGGTGATTCGTGTTGCAATCGTAGGGTTTACATTTACTGAAGTTAGATATTCTGTCGGTTTGTACGATAAAAAGGTAAATGTAGTTGGTTTGGTCTCTGTTACTGTATCACTTCGAATGGTATGTGACGTCATTGCCGTAGTTTCAGTGTCTAGGGTGGACGCGCCGTATACAGTTGTCATCAAGGTACCAATTGTGACGTCATCCCCATCTGTAGCTGATGTCGGTTGATCTGTTTGATCAGATTCAGTTTGTACAGGTGTTTGGGCTAGTGTCGTGAGTCCTTCGGTCTGCTTGGTGCGACGGACTGATGTCATGTGGGACACGTTATCTAAGGTAGATACGGTCTCACTGACGCTTGCAGATGTTGCGTCGGATCCGCTTTTTGTTGGCACTGATGTAGCCCACGAAGATGGGTTCGGTGTTTCACTAACTAACTGCTCAGTCATATCGGTGGTACTTTCCATGGAGGTTATAACTGGAACATTGGTTAATAGGGGAGTAGTCAAATAGCTGTTTGTCGTAGATGAAACTGAAATATAATATGAATGAGACATTGGCGTAACGATTAAGATGATTGTCATGATGTTGATGATGATGACGACGGTCACGAAGATTGTGATGATAACAATGATGAAGGTAATGATGATGATGATATTGACGAGGCTGCTAATCATAAAAGTGATTTAAGTAAATTATTTTGAAAAGCCACTTAAAGTGAAGCAAACTAAATGCCGATATTAATTATAAACCCTACTTCTAGTATTTGTCCTTCTATGAATTGAACATTATATACATGTATTGTATGATGACAAAGCGGATCCTAATGAAATTATTTGTTTAGACACGTGACGAGGCATTTATTTTGCCCAACACGTAATTTTACTAATGACCGTTAATTAGTAAATATTTATGACAGGTCATTAGTAAAAATCATATTATAAAAAATCATGCTATAAAAAAATAAAAAATCAACTTATAAAACAAGTAACACTCATCATTTCGTCCGGGCGTGTGAGATTATTCCAAAGTAACTGGTGTGGGCAATTCTTACTAATGCCCTCAATGCTGTGTATTATTTGTATAATACCCGAATGTTGGTTAACCTCATCTGAGCACATACATGTTATATACATCACACATACCGTCACAGGTTGGAACAGATGCAGGATCCCAGGTTCCATCTCTGCACATCGACGAAGTTGGTCCGATCAGAGTCGATCTATCTGGTGCAGTGCAACTAAAATCGATGGTGTTCCCGTGAAGGTAGTATGTGTACGAAGTCTCACCCGTATCACTGCGAGTATGAAGAACGTTGCTAGATACAGATGGAGCATTGCATGTCTCTGAAATGATGATAAATATTGCATTATATATCAAGTTACGAGAACAAACAATTAATACAAACATCACCGATCCGAAATATGCAAGGAAAAGGTAAAAGGGAAACAATGTCATAATTTAAACAGCGTCCCAAAAATGATTTATTTTCAACTACCACAGCCACGTGGGTTTGGTTCTGCCTGTTGTGCTTTAAACCTATAAAAAGCAGAAGAAATAGACCTACAGAGTTGTGTTTAAGACGAATAACAGGTAAAAGTAAGATAAAAACCTATGAACAAAAAGGGGTATGTCAGCTAATGAATAACCTTCAATGTAGGTGCATACGAGGCAGCTATTTGAATGCGTTATTACATTAAATAAAGATATGGAATCTTTATTGCAACTCTCACATGGCGCGACAAATGTCAGTATGACCATGGATCTACTCCATGGTCTGACGACGCATCATGCTTAAAGGGCAAAATGTTGTTTTGTATATATTGGCGTAAGGTAACATCTAAATACGTACTGTAGCAGAACCGTTGAGCTGGATCAGGATACCATCTTGAATCCCAGCAGAATGTGAACCAGATCATAGGAGTAGAGATGGTGTCATTGCAATAGAGAAGAAAGCTATCTCCATGAATGAATTGGTTATCCTGACGAGACTGCTGAGGGATCACATACACGTCAGTGTCAACAATGGCCGGGTAAACTGTGCAGTCTGAAAATAAGAGAGGTGTTAATCTTCTTGTGTTAAATAATATTTATCATATACCTCACTTAAGAAATCCAGCCATCTGATTGGTCGAAATTGCATTAATAAACTCTAACTATTCCTGTAATATTCCCGGTAAAATTCCAAACCCATGTAATAGTTTTTAAAAACAGTTCTAAAATCCCAGTAACCATGGTTACCCATAGGTTTGCATGTTAAAAATTGTTTGAGCGATCGAGGATACCGTACGTGTGCGAAGAATTGGTCGGTATTTTCATACAAGACAAGACAATTCCAAACAAGACAAAAATGGCTATTAAAGAAACTCTCCAAAGATTTCAACTTATCAAATGCAAGACTCGCTGACAGCAAGAACAACAAAAAGGGTACGTGAAATTATCCATAAACATGTTCGTTTAGTTGCTGAAAAGCATAGACGTAGACGAAAATAGATCTGATCGCGCACCCGATGTTGTGTGTTAAAATTCTTCCCATAGAGATTGCACGCAATGCAGTCTCTATGCAGTCTACGTGCATTGCGCGACTATGCGACAAAGTCAAGTTTTTTTTTTCAATTCGAGATTCAAACATTTATCTGTTGTGATCCTGAAGGTGATACTCAATCAGTGAGGTGTCATATTAAAGCATAGGTTCTTCTCCATATTACCCACAGGGCCGGCCCAACCCCAAAATTGTACAAATATCTTGCTTAGACTAGTAGAATCTAGATCTAGTCTACTCTCAAAGATACACTCATAAAAAACAACCGCGCAGATAAACTAGAGAAAGGCAAAGGTGGTGTCATTAGTGGACTGTTTTGTTTTCGGCATATAAAAGTATTAATGACTGCTTTAATATTCGAGAAATAGTTGTTTTTATACGCTCTCGGGAAGGTTACAATTGGGCTGTTGCCCTCGGCACGCCTCGGGCAATAGCACAATTCTAACCTTCCCTTGAGCGTATAAAAACAACTATTTCTCTCAAAGCAGTCATTAATACTATAATATTTCTGCTTATAGAGCGCCTAATACATGGCCAATTCCGAGTTTCTAAGCGCTTTACGTATTACCCCCGATCATCGGATTCTGGCTAGCCCGCACACAATGTACATGTATGCACTTTCTTCACTCCCTGGGGAGCATTCTAGCAAGAGCTACTAGGCTCAAATTGCTAAGCATACTACATTGGCTTTCGCATCCTACCGGGTACCCATTTAAAACCTGGATGGAGAGTGGCATATGTAGATCAGTGTCTTGTCAAAGGACATTGCCGCGGCGGGACTCGAACCGCAGACCTTGCGACCGACAGTCCGGTGACATATAAAGCATAAGAGCAGGTTTACAAACGATCTAAACTGTATATACACCTCTTAATTACTATTGATAATGATAACGGAGCTTTATCAAGGCGTGCCTAATCTAGATTCAACATTCGGGATTAATACACATTGGAAAGATAATACAAGGACAAGCAGATCTTTTTATTTCATTGGAATGAACTTCATTTGGGTATATAAATTTAGGCCAACACGGAAACCGAATATAGTATAATATATAGTTAGTACAGCGTAAACGCAAACATTTTCTTCGTAAGAAAACAAAGAATATCTATGAACACGATGAATGGCCTCGATTTTAGTGTCTTTCCAATGTGCATTAATCATCAATGTTTAATGAATATACAGCTATGATGAATAAACAAAAATATAATAACTTACTCTCGCCATCTGGTGGAAGAGTGAAATACTCCTGGGTGAAGACCGGCTTAGGTTCTAATGTAGTGATTCCTGCCGTTGTTCCAGCAACTATGATAATTTATATAAACATGTATGCCTATGAATGAAATTAACGTAACAATTTACATCCGCAATAACTGAGTGTACAAAACCAAAGTCGAATGTAAAGGTAGTCAATATGATTCTTAAAGAAAACTAGAAATTGAGTATTGATCAACGTATGGGATTAATATACGTAAAACTGATAATAACTCAGTTGCTCTAAATAAAACCTTTTTTAAATGTCTTTTACCATGTATCGGGGTGTTACCTTTGTGTCGATTACCAGTGATTATATCTTAAAGCCCGTCTGTACTGGTTTGGTCAGGGGGATTGGACCTCCATGCAAGGTCACTGACAGGTGGTTATCTCATCAAATCAGCTCTCAATCATTGTAAGAAAAAGAGGATCATGGGGGTACCAACAGGCACCGATTATGCATTGTTTGCTATAATAATAACAATAATAAAAACGTTACTTATAAAGCGCTTACCACCGGAGTCTCTAAGCGCGATACATACAAAATAGACTGATATACAATTATATCTTATACAAAATTAAAATTGCAAATAAACCTACAAATTACAATACATATGGAATACACATCAAAGTGAACAGAGTTAATTAATCATCGAACGCAATTTTGAATAAATGTGTCTTGAGACTAGTTTTGAATAGGTTAACGGTATGACAATTGTTTACATTCAAAGGTAATCTGTTCCAAAGTTCAGCAGAAGCTTTGCAAAAGGAGCGATTACCATAAGAAAGAGTTGGCACAGAAGTAGATACGAGGTTTAATTGTGAATATGACCGTAAATTGCGGGAGGGTTTGTATTCCTGGATTAATTTTTGCGGATAAATTGGTGCCAATTCATGAATGCATTTATAAGTTAAACTAAGATTTTGTACATAATGCGGTAGGTCACCGGCAACCAATGCAATTCGCGAAATGCTGGGGTGATGTGTTCACAAGAACGCGTGCGTGTTACAAGCCTGGCAGCAGAGTTTTGGATTCTCTGGAGTTTTGCAATGTGCGAGTCAGGAAGGCCATGAAGAAGGCTATTGCATTGAACAAGACGGCATGTAATAAATGCATGTATAAGCGTTTCGGTAGATTTTTGATCAAGAAGATTTCTAATACGACTTATCTTGTACAAGGCATATGAAGCTGAGCGACAAATATTTTTTTATATAATCATCCATCCTAATATCATTTTCAAAGATGACACCAAGGTTACGTGCACTTTTGACAGGTTGTATCGGAACATTAGCAAATTCGACAGATGGTAAATGGGAGGATTTTCTGAATCGAGATGTTACATGTATAACCTCAGTTTTATCCTCATGTAGAGGGTCCAAGTAGCTATAAGTAGTGCAGTGGGGCTTTAACAAGAATATTAGGTCATTAGTGAGTGTAAAACCTCGTTGAGACATTACTGGGTTGACCGAGTTTTTCTGTGTTTTAATTACTTACTCTGAACAATAATCTTCATCGTATAACATATACATGAGTGAAGACGGGTAGGGAGTTCGTTGTGCTCAGTTGTCATTCATTCACACACTATAAACAAATTAATTGTCAGGGTTTGAAAAGGTCTTAAGAATAAAAGGTTGTACAGCTTACACATGCAGTTTGGTTGATCGATGGGGTCCCAGCTCCCATCAACACAGGCTGCCTCACTAGGTCCTGAGAGTATGCCTCTGGTACAGCTGAATAATAGAATTGAGTCATGGGTATATTTGCCATCCCGAACTAGGCCTGATGTATGTTTGAAAACTAGAGGTGAGATCAAATCCACTGACTCGCAAGGTGCTGTGAGGAAAAAAACAAAACTAATGATATTCCCCATTTATTTTGCAATTGTATATTATTCGGTGCAAACTGTGCTATCGTATCTGCCGTTATAACGTAAAACCTGTTTTATACAGGTATTGACCACAGAATTATTTTAATTGTCAAACTTGCGATTTCCTTTCCGTTGTATTCATTGTTTCTATGAAAAATAAGTTTTATGTTGTTGTTTTAAAAAAAAAAAAATTCTCATGTAGATTCTTATTTCGTTATTTGTTTCTATCGTGGATCACCTTGATAATATATTTTTTTTTAAACCGACGAGGTGCTTTCTTTCTCCGCTATTGATATTCCATGAAATATGTTAGTGGTGTGTATGTTATACAGTGTAATTTACCATAGCAAGCATTGTCCGCTATATCTGGTTCCCATCTGCCCTCTGTACAAACAGAGAAGGTTGTTCCTCTTGTGGCGTAAGGTACGGGTGGACAGTGGAGAATGATGAAGTCTGTCAAAATGTATTCAACCTGTGATGGGTTTACAATAATATCAGTATCCATGTCGGCCGGAAGAGTACATACTGGGTCTGGTTAGATAACAGAAAAGGGGGAAAAGTGAAAGACGATCTTCAATACAAGAAGGAGTGAGAAAGCTGAACATTAGCTTCGGTTATTCTCTCAAAAACGTCTACATTAAAGTTCACCGAAATCCTGTTGAAAGGCATGCCAATTTTGATACCTGGGTTTCAGTACGAAGTCAGTGAACTTGTACGTATGACTGTTTCATGAAACGATGCCTAGAATAATTAGAGGCTAGTTCATTTACGGAGTATTGTTTTGTTGTCACGTTAAAGGTGCCATCGGCCCAATGCTGATAAAGTACAAGTCCTTGAAACTATTACAAAAATTAGAAGAAGACGTGAAATAAATCATCCATTCGAAGTTGGCATAATTCAGATGCATGAAGAAAAATGTAAATGCTATACCTTCGCACGTCGGATAATCCAGGCCATCCCACACTCCATCGACACACATGGGGCTAGGCGAAGCGCTCAAGACCTTCCATGAGGTAGTACAGGTAAAAGCTATGGTGGTTCCATGGTCATACTGGTTTTTGTTCTCCCCAGACGATTCATCACTATGGGTTAGATAGGATGGTACGGCTGCGGATGAGCAGGGAGCTACACAAAAAATATCAATTTAGATCAAACAAAGAATTTAAAAAAAAAAAAAAAAACGAAACGAAAAATCTTGACACAGGAATGCATCTAAAATGGGGTGATATCAACGAATTTGTATTAATATATTATATCATAATTATTGTTAAGGCATATACACACCTGTATTTCTACATTGGCTTCATTATAAGAGTTGTGAATAATTATAAAAACAAATCGACATAATTAATCAATGAATACGGTTTATTATCGAACCTGCTCGCTGTTTATGTTAATAACAAAATATAAAGGAGCTCTACAGTCAAGGTCGTTATGAAATTTAATTCCAAGTCTTAAGGAAACTTGATATAAAAGATGAATGATAAAAACCAAGCGGGTCTCACATTATCCAAGACTTTGCTGTACTTGTGCATTTTATTATCTTATGTAGCTGTAGAAATGTACATGTTTTCCACACTTACCGTAACACGCATTGCCAGATATATCTGGTGACCATCCTGCCTCGGTACATTGGGAGAAAACCTCTCCATGATGGACATAAGGAGGTGGCGGACAGTAAAGAAGGATGAAGTCTGATACGTCGTAACGGTCCTTCTCGACGCTCGGGTAAATATCAGGATCGAGATCCGCTGGCAATATGCAACCTTCGAATATCAAAACATATGTGTAACATATGAATAAGTTGCAACAGACATGACTAAATAAAAGCAGTTCGGCCAAAATATATAGGCCATTATTATTATGAACCAGTTTATATTGAGAAGTGGTGAAAGAAAACAACAATAAAGGCATCTATACAAGCCTTACCAGATTTGTTATCTTAGCTTAAATGCATAAGAATATTTCCCATGTTTTCATTTTCTGTTGTTGGCTCAATGTATCATCATTATATTGACAGTGACTTTAAAAGGTATGATAATAACACACAACTGTATAAAAACAACCAAGCTGTCAAATATGTTTTTTGTGACTGCATGGCTCAGGGAATAGCTTTTTTAACTTTGTTGAAGTCTTATCCTTCTTCAAGACAAAGCTATCTTGATAGTGCCTCTCCGAAAGCATGCATCTTCAAAATCCTCATCTCCTTAACAAATGTGAACAACATCAAATTTGAGAGAACTTGCATATTAAATATTGTCCTGGTCAAATAGTATGTAATCGTACCTGCAGGGATCGTTGTCGATTTCACCGTTGTTTCCCTGGGCTCGGTCTGTCGCTGCGTGGTCAACATGTTGGTCGTTGTGGTTGCATGCTCCGTATGTGATGCAGTTGATTGTCCTTTGGTTGTCCACGTAACAATTTCCATGGTTGTAGATGACTCGGTCTTCCCTGTTTCAGCGGTGGTCTTAGACTCCTCAGTCCCGGGATCTGTGTAGGATGGTGGTGTTTGTGTGGAGTCTGTTTCCATTTGTGTGTTTCCAGGTGAAGATATCTCAGTTATCTTTGATGTCGAAGTCGTGTCAGTTAGAAAAGGAGGTTGCTGAGTTGTTGCATCGGTCACATGGTCAGTAGATGCTGAAAAGGGGGTTGAATGTAACGTCGATGTATCGGTTAGAAATTTCGTTCCGGTTGATAATGATTCTGTGATTGCAGTAGGATGTGTAGATTGTTCAGTCATTAGATTTGTTGGATTACCAGAAGATGTCTTGATGGTCGACTGCTCAGTCGATTTACCAGTTAAAACTTCCATTCTGATTGAGGACAAGGTATTTGTGATTTCAGATGGGTTAGTAGATTGTTCAGTGATAAGATTAGTTTTTGTATCTGAAGATGTAGTAAAGATTGACTGTAGGAAGGATGTTCCCGTTGCACCTTCAGTTCCGGTCGACGCTACTGTTTTCATGCTTTCTGAGGGGCTTGTAGTTTGGTCATTTGTCAGATCAGTAGGGATATCAGTAGCTGTTGTATGTGTGGACTGAAAAGTCGATGTACCTAACGTAGAAGTCTCCGCGTTTGTTGACGACGTTGTATCTGTAATCTCAGTCGGGTTTGCAGACCATTCAGTGGGTTTTGTAGCTCCATCGGTTATTAGGATGTCTTCAAATTCTGTTATATAATCAATGGCCGTAACATAATCCGTTCCAGCGTTCGACAGCGTTACGGCTCCTGTACGTTTTTATTGAAATAAAAAGTATTGGATTTATTATAGGATTCCTTTAACTCAAGCAACACATTAACATTAAATTTAATTATGTTTAATAAATCTTAGAAATCTAATTCAATAATTGTTTATTTTAATGAGGCAAAATTGTGAAACAAATTACAAGTCCTTTTAAAGTACGGGAAGTTTTGAATGGAAATTATATTAGAAGCATAAGGAGAAAATATTATTGCATAATAACCGCTTGTGTTTATTGTAGAAATGGTTTGATATTCAGACATTAAAAGAATATCAAATAGGTAACTTGTTTATGAGCATTACCCTGAATTGTTTGTTGGGAATGTAAACCCGAACTAGAGTAATTCATCAACAGATGACCCAGCCACTTCCGCAAGGTACTCATATAAGGACTTTTTATACCTCATTAATAATTCAAATGTACAGTATTTTCAATAAATTGTTTAAATGTATATTGTTTGGGACCTTCTGTTCTTACCATTTGATCTAGCACTCATAAGAAAAATCACTGAGCTGAGAATGATATTCCACAGGTAAAGTTTCCTAAATTGTCGGTGTTCCATGATGACAAAAACGGAGAAAAGTCCAATGCAATATCATAACATTCACTTTGTGACTCTTGAAAAACACAAGGTTGTGACAAAAGATGTTACCACCGATCTTTAATGATTACTGTAAACAAAATCATTTCTGCTTTATTTTTTGGCCCGATATTCAATCATTAAATCCGTGCTTGGTTAGTCCACTCCATTGACGTCTGTCATGAAACACAGAATGAAAAAACGTGGATGTAAGTAGTCCAGCTCGATATACATCGTCCACGCAAAGATGCCTGTGAGAAATGTGATCAAAAGTAGCCTGTGACATGAATTTGATTTTCAAGAATATATGTCTGGTAATTTTAGGTCTCCATCAAATTCTTCGTCCGTCAGTGTCAATCATAAGTAGGGGTAAACCTCTTTATAATTTCCTATGATATTAAAGTAAGGATCCAACTCTACAGTAGCTACAGTCGACCTTTGTTTGCCATTATTTGTAAAGTACTCACAATATCATGTCACAACCTTGTCCATTTTGAGATGATGGATGAGCTAGTTGCATGTGTCAGTGACGTGTTTCTACTACTCACTAATTTGACCGATACTTGGCGCCCTGGAGCAAATGTCAAGCCCTATGCATCCCAGTCACACCTACGATACCTACATCAGACCGATAGCAGACATAACGAAAAGTAACAATACCATGAAAAGAAAAGATTTGAGCACCGTTTCACGAAACTGTGATAAGTACAAGTTCAATGCCATCCACTGGTCTCATTTAAGAACAAAATAATCGCATGTCAGGGGGATGTCGGTGAACTTGTACTTATTGAGGTTCCATGAAACGATGCCCTTGTTGGTAAGCATGATAAGAAGTCAATGTGGGATCGTTCTGGTTGTGTGACTGAGGTATTTGTAAGTCATATCAGATAGATAGGATAGACACGGATGCGATGGAATATATATATATATATATATATATATATATATTACATATAACAAAGAAACTGGTACTTCTTTCACCAATTTTAATTCGGTCCATCTATTTTCGAGATCACATTTTATCTAAAGAGGCTTCTGTATTGGCGATCGATATCTGTCAGTCTTTCCTTTTCTCTCCCTCCTCTTTCTATATCTCTCTTACTCTATCTCTCTTACTCTCTCTCTTTCTCTCTCTCTCTCTCTCGTCTATTTCTTCCATTTATCTTTCTCCATTTTGCCCCCTAACCTCGTTCTAACACTCCATCATCATTCAGGCCTATTCTATTTCCTCTTGTGGTACATACTATTTTGATTGTTGCTGGGCGTATTCTGCAAATAAACAAGGTTCTACCCCCCTCGTTATGATACCAAGTACTTGCTATTTACAGGGGACATGTGTCGACACTTTTCTCGTATTAGCACTACCTTACGAAAGTAATAAACCCTTGGTTAAATGAAAATTATGAAACAAATCAATTACAATACCATCAATCTCTTGTCATTGAAATTGTAAAGCTGACTGGCATGGGAAGGGCTGACATAATTTGACAAAGGAATATATTCAGGGTTCGATAGTAGTGTAAAGAGTCACATAACAATACATTATAGTTTTCTCACCATTATGTTCTTTCACCATTACGGCTTGAACATTATGTAGTTAATATCTAAAAAGACTTTCAACAATTATTAGAATAGGGGAAAAAATCACCTAAAATATATAATTTATTGCCTGAGATTATGATGAATAAAATCAACTATGTATTTTGCTAATATTGCATGATTTATGTATCACCAAATTCAATTGCGTTCTAAATATGAAAGGAGTATTTCCCCCTTCTCATTTTTGTGACGCAATTTGTAAGTGGTATAGGTGAATTTAATGCATAGCAAAAATTGATAACCACCAATAATGCTGTCATCTTCATATTTAGATGTAGATGCTGATTGAAAACTGACAGAGTGCATTCTAAATGTTGATATTACGGAGACAGAATGATAGCAATAATAATTTGTATGTCATGTTTGCATAACCCATTGTTGTATCCATGCAAGAACATTCTGTAAATATTACGATCCAATTCAAACTGATACAATAACTTCAAACTTAGATCAATTATAGTAGCAACATAGTGATTGAGAAATGTCAATTTTCAATTACTTCGTCAACAGCAGGAATGTAAAGCATTAAAAATGCTCTACTCTTTGTTTGTTATTCAAACCGAAAATCCGAGATATGCGTTAGAAGCAAATATAACCAATATGACTTTGAAATTGAATTCATGATGAAATTCATCTTGTTTCCTGTAACATGATACCATATTCATAATATTTCTGCCACGGGTGACTGAGCACCAGAATCTTTAGAAGTGTTGTCAAAATCGCCTTCTACCAATTTTTGGTCTGATGGAACGAATGTTGTTCAGGTTATATGCATGTGCTTCTTTGGTCTTAAATCCATTAAAAAACTTAGAATATGCCCACCGCCCCGATGTATCATTGTATTTAGGCTTTCACAGAACCTTGTTTAGAATCCGCATTTAGGATAACCTTTAATTATTTTGAACAATTTTGAACAACCTAATAACCCTTCTTTCTCTTAGTTTTTCTCTGCTCCACTGTGCCATTGTTCACGCCTAAGGAGCATAGTGTGTTTATCCCGAATAGCGAATACAAAATCAAAGGTTAATAAACCAAATTTCGAGAAGAAACACATCTATTTTATTTCACTCAATGAGAAGGGTTACCTTAAACAAGGGATGCGAATGAATGCAAGTTTGCAATTATAATAAGAAATTGTCAAAAAAAATTCTTAATATGAGCATTTCATTGACTGTGATTTGGTATTTACATCTTATCCTTTCAATTACCTAATATTCAGTGTAAATAAGTAAGCGATTGTTTTTGGAATGACATAACACGCACATAATGGCTTTTGGGTCATATTTATTGCTTCGGCCCAAACTTGGTACAAGAGGATTTTGACAATACTTTTTGAGAAAAAAACCTGTTGCTCAGTCATCCATAGCAGCTGAATATGGTTTTATTTGGCAGGGTATAAGTTACCCTCACATTGAAATATGATTCAAGGTTACATAGTTTACCAATGTTTAGTTTAATAGCAGCTACCAAAGTTGTGTACACTTCTTTGTGAACGCAATGTACATCAAGTATTTGTGTTACCTCTGTACAGTGTTTGTTTTTGAAGAAAGATCATCTGCCTAAAAATAGCGATATGTTTGTCTCCCTGTCAAACAGTTTATTAATACTTGATGCATATAGAGTAATGAAGTGTGACGTCATATTGGCTAAGTAGTCAAAGTTGCTGATTCCAAACAATGTTCAACAAAAAGGGATAGAGCAACGTCGATCTGGTGCTGCTCAGTGGCTGCCGGGCTCACGATCAATTGGGCAAAAAGAATTTCCATTGTCGGTTAATAACATTTGGAGTGGACTTTAAAAGATTATTATTATTATTATTATTGTTTCTTCCATATTTGAATGGAATAAGCTAGATAATTCATTGAGAACGGCTTCCTCTGTCAATTCATTAAAGAGATTGTTTAAACAAAGTTGTAATTTGTGAATGGCTCAGCCGTACATACACTACGTGCATGTTCTGTAATATTTACATGACTTATTCACATAATTGCGACTTAATTAATATTTTCCTATTGACATTACTTTTTTCTAGGTTAATGATTATATTTATTTTGCAAACAAATATTATTTTTGTAACTGTTCTGTATGAATGTTATAAACGATGTAAATATGTTCATTCAGGGCCCCATGGAAGACCACTACTTGTTGGTGAATGGGCTACCCTGTCAAAATATTAGAAATAAATAAATAAATAAATAAATACAATTATCATGTTGTGCTCAAACATGGTATGCTAATCACACCAGCCCCAAACACCAAATATGTGCTGCTCCAGGTGCTCCAGCCCGTTGCTTTCATGATTTCGCGGTGAACCGCATGCGCATGCTCTGCTGTGTAAAACCAGTAACATGGACGACGAGCGAATATGAAGTTATCACTTCGGTACCCTACTAACATGATTGACATAATTATGTATATCGTTTAGCACGATATTAGAGCTTTGATGGTATAATATGTTGCCAGAATAAAACGTCTAGTATTTTCGACATTCTCGTAAATAGTCTACCACGCATTCACTCTCAACATTAGGGGGCCTCATTACGCATAATTATGTTGCGTGCAAGGCAAGCTTTTTCCACGTTTAATTCATTGTGTGTTGTTTGCTGCCAAAGATATTTCTTTGGTAAGATACATATATGTTTTTTGTTCTTTAATATCTTAGTCCTCAAAATACACCTTTGTGCCATTTATTTTCATTTCTGCCATGGCCTAGGTGGGGCCGTTTAAAGCTGGGCCCGTTCAAGAAATAAAACAAACCACTCAGACACCTGATGGGGATGTTTCACCAGACTTGTGTTCGGTGACAAATGACAGTTTTTTTTTATAAGCTAGTGAAATCCTTGCTTCTGATTAGTTATCAGCAGATTTTCACAGATTTTTGTCATTTGTCATTGGAAAAGGGTTTTGTGAAACACCCCATATACAGTGCGTCCCAGAAAAAACGAAACCGAGAACTATCGATGTTTTATCATAACTTAAAGGGAAAGTCCACCCCAAAAAAAAGTTTGTTTCGATAGAGGCAGAATAATAAGAAAATCAGGTGAGTGAAAGTTTGAGCAAATTCTGAATGAAAATAAGAAAGTTATGAATTATTGAAGTTGTGATCAATCAAATACAAATTGGCAACTCTGTGACTTATCATACGAGCTCTCCTTCATTTGCTTTGTGCATAATATTCCATAAAATCATGTTTTCTTCGTTATTGATGACGGAAAATATATTTGTTCCTTGCAGGGGGAGTATAGAAACAAATTTGCAATTATTATATTTAGGGTGCATGTATGGTTGAAATTTTTCTTGAGGGAAAATGAAAATTTTAGATTTTTTTAGTACTGAGCAAATGGAAGTTGAGCTCGCATGAGTTGCCAATTTGTATTTGATTGATCACAACTTCAATACTTCATAACTTTCTTATTTTCATTCAGAATTTGCTCAAACTTTCACTCACCTGATTTTCTTATTATTCTGCCTCTATCGAAATAAACTTATTTTGGGGGTGGACTTTCCCTTTAATCACAATTATAATTAATAAATGATACATATTTGGAAAGCTTAGATCCTCCTCTTCCATTTGATACAACTCATATGATGCATATTTCACGCATGAGTGCTTAAAAGCAATTTGAAGAGAGGAAACCAAACAGTCATTTGCCGAGCGGTATCTGAATTTCAAGGAGAAAATCACATGTCTAGAAAGTTCAGGTTGAGGTTTCATATGAAAGTGCAGAAATTGAACTTTCTAGAAATGTGATTTTCTCCTTGAAATTCAGAGACCGCTCGGCAAATGACTGTTTGGTTTCCTCTCTTCAAATTGATTTTAATCACTCATGTGTGAAATATGCATCATAATGAGTTGTATCAAATGAAAGAGAAGGATCTAAGCTTTCCAAATATGTGTCATTTATTAATTATAATTGTGATTAAGTTATGATAAAACATCGATAGTTCTCGGTTTCGTTTTTTTCTGGGACGCACTGTATAATCAATACGCAATTGGGTTTCGTGAACCTCATATCCAAAAAGCACATATAAATTGTAATTGACTTCATTTTATTCATTTATTTGTCCAATGAACATTTGACATGGATATTTATTTCTTTTGCTCATAATAATACAACAAAATAACGGTCGAAACATTGATATATTACGTTGATGATTAAAATATTATACATAATATTTCGTTGGTTATGGATTGTTCTCTTTCAATTATCTAAATTTGATAATTTATTGGTCTTTCTTAACATACTTTAGATTAATTTGTGATTTGCACATAAAATATTTTGAAGTCTCTTTATCCGCTAACAATGTAGCCATAGTACTGTATACACATTCTTAACTTACTTTCCTTATTTCTATATGGAACAAAAATGAAAATGTACTACATCAAGATAATCACTACGTTTTCTTATGATAAAATAAATTAACATTTCAGTCAGGTAATTCTATAAAACGTATTCATTATGGGAGAATTAACAAGTAAACACATTATACATGACTTCTTATAATATTTATCTGTTAATACATGAATATAATAGGGTACAACCTAACTACAAATGTAAAGACTTATATAAACTTTAACGTCAGTTTTAAGAAAGGAGACTACAATATTAAGTTTTGTTATATTAAAGACTGACGGAAGATAATTCCAGAGGCTAGGGGCGGCTGCTCCCAACGCCGTGTAATAGTGGACTTAAGTTGAGCTGTTGAGGTATTAGTAGGAAGTGCTGGTTTGCAGATCTAAGTCTTCGTGCAGGAATATTAGATGAGATCTTATGGAAAATATAAGCTGGACTCATATTGTTATGAGCTTTATAATAATAATAATAATAATAATAATATGGATATTTATATAGCGCCGGTATCCGCCAGGCTCTGACGCTCATGTACATAAATAAAGTAAACTTAAACCACACCAATTATAACGCTATGTTGACATGATTAAATAGCACTGTTTAGAAGGAGATGGGTTTTTAGAGCAACTTTGAAGTCATGGAGGGCAGTTAGGTTACGAATACTAAGTCTAAGTGGCATAATTTTGACGATGATTCTTTTCAGTCGGAGGCAACTGGAGTTCTTGAAAATATAACAGTTCTTGATCTGGATAACAGTTATAGATTTATAAAGCGCATTAAATTTAGTAGCGTTTCCGAGCTTCAAACATAATCTGACCTATTTTTTGTATACGTCCGATTTCACTGAGATATACTTTGTGGAAGGCGCCCCTTACGTGCAGTAATTGCACACGGCGCAATTACGACGTACAAGCTTTCCGTGTTGCTTAAGTGTGTCAGATTCCACTACCAACATTCGAGGACTTAATGCATAGCCAAGTCGTTGTAGATGATTGCAGGCCCTTTACCCTGCAAGGAAACAAAATAGAAAAAAGTGGCATATGAATAAATATTTGGATAAAAAGATTGATGACTACCTTGTTATTACACAATAATTCGGATTCGTCTACAACAGGATGCAAAGACTGAGAAAGTAACAGCTTTAAACAATCGAGAAACGGTAACTCTGTAGTACACTGCAATGTTGTGGAATAACAAAATATATAATTAGTCTTGCGGTGCACACAGAAACGTGTGCATGGGGTAACTCATATGCGGCATGACTGTTTGATCCAAACATATATCTTGTCATATATTTTGTTTTAATATGACAGCATTTCAATAGGAATCTTTTTCATTAGACATTTCTTCTTGCTATGCCCCTCAACTGACATTTACAAACAAATGAAAAAACCTCACAAATTATTTCCCTCCTTTACCAGTGCCTCTTATATTACTTTAAAGCCTAGTAATGGATTGTACGATTGATGGATCAATCGCCCAATCAGTTAGTCGTACAACATGGTTAATTACACAATAGTAATCAATTGATATAAAGTTACCTTTGTATCATACGGGTCATAGAACTCTTCTTTCTCAACCTTTGATACATGCTTCCTTACTTTGTATCTGACATTTGTCGTCCCCCCCCCCCTCCCTTCCACTCCGGGAACAGAGGGATCGCATTCATGTTCCAAAAATCTCCGGTAAAGGGGTACTTTTTACGCAACAAAGTCCGGCTCGTAATAAACACACAAACAAAATCGGCCCGTATTGACTTTCCACACCGGACTCAGGAGGGTGATTTCAAAGGGAGGGAGCATTCATACGCGTACCCTAAATAGAACTGGGGGGGGGGGGGTTAATGAATTGACATCGGACGCTTACCGATAGATCCGGTGAGTATTCCTGTCTCCCATCGGTTCTCCTGTTACCCCTGGAGATGGGAACCAGTGCAGTCTCTGGTAGGACGTTGGGCCCTGGGGGTTGTCTCATCCTCAGCATAGAGTGACCGTATCTCTCGATGTGGGGATCGAGTACCGAGTCGATGTCAGATTCGATGGATTCGGACCCATCGATCACCTTGGCGAAGAACATGGGACCATCAGCACCTCCTCTGCCCTCAGGGTAGACTCCATCACCATGGTAATTCTATGAAATTGAATATAAATGGACCTTTTTCATTCAAACGTTTGAATAAAACATGAACATAAATGATCAACACTTAAACGCTACATGTACTTTTGTTTTTAAGTAGGCATATTTATTGAAGATACACAATATTCCATATGAGATTTATTGAACAGTTTTCTTTCTTTTTTTGGAAAAAGAAAATGACTACTAAATACTCAACCATATAAAATCCCACTTCATGCCATTTCTCTATTTTCTATCTCAATTCATATTGGTGTCAGACAAACAATCCTTTAGATTCCATGATATCTTTTTATCATTCAATGCTATTGTTTGTCTCTGATCTTACCACATTTCTCATAATGACATCGTCATCGAAACTGTATGAATGTGGACGCTCGCCACGTCTAGGATCGGGCCGCATGTCGTCCTGGAATCTTTGTTTGTAAAAGCGTCTTCTTTGGACCATCATCACGTAAGCTAGACAGCAGAAGAAGGAAAGTAAGGCAGCTACTGCGCATACGCTGATGGCGATGACCACTGCCTCCCACGGAGCTGTTTAAGAAACAAGCAACATGATTAGATTAAAGGGAAAGTTGTGGGAAACGTGGAATATTATTTGAACTTTAAAAAGAAATTGTGTTGGTGTTAAAGAATATTAGGACAAATTCATGTCCTTTGAACAAAGAAAGTTCTTAAATGCCCTCATAATCGAAATAACACAATATACGGACTAAATTCGGACCATTTATGTCCCGGTATGCCCCCGGTCTTCATGTAGTTATCTTCTTAAAGTGAATCGATGGTTCTTACCAGAACTTTTCGAGCTTTCAATGGATAAATTAGTTTTCTTACCAAAGCATACAATAGTATTATTGAATATATTCCTAGTTTACATTTACATGTTAGTTTAAAGAAGTAGCGTAGACACATACCTAATCCAGAAGAATTAGGCTCTTCGGTAGATCCAATTTCTGTAGGGGAAAAATGTAATGCATTTGTTAAAGATATATCATATATTGTCTTAATTACATGTTGTACAGAGCAAAACGTTTATGGTTTAAGCAGACAATATCAACACTAATCAAGTCGCTTACAATTCTGTCGCTCTAAAACATTGTTTTTCTATTCCTTCCGTATCGAATCGAGTAATAAGAAATAGGCTAGTTGTCTTAAATGATAATAAGAATTATATTCTAAATTTATATAGCGTTTAATTCTAAATAACGCCTCTTTACAGTTAAATTCTGGTCATCGGATTCATTCACACACAATGTGCTCCACTACCTGGGAAGTATTCCTACCACTATCCTGAGGTCATGTGAAAAAGTACTAACAAAAATCCTTCGTCATCCTACCCGGTTCCAAATTTCTCTTTTATGTATGGAGTGGAAATGGAGACTAATGCTTTGACAAACGACGTTGCTGTGTCGAGGATCGAACCCACGACCTTTGGATTTCCTGCAATGTGGCTAACCGCTGCACTACGACACCTCTACAATCTTTGTGCCATCTCTGATCACATGCAATAGTCTATCGGTTTCATAGTATCACAAAATTAATGTGACCCTAATGCATAGGAGTTATGTGTAAGCATTAGCGGCACTGGAATGTGTGTCGGCAGGCGGGTGAGGCATTGCTTTGAAATAATTGTTTTGATTGGGTGAATATCACTTTCAAAAAATGTCCGCAAAAGTTGAAGATTGGTGATGTTAGATGGACGCCTTTAAAGTTGTTCATGCGTGGGTATATAGAAGGCAGCACATATCCGTACGTACTGGGGCGTAATACCCGTTGGCTCAGTGCTATGTAGTGATCGCCAAGTTGCCTGCTTAACGATTGACTATATACCCACGCATGAACATTTTTAACATCGCAACAATTACAACAACAAAAAAAATCAAATTGTCCATACAATATCTACCAAAAGGCTGACCTAAAATTAAGGAGGAAGTTGGGAGAGGAAGTTGGACAGATAAACACATGAAACAAAATTGAAAAGGGTAAACGATGAAACATGATCTTTGGATACAATGCAATATTTGTTCGCCTCATTCTCTACAACCTATACACTCCCTACCACAAACGTGCCCCTAATCAAGCCCGAACCATCCCCATGTCTTTACACACTACTCGACCATGCACTTTCAAGAATACATCCTACGTAAGAGTAGCCTATAATCTAGGCGGAGTGCCGAGCTTTTTTCTTTGCTGCTAAACTAACCTTAAGCAGAACGTCTGATACGGCGAGACTACGAACCGTGAGCCGCGAAGCGGCTCACCGCCTATAATCACTGGTCTAGCTTTAGTCGTTGTTTTTTTTTTTATTATCGACCATGAATCCGTGGCAGTTTTTCGTACGAAAAAACCTCATGAGTACGAAATGAACTCAACCAATCAGAAACACGTATGGAGAAGAGTCTATGCATATGCATATTATAAATCACGTGACATTACGTCATTTTCTTCATCCAAGATGGCGGGTAGTTCATGCGACGACGATCTTCTGCGAGAAAGTTTTATCATATGCGGCCAACAAACTAGGCATTCCTAATGGAAAATTCAGAGAACTGCAGGAATCCGCTATTCGTAGCGTTATTGAAGCCGGCAGGGATATTTGTGTTGCATTACCTACTGGTTTTGGAAAGAGTGCAATATACCAAGCAATCCCCTTGTGCTGTGATTTCCTACGCGACCACGGATTCTATGATCATTTTTTCGTTGCGGTTTCTTATATCTGATTGGTCGAACGTAACATAGGTGTACCTTATTTGGTAGGGCTGTTGAATGATTCATAGATCCGCCATTTTGAATATATATGAATATTGATTAGCTAGACCAGTGATTATAGGCGGTGAGCCGCTTCGCGACTCACGGTTCGTAGTCTCGCCGTATCAGACGTTCTGCTTAGGGTTAGTCTAGCAGCAAAGAAAAAAGCTCGGCACTCCGCCAAGATTATAGGCTAACGTAAGAGTGGCATGACGTTATCCCATCCAAGAAGTTACCTGCTCCATATATTAAAGGGGCACTGTTACAGCTGGGGGTGTGGGGGCAATAGCTCAACTCGAAAAATGATATGCGACTTGACAAGGCTACATAATCAAGGAGTGCGGGAGATTGTTTATTATTTTCTTATTCGCCCTCTTCCTTTCTCTCTTTTCTTGATTTGTTTCTTTTTTAATATTATTAACATTAAGACCTTTTTTTCAAGGGGCACATGCTCATCATCTCCCTATGTATCTAGGGGAGCGTTTATCGGGTCTTGCCACTAGATATGTACATATCGAACCCCACTGTGCGAATGTGATTTTCGGGATGTCGCGTTTATCGTCTCTTCGCGATTACAAAAAGGCCTTGTCTCTGCGCAGCTTGTTGCGCCGTTTGACCCGGGAAGCAGAGAGTTGCTCGGAGGTCAACTAGGGCAAAGCACTGGTTGCGCACTATTTCGCTAAACCGGAAATTAGCCGGGGAAGATCCGATTTGTATGTGGGGTTCAAAACAGGTTTGCGTTTATCATGTCTCAGAATCGTGATTCTGGCTGTATGTCACATTTAAAACACACCTTTTTGCGTCTTTAGATATGCCCATATCTTTAGATATGGGCATATCTAAAGACGTTTAAAAAAGGCTTTGCGTATATCACCTTCAAAATGAAAGACGTTTGAGAAACCTGATTCTAGGCAAAAATGCTGTCAATAAACGCACCCTAGGCCACAGCTACTCACCTTCTCTACAGTCTAGGCTGCTAGTTAAACGGCCTTGGAGCACATCGGTGAAACCCTCCATGCACCCGCAAACAAACCCATCCGGGTCTTCGGAAGATTTATTCGTCTCCACACATACAGCGTTCTCGCCACAGATGCCAGCAGTTTCACACTCCGCATTGTCTACAACTAATTATATAAAAACAGAGATGGAAATCGTGAATGTCATGTTATAGTAACATTTCAACTCAGATTATGCAATTTATAGAGGCTAACTCTGATTATGAAACAGGGGTAATCTAGATTATAGTACGGTTGTTGATTAACATCTGATGCATGTATTATTATTTTATTGAGAATATCGTAGATACAGCACGATGAAAGTATCAGATATAAAATGAGAACGAATGGTTCAGTTTTCCCTGCCCGGCTTTTTACAATTTGCCTGTAACGGGAAAAGGGGAATTTGGAATTCCAATAACCAATGGGCCTTTCCCACCGACTCCTTGGGGGTGTCCCAAAGTTTTATTAAAAAACCAACAACAACAAATTTGTGAAGAGTAAAGGTTTAAAAAAACCATAGTAATTAATCCTTCTTTATTTATCCTACTTTTAATTAAATACTGATGTTTTTCGATATCTTTTGGCACATGTATAAAGTTCAGATGATCCCTGGGAGGTATTTTTTAACACAGAAAACGACAAACCTCCTACGGTTAAACCGCTTGGATCCGCGAGCATTAGTAACACAGTGGATGTAGACGTGTCGTTGGCATAGTAGCTGTCATCCAAGATTTGATCATACATAACAGTCTGCAGCATATCTGGGTCTTGAGATACCAGGTCGTTCGTAAAACTAATAATGAAATCAGAAATGATGCTTCCTGCCCGGAAACCATTGATCTGGATATCGATTAGGGTCCCTTCACCAATGTCTCCACTCAGCTTCTGAATGAGGAGTTCACGTATCTGATTGGAAGCAAACATTATAGTGAACATAATTATAAATAACGGTTCCTGTAAATATGATTGCATTAAATCATTTTCCTAAGATGCATTACGTGAATTAGATGCGATGCTTTATCATGTGTACCTATATCTACAATCCCTGTGATCATCGATTATTGAATGTAAGCACTTTATGTATTTTGGCCCCAATTTAAAGAAGATACAAACCACCTCAAGTTTTAAACAATCGTGTAAAATATGTATTCAAGCTACCCCCCCCCCCCCAAAAAAAAAAAAAAATAAATAAATAAATAAAAAATAAAAAATAAAATAAAATAAAATAAATAAATAAATAAATAAAATAAAAATAAAAATAAATAAAAAAATAATAATAAAAAAAATAAAATTAAATAAATACAAAAATTAAATTTAAAAAAAAATCAAAAAAAAAAAAAAAATCAACAAACCAGCTCAGTACAAAAAATGGATATCGTTGTTTTGCATTCGTCCATATATAAAATGTTTTTACCTCCCAGAGTTTTGCATTGTCTTGGGAGAAGGTATCGAAACAACGAAAGTAGTGATTGCTATTTGCTGAACATGATATAATCTTTCTCGAGTAAGTGAAATTGGACTGAATGATTAAAGACCCAATGGTTCTTGAAGAAATGGTTATAGACAAATATGTCATTACACGAAGTGATTTTTGGACAAAAAGATAATTTGACAACATTTTAATTGAATGAGATGAAATGATGCTATACCGAATGGTGTTGGACCAAATGGTGTTAGACTAAATGACAATTTACTCCTGTCTACACAACTGGTTATGTATCAAAAGACTTACAGCGTTTTGAATGGCTAGGGCCAGTATTTGATATGATTCACTGTCGGGATTGTTGAGATCTTCAGTAAAAATGGCATCGGTTCCGTTTACTTCCACGATGGTCCACGATGCAGAATATTCTACAAAGTCTGATTAAAAGAAATAATTGAAAATAAAAATAAAATAGTTGGAAGTCTACATTATTTAGTCATTGCTAAACAAAAGGGGAATGTGATCGTGTAAAGAATATGAAATAGAATCGGACAAAGTTAGCAATTCGAAAATCGGAAGAGGATGAAGAAATATAAATAATAATAATAATAATTATTATCCTTGCTTATATAGCGCCTAACACTTACTTTATCAGAAGTCTCTAAGCGCTCTACAATAATGCAGCATAATTACCCTGGCTTTAGCAGTGCAGCTGTTACGCGCGCTGCGTTTCAAGGAATAAATTCCTACTAGGTACCCATTTACTTCACCTGGGTGGAGTGTGGCAAATGTCGATCAATGTCTTGCCAAAGGACATTAGTGCGGCGGCGGGACTCGAACAGCGGACCTTGTGATCGACAGTCCAGAACAGAGGCAGAGGCCACAAGAGGAGTAGGAATACTTACTTGAACAAAGTCCATTCGTGCCCGTTCTTCTTCCCGGCCGACATGTGCAGGCGTTTTGTTCACAGAGTTCTGTTTCAAAGTCACACATGTTCTGGCAGCCATCTATATAAGATGTAATGCAAATTTACCATTAATACATTGATAAATAGATTGGGTACACATGGATACGCTAATATTGACTCACAGTGATTGTCTCCTATTACACATTAGAATTTATTCATAGTTTAGCAGTTTAGCCTTGATTGTTGTGATGCTGAGAATATTTAAGAAAAATGAAAGAAAGAAAGAAAATGAGACGAAGAACAAATAATACACAATAGATCAGTCGTTTCATAAAGAGAAACAATTATACTAACAAGTGTGTACAGTGACTGCTTGTTTCATATCAGTTAAGTCAGTTTTAAATTCCGAAATGTTTATTTTCCTTAATCGCAATAAACTCTTTAAGAACGGTAATGCAAATACTTTTAGTAAGAAATTCGCCTTTGTCTGAGTTAGTTTGAAAATATGACTTTAATTATTTCTTGAGTTTCTTGACAAAGATCGCCTACTGCTAACAATTAGATTACAAACATGTTGCTGCAATCCTCTCCTTTGGGGATATAAATCTGTCAGGAGGGATAACCCCCCCCCCCCGACTGCCTCTCCCTTAAATAACCTAGAACTTAATCCGTAGCTTTATGTTCGTTCCTTTTTTGGACCCACCTGTACATTCTCCATTGGCTTGTCTTTCTTTTCCAGTAAGACATTCACAGACGGATCCAAAGCAGAATTCTTGTGAGGGACACGTATTGCTTTCACACGGCTCTACATAGTGAGTTTATAAAAATGACGAATGTTATTTCAAAGTGGTGAGAATTAAGATTCAATCACAACCTCAGCATTCTGATATGAAAACAAAATGTTAGAAAATGGCCTACAGTGACATTTATTTCAGAAGAAAAATGTGTTTGTGAACATTCAAATTTTACGAAAACAAAAATAACTTTGTAAATTACGTTTTAAACAATATTTTACGCCATTAATATCATCAATACCATTATGATATGTTTTAAATATATATATATGTATATATATTGTAGATATGAAAATATATAATTTTAACACATTACAGTTATATAAACAAATATTATTTTTTAAATACCCATAAACTGTTTGCTGAATCTCTTATTACCTAGTATTTATCTTCAATTTTAGTTCAGGATTTTGTTAGCTACCTGTTCCTGCGGTTGTAGCAGCTCTTGTAGTGATCCTCTGTTCTGTTGCGCGTGGCTCTGTCGCAGCATTTGTAGTCTTTGCGGCTGTCGTCTTTCCATCCGTCGTTGACTGCTTGGTCATCTCAGATGTTTTGGTGATGGTTGTAACTGGTTCTGTGGCAGAAGTTGAAATTGTCTGTGGGTCGGAGGGTGCATCCGTCGTAAGATCAGTCGTTACATCCGTAGAGGGCGTTCCATCTGTCACTGTAGAATGGTCCGTAGTCATACTGCTTGTATCCAGGACTGTACCTGTGTTAATGTTTTGTGTAACTGGTTCTGTAGCAATAGTTGACATTGTCTGCGGAGTGGAGGGTGAATCCGTCATAGGATCAGTTGTTACATCCGTAGAGGGCGTGTTATCTGTCACCAAGGATGGATCTGTAGTCATACCGCTTGTAACCGGTTCTGTACCTGTGTTGGTGTTAGTGTTGGTTGTCACTGGTTCTGTGACAGGAGTTGACATTGTCTGTGGAGTGGATGGTGCATCCGTCGTAAGATCAGTCGTTACATCCGTAGAGGGCGTTCCATCTGTCACTGTAGAATGGTCCGTAGTCATACTGCTTGTATCTGAGACTGTACCTGTGTTAGTGTTTTGTGTAACTGGTTCTGTAGCAATAGTTGACATTGTTTGCGGAGTGGAGGGTGAATCCGTCATAGGATCAGTTGTTACATCCGTAGAGGGTGTGTTATCTGTCACCAAGGATGGATCTGTAGTCATACCGCTTGTAACCGGTTTTGTACCTGTGTTGGTGATTTGTGTAACTGGTTCTGTAACATTAGTTGACATTGTCCGCGGGGTCGAGGGTGCATCCGTCATAGGATCAGTTGTTACATCCGTAGAGGGCGTGTTATCTGTCACTAAGGATGGATCTGTAGTCATACCGCTTGAAAGTGGTTCTGTACTTGTGTCGGTGTTGGTTGTAACTGGTTCTGTGGCAGCAGTTGACATTGTCTGTGGAGTGGAAGGTACTTCCGACTTAAGGTCAGTTGTTACACCCACAGAGGCTACAAATAAACAAGAACAATAGAATGAAAAAGACTGTAACATCCTCTATGACAAATTTCATTTTACAATTAAAGCTGAAGGATAACAAAGTACTCGACACCCTTTATAAAGGTTAAACAATATATTAAAAACAGATGTGAAGCACAATGAACGATTCAAGTACTGAGTAACGTAATGAGAGGATTTTACTTGTTTTAATTGAAAAAATATCCCTAATACATATGACAATGAAGGATGCCTGCTAGCTTTAGGAGCCGCAGTTGCCATTTACTTTTACATTTCGAGTATTTACCTTCGTCCGTTGTTCTAGTCGTCCCCGTGTAGTCTGTCCTTGTAGTGCCCTCTTTTGAAGTTTCTGTAATCATGTCCGTCGTCGGAACAATCGTCGATACACCTGTCACCATATCATTGGTAGTCGAAGTAATTTCGATGATTGAAGTGAAAGGTTCCTCGGTTGTTGCCGTAGCTGTTACAGTCGAGGATGTTACATCTACAAAGCAAAATGAAAATGATGTCAACATAATCAGTTTATATGTACGATTACCCACATATAAAATCTTGATTTGCTATGAGAAAGGCACCACTGAGGGTAGCCTGTGTTTAATCTGCCACATGCATGTATCCTTCAACTAGGTTGATCTGAAGCGGGTTAGCCCTCTTACTTCATTTTTATTTTTTATTTTCTTCTAGAATTGTAAATTCAAAAGATTTTAGTTTCATGTTTCTTTATGAATTATTAAGTTCTTCATTTCATATTCTATGAACGTAAATAAAACCGACCAACCGACCAACTAGCTTTTCTGTTTCAGGAAAGAATCACTCACTAACCGTAGCCAATGGACATGATGAAGGCCAATTAAATCCCCTCGAACACTCAAAATGCGTGCTAGGGCTGCCATCGTACATTGGTAATGCACGGTATAATGTCATGGGGGGGGGTAGCGGGGCTTCATTGTAGGGGAGTTTTTTTCTAAATATTTGTCATTCTGTTTCTTTCAGAGGATACACGAAATTATGGAATTAATATTTGCGAAAGATAAGAAACATTTCAAACATTACTCACCGATCACGCTTATAAGCTCAGCAATTAGTCTAAGAACAGTAGGACTTAGGGTACCATTGACAAAGCCATCACTTGCTGTAACAGCTTCGATGAGAAGAGCTTGGATAATGGAAGCGTTGCCAGTAAAGTTTGTGTTAAAGATCAAAGTGAAATCCACTATGATGCTTCCAGGGGAAAAGCCATCTATTCTGATATCAACAAGGGAGGTTTCCCCAAGCTGTTCTACGAGAAGATCTCTGATCTGTGAAAATATATACAGAACGGGAAACTGACATTCATAGGGTGATTTACGTTCATGATGGAACATCAAGCGGATTACAAATTTATGACTTAGAGTACGTCATGACTGGCAAATCAACTGATCGCTAGCGTCCGTCATACATACAATTGATCCTTTAATTATCGAAAAGAAAGGCATCTCATCATATTATAATTACGATCAGCTACCTGTAAATTGCATATTTTACATTTCTATTTCACGGGATGCTCACAGCACCTTCAAGTATTATTATTACCCTAGCTGTTGCACAGCTGCCCTCAGGCACTGAAAGCATTCAAAGAATAACTTTTTATCAGTTACCCATTCATTGAACCTTAGGGGAGAGAAGCAATGTTAACTGATATACCTCCGAAGAAGAGAAACCACAAGGTCATGGTGACCCCCCCCCCCTTCCCCATGCCCTTCAATGCGCAGGTGACGCCAATTCATCCACAGCGATTCAAACGATAATTGTACAGGCTTACCGCCATTTCTAATGCCTCGACGAGATTTCGATATGCCTCGCTGTTAGGATCATTTAAATCGTCTGTGTAAACTGCTTGTGTGCCGTTGATTTCATCAATGACCCATGTGACTGCCAATTCAGTTGAATCTAGTACAAAGTCAAAGAAATATCAACGCTGTGAGAAATGATAAGCTAGTATGTGTACTTTCAATGTAATTCAGTCATTACAATTCTGTTTTGGCGGTTATACGTTGAGTGTCTCGAAATTACGATGATTCAATTTTACCGATGAAGAACAATTATGGTGTTCCATAATAAATGCAAGATAAGAAATAATCCTTAGATGTTAGCTTTTGAGGTTTAACAGAAGACGATACTAATGCAAAACACAATAACTTGTGATCAAGAACGCTTGAAAAATTATATTTCAACATGAGTTATTTTCATATCATCGAAAGGAAACGCGGCCATGAATTCCAAATATGATTACAGGAGTAGATGTTGCAGTTTCATCCTACTATACATACCTACGCAATCTCTTTTGTGACAGCTATAGGATACTATAAATCCAGCATTATCAATTATACTTCGGTCGAGGGGGGGGGGGGGAGTCGGATGAGCGAAGCCTTGCCGCAGGATAGTTAGCGACCAAAGATCGAAATCATGTCCTATTGTAAATGTGACAAGAGCCTTCCACCAAGATGCCACCGATGACAGTGCTCTCACAACCACTTTAACAAACTCACCTTCCTCTATGGGGCTAGTTGTGCTTAGTCTCGTTGATCTCCTTTCAATCGGACCTTCTGTCTTCATATCAGTAGTGGACTCTGTATCCAGTGGGATTGTACTGTCTGAAGCTGTTTGGGTAGTCATATCTGTGATCATGATATACGTGGTTTGTTTTGTATTAGGATCAGTAGTGAGTTTAGTTGTACTGTACGTAGTAGTGTCTGTCGCAGTTTGCTCCATTCCAGAATTAGAAGAAATAACAGTGGTAGCAGCATCTGTTTTATCTGATGCAGTTTCTGTAGTCATGTCTGTTCCCAGAATATTCGTAGTTTTCATTAAGTCGGTACCAGGTGTAAATGTATTATAGCCTGTTTGAAGGGTACTGTCAACCGTTGGTAGTTCGGTAGGAATTACAGATGTAAGTTTGCTATCTATTGTAGTTTCGGTGGTTAAAACCGTCAACGGAACAGTCGTGGTTATATCCAGGTCTGTATGTCCAGCAGATGTGGGGTTTAAGTCAGTAATACTTTCTGTCACAGCTTCTGTAGTTATGTCCGTCATTATAATTGTTGACGTTTGTTTCACGTCAGCTGTAGGTCCAGTGTTTATGTATGTCGTTGCGTCTGTGGGAAGCTTTGAAGTCACGTCCGTCTCATGAAAAACAGTAGTTTGTTCTGTTTTAATGACTGTCACAGTCGTAACGCCAGTCATCATATCTGTAGTTGGTTGCGTATTTGTATCTGTAATTCGAACGGTTTGTTTAATACTCGTAGGACTACCAGTTGGAAATTCGGTCGTCAACTTTGTCGCCATATCTGCAATTGGTTCTGTAGCTACGTCTGTAATTTGGATGGTTTGTTTTGTACTAGTAGGACTATCAGTAGGAAATTCAGTCGTCAATTTTGTCGCCATATCTGTAATTTGTTCTGTAGTTATCTCTGTAATCTCGACGGCTTGTTTAGTACCAGTAGGACTATCAGTTGGAAATTCAGTCGTCAAGTTTGTCGCCATGTCTGCAATTTGATCTGTAGTTATGTCTGTAATTTGGATGGTTTGTTTTGTACTAGTAGGACTATCAGTAGGAAATTCAGTCGTCAATTTTGTCGCCATATCTGTAATTTGTTCTGTAGTTATGTCTGTAATCTCGATGGATTGTTTAGTACTAGTAGGACTATCAGTTGGAAATTCAGTCGTCAATTTTGTCGCCATATCTGTAATTTGTTCTGTAGTTATGTCTGTAATTTGGATGGTTTGTTTTGTACTAGTAGGACTATCAGTAGGAAATTCAGTCGTCAATTTTGTCGCCATATCTGTAATTTGTTCTGTAGTTATGTCTGTAATCTCGATGGATTGTTTAGTACTAGTAGGACTATCAGTTGGAAATTCAGTCGTCAAGTTTGTCGCCATATCTGTAATCTGTTCTGTAGTTATGTCTGTATTCTCGACGGATTGTTTAGTACTAGTAGGACTATCAGTTGGAAATTCAGTTGTCAATTTTGTCGCCATATCTGTAATTTGTTCTGTAGTTATGTCTGTAATCTCGACGGATTGTTTAGTACTAGTAGGACTATCAGTTGGAAATTCAGTCGTCAAGTTTGTTGCCATATCTGTAATTGGTTCTGTAGTTATGTCTGTAATCTGGACGGTTTGTTTAGTACTAGTAGTAGAACTATCAGTTGGAAATGCAGTCGTCAATTTTGTCGCCATATCTGTAATTTGTTCTGTAGTTATGTCTGTAATCTGGACCGTTTGTTTAGTACTAGTAGGACTATCAGTTGGAAATTCGTTCATTATTTCAGTCATCATATATGTACTTGGTTCTGTAGTTATGTCGGTAATTTGATTGGTTGAAACCTCATTAGTAATGTCCGTCGTAGAATCTGTATTCGGATACGATGTGGTTTGTCTTGTCTTTGCGGTAGTGTCAGTAGAATCAGAAGAAAAAGTTTTAAGATTTGTCATACCTGTAGATGCACCCAGCCCGGTAGTTTGTTCGGTGGAATCTTCAGTTAAAGCCGTTGCTGTCAAAGTAGCCGTGGACTCTGTTGTAGTACTAGTATCGTCCGTTATATCTTCTGTAGGAATGTCTGTCATATCGGTTATTCCTGTAGATGCACCTAGTCCAGTAGTTTGTTCAGTAAAATCTTCAGTTTCTAAAGCCGTTGCGGTCGAAGTAGCCGTTACGTCAACTGTGGACCCTGTTGTAGTAATAGTATCGTCCGTTATACTCTCTGTAGGCACGTCTGTAATATCGGTCGTTCCTGTAGATGCACCCAGTTCAGTAGTTTGTTCATTAAAATCTTCAGTTTCTAAAGCCGTTGCGGTCAAAGTAGCCGTTACGTCAACTATGGAACCTGTTGTAATAATAGTATCGTCCGTTATATCTTCTGTAAGCATGTCTGTCATATCGGTTATTCCTGTAGATGCACCCAGTCCAGTAGTTTGTTCAGTGACATCTTCAGTTTTTGCGGTCGAAGTAGCCGTTACGTCAACTATGGAACCTGTTGTAATAATAGTATCGTCCGTTATATCTTTTGTAGGAATGTCTGTCATATCGGTCATTCCTGTAGATGCACCCAGTCTAGTAGTTTGTTCAGTGACATCTTCAGTTTGTGCGGTCGAAGTAGCCGTTACGTCAACTATGGAACCTGTAGTAGTAGTAACGTCCGTTAAAGTTTCTGTAGGCATGTCTGTCACCCTGTCCGTAATCTCTGTTAGAATAATATGTGTCGCTATTTCAGAAGTAAGGTCCGGTTGTAGATATTCTGTGGTCTCTCCGGTTATGTCAGTCTCCAAAGGGATTGTTGTTTCAGATGCTCCTGTAGATGAAGTTAGTTCCTCCATCGTTGTTCCTGTCCATGGTGAGGTAACTTCGGTGTTGTACGTGTCAGTTCCACCAATTGTAGGCAAATCGGTTTTGGTTGAGAAATCCTGGATCTCGGTCATGAAGGTTCCCGAAGATAAATCATCTGTAAAGGCCTTCTCTGTCGCTATATCCGTTGTCATTGGTGGCTCTAGTTGAAGAAAAATATGCATATAGTTGGTTTCCAGACAGTTTCCCAGTCCAGTATCTTTCGTTGGAAGATAATAGACTGTTTTACCAGATAATAAAACCAGATAACTTTATTAATTGTAGCAAATGCAAGTCTCAAATGCAAATCTCGTTCTTAATACGTTGTTTTAACAATAAGCGTGTTACACATGTCATGGTCTAAATTGTCTGAGACTGAAACCACTCAATGTTCATAAATTATGGGCTCCCTTTGGTGATTGGAATAGCATTATTTTCTAAAGGATGCAGCTCCGAAGAAAATAGTCACTATGGTTGTCACCGAAAAGAGTGCATCATGCTTCAGGTGCCTCGAAAGCAGTGTATTGTATAATTGATTTATATCCTTCGTTAGAAATACACACAATAAAAAATAAAGGGTTGAAGCTGAAATATCATCAAATTAACATTTTTGTCAAACCAATAATAACAAAAAAATACCAGTACATTTCTGACATTTGGGGGCTGACCTCTCTAATATTGTCATGCGTCGCAGTGCGCGCATGTTTGCGTGGGTTTAAACGGGGTAAATCCAGGATATACAATGTTACACGTCACGCATTTCCATTTGTTCATGATGTAAATATTTAACATCGCATTAACCACCCCTGACAATAATATAACAAGGACTATTTACTCACCAGAGCATTCTAGTAGTTGGTCCCATTCTCCATATTCCATGTTGCATGTGAGTAGAAGTGGAGTACTATCTCCGTACTGACAGGTGAATGTTTCACTATCTCCAGGGGCATATAAACCTTCTGGTTCGGCATTGGATGGTGATCGACACCAAACTAGATGGAAATAGAAACAAAACAATGATGATATTAAATTACAATAATGTTGAATGGTAAAGTGGGTGTCAAATCACTTTTTTTTTTTTTTTTTAAGATGCAAAAAGTAAACCAACATAAACATTGAATATCTGTTTTTTGTTTAAGTCTAGCAAACTATAATTACATGGTAATGTGCACAATATATACATACCAATAGACAATACAGTGCGTCCCAGAAAACACAAAACCTAGAATTATCGATGTTTTATCAAAACTTTATCACAATTATAATTATAAACTTAGATCCTCTTATTTCATTTAATGAAAACGACTTTACTTCGTTTCATTAACGATCAGCCATCCACCAAGTCTTTCGTCTTATTTGTGTATGGCTGATCGTCAACGAAACAGAGTTAAGTTTTTTGCCAACTCTGTTTGTTGCTACGGCAGGCAGCCATTGAAAACGATTTCGTGTAATGAAATTATGGAAATGCAAGCATTAATTTAAACAAAAAAGAACTTTGTTATTCCTGGCTCATTTTTCCTGATTGAGGTGTCATATGAAAGGGCAGAAAATGAACTTTATGGAAATGGGATTTTCTCTTTGAAATTCAGATACCGCCCGCTAAATGACTTTTTGTGTACCCTCTCTTCAAATTATTTATAATCACTCATGCGTGAAATATGCATAAAATGAATTGCATCAAATAAAAGAAGAGGATCCAAGGTTAACAAATATGTGTCACTTATTATTCATAATTGTGATTTAGTCATGATAATACATCAATAATTCTCGTTTTTTTTTATTTTTTCTAGAACGCACTGTACATACTAGCAAATAAGTGTAGGTTTTGCCCAATCAGTTTGGATTACATATAAACACTTGGCAACATAATACGCATAGGCATCATACCGCAAACGTGAAAGAGCTGGAATCGGGCAACCATTACCGAAGGAAAACAAGAATTATTTCCCTTGGCCAAATAGGAGACATATTTCAAACTTTTTTTTTCTTCTCGAAATTGTATCATCAGTTTACTAATAGTGTCATTTCTATCAATTATGAAATAAATTAAAGCAGTAAAAGCACTTAATATACATATTTATATATATGTGTGCAGATATTATTACAGTTTTACCTTCACATGTAGTTGAGTTAGGGTTAGGACTCCATGTGCCATTGTTACATGTCAGTTCGTCTGGTCCTTGTAAGCTACCATACCCCTCAGCGCAGGACAGCATAGCAATTGAACTGTGAGTGTATACTGCACCCGTGTTCAGCAATGTCACTTGGTCTATTGCAGGATCATCACAGTCCACTAATAACACAATATAAAACACATGTTTAAATAGGAATGCATATACATGGATGCATATTTGTGTTTAATTTATCGCTGACACTCTCCAGCCAGGTGTAATACATAGGTAAATGACAGGAATTTATCTTTTAAATGCGATCGGTACCGTAGGACAGGGAGGCTAAAACGAGAGTAATAACAGGTTTCCGTTTGTTAGTGTTTTGTCGATGTATTTTTGTAGATGCCTTGTCATCCTATCGAACTGATAACAAATATTTAAAGATACACTTACGGACTTTATATTTCGTCTTTTATCAATAACATCGCAACTGAATTGAGCACCTGCTGATATGAACATGTTGTGGTGGTTGTTACTTCTCATTCTTACTTTTTCTTCTTCCTATTGTTGTTTTCTGGGTAAACCGTAGCCTTTTACAACCCTTCGAGTAATCAATTTTAAAGGAGATTGTTTAGAGATGAAGAAGTGTTATGAAATATGTAAAAAAAAAAATACTGTATGATCCATAACCGTCTTCATAACAATGTTGTTGATGATGCAATGGTTGATCAATATTTTTTTCTTCATAGATACTGCTGACCTGGTGGAGCCATACAAATCTGTATCAAGCCAGATGTAAGGAACTTTTCCAAAAGGTTAAAATACTTTATTCGAATCTGGGCATGCCCCATACAAGCATATCTTCCCATATCATGTCCCTAAATCTGTATAATATGCATTAATGTCAATAATGATCTGTTATTAAATGTTCTTCTCTTCCCATCTTCCTCATCTTTGTTTGACTATTACATTGTGTTATTTCGATATGCTTCTAGCTTCTAGCGAAACGGGCAACAAATTAAATCATATCGGATCAAACCAAATCACATCAAGTCAGATCAAATATGCATAAAGAAAAAAATAAATACAGATACTCCTGATAAGCTAGTATCTACAGTATTATCGAAACCAAGGAAATGTCTTAACAATAGGTACTAGCTGACAAGAAACAAAAATCTACTTACAGTTGCATGTGACGTCAGATAGAGAGTACTGGAACGAGCCGTCTGACATACAATATGTGAACGGAATCCCTATTATCGAAGAACCTTCTTCGCATGCTACATTGATGAAGTCACCGTTATAGAACTCAACACTGCCTGAATCCAGCACTATATTAGGGTCTATACCATCGGGCTTCAAACAAGCTGAAAATAAAACAACACATCAATTTGTTTGGGTATGAGGGAATTCTCTCAACAAACAGTTATGTACACGCTCACTGACACATCGTTAGTTGTAATGCCTGTGCTGTAAAGCCCAGTTGCACTACTTAAAGCTACTTGCCCACTTTAAAGCTAACAATCCCTAATCGTTGACTGTTGGTCCCCATGATCCCCTTTTTCTATGTTAATTCGGAGCTGATTTGATGAGATAACCACCTGTCAGTGACCTTGCAGAAAGGTCTAATTCCCCTGGCCAAACTAGTACAGACGGACTTTAAAAGAGGTGCTCGTTGATAATGATGACGATGATGGTGATGATGATGGGGATGATGATGATGATGATGGTGATGATAATCATGATGATGATCATGCTCATGATAATAATACTAAAAGATCTTTTTTTCTTATATAGTGTTTTACCAATACCAACGAAACTGACAAGTAAAGTATTGCTACTCCGGTCACTCAAATCTATTACGATTCTCCACTTGACAGCGCTCATTCTCCACTCCCTGGTGGAGTATTCATTCGTCGAAAAACCATGGAATGTCATGAATTAAACTTGGTTCAATTAATTTTGCTCAATTCAATTTGGGTTTGGCAACAATCCGAAGACTTCCATGTTATAATTACAATCAAATACCAAAAAGAAATATATAACACGCTCATAGAAATGCACATTAACATACTGTATAATAATTCAATTAAAAAATGTTTAATATGTTTTTTAAAAAAGCTGAATCTTGACAGGAAAGCGTATTTTTCCACTAACAAACGTAATACACTTTTTTTCCTGCAATCACAACCTCGGTTTCATCATGTTTCTTTCTATTGTAAATCTGACCTGAGTAACATTTCATGAATCTCAGCTTTGCCAGAAAATGATTATATTTTGCATTCAAATACCTGGACACCTGAAGGTGGTATCAGACCAAACTCCATCGTCGCATTCAAGTGTTGCTTCGTCCTCATTCAGGCTACACGTCAGGCTAGCCGTTACACCATGTAGGTATATATCATCTTCTTGATCCGTCCCGATTGGTGCTGAACAGGGAGCTGAAGAAGAAACAAATGTTTCAGGCTTTTATTCGAATATCTTAGTCACCCGGCCAGAAAAGACCGATTTCAGAACAACAACCACGTCAACAGATCGAGGATGTACATGACCATGAATGGCGAAGATGTCCGGTATCGGCCGGGCTGGGGGAATTTAAAGGATCAAGTTACATCAGTTGAATTCAGTCCACTGAATTATGAAATATATGAGCGTGAAGATATTTAAAATTTGCAAAATTATGAATAAATTAAAGTTTATGGATGTTTGCCTTGATGTTTATTTTCTTTAATCTGTTTCCCATGGTCACAGTGCGAAAAGCGTACAGAATACCGCGGTCACAAAAAAAGCGACAACTGACCGAAAAGAAGAAGATCTGCATTGCCCCATTTTGATAGTTATCGGTAGGGTTGGAGTCGGTTAGGCTGTGTGACTCAGATGTTATGACTTGTTAGGTCGGATAAGATACATGTCTGCTGTTTGTTAAACTTAATAATATATAAATCCTGCAACGTCCATTGTGATTTTTGAAATACTTATTGTAACTATAGTAAACAGGTGAATACAATAGTTTGTCAATAGACTCTAGATGAAGAATACAGGGAGTTTGAACACTTCACAGACACGGCTTTGTGATGTGGTCTCCGTAATATCACATTGTAGAAAATAGATGAGATCGGGGAGAATCTTTGTTGAAGATTGTATAGTAGAGATCTTTTTTTTTTTTTTTTTAAAGATCGGTGAGTAAAAGCCTATCTTATTTATCCCTTTTACACAGACCGCTATTGGTTATACATGAAAAGCCAGGTGATGCTGTTTTACATGTGTATCATTGTTAATTTTTGTTGAGGATATAGTAACAATTGAAATCAATAAAAGGGTTTAGGTAACGTTACCCGGTTACAATCAATATGGTTACTGGATATCGGTGTCATAGTATATTTACGTCTATCAAACAATGGAATATTAAACACGCGATTATTCTTCACAATTGTAAAACAGGATAGGGAGAGCAAGAAAGAATGGTTTAACATTTAAACACAAAACATGAAAGGGACAGATCTTCCAGAATTTAAACGTACAAACAAATTCATATAGAAAGAGGAGAAGAAAGAGAAAATAAAGAACATTTCATACAATTTGTAATACCTATAATTTGATAACTATAATAATTACAAATGAAACCTTATCTCTCTCTTCGGTAGAAATGGAGAGGTCCACTGAAAAGCAGAGCTTGTAAAAAAAACTAATGGTGAAAGAAAGAAACCATATAAGATATAACCTCTAATTGTAAAGATGGTACCTTACCTTGGCATTTTATCTGGCTTGGGTCTGGTTCCCATGTTCCATCATTACATACTGTAGTATCTGCACCTTCAAAAGGCTCTCCGTAGTTCGTGGCACACTCTAATGTTACAGTAGCATGGTGCGAGTATGGTGCCATCTCTCCTCCAACAATGTTAATAGATTCTTGACCCGTAATAGGAGACTCGCATTCAACTGGACGGTAAATGAATTTTTTACTGTTATTGGTCGTTTGTTTTTATTTCGCACCCGTTGATTGGATCTATACTGGATTACACGTGTTATGTAATTTGTTCAAACACAGGAAAACACGTTAAGATTCAATATTCAGAAAATCAGAATTCAAGTATTATTGGCCGTATAAATGAAATACAGTGTTAAACGATTAATAAAACAAAATTATCGTTTACTGGGAGTCAGAAGGGCGTTAGGTTTATCTAAATTTCATATAATAAATAATCTTCTTCTTTTTTTAAAATCTGTATTGGTAATTCAAGAAAATGTAGCAATTGTGATTATAGATGTTGGAAAGTGATAAAACATCTACTTTACAAAAAACATGTAGTTTGGCAATTCAGTCATACTAAGCAGTAGTCATTTTGCAAAATGTATTGTTGTAGTTATCTTACGATCGCACGTGAGATCTTCCAATGGGTTGGTAAAGGCTCCTCCAATACAGTATGAGACTGGTGATCCAGAAAGTATTCCGCTGGTACACGTGATCAGAATGAACTGATCCTCGTCATAGGGGCCATCAGGTGTGGTGGTTAAGAATGGATCCAAACCACTCGGCTTCGTGCATTCTATAGAAACATAATTTTATTAGTATTAATAGTATTTACTACTACTAATAATACTAATTTATTCATTTATTTATTTATCTATTAGTTTTTTTTAGTAGGTTGGCTCCATCAGTAGTTAAATACTGTTTTCCTTGAAGGCCCTTCAGCATAAATACAAAATTACAAACATATTTATGTAAACAATCCAGATCGAAACAAAATGAATTCAGTTACAACACTTTCGAACTAAAGAAAAGAAACAAAAACAACACAATGGACCAGTTCAATTATTTCAATTATTATAACGCCAAAAAAAAAGAGTAAATGAAGAATTTGATGGCGCATTTCTTAAAAAATTAGGTAAACTATTCCAAAAAGCCGCACCATCAAATGAAAAACTTTGTTTTCCCATCTGGGTTTTTATTTTAGGTAAAATTAATCCTGCGTTTTGTGCGTTATGTACAGATTGGTAAAGTTAATGATAGTGATAATAATAAGAATAATGATAAGAATAATAGTAAATAACAATAACAACAACAAGTGTAATATTAATGATAACAATAATAATACAAACAATTATATAATGACGATACAAATATTAACAAAATTTATGAAAATACCACTACTACTACTACTACTACTACTACTACTACTACTAATATTAATAATAATAATGATAAATAATAGTCATATTTGTATGGCGCTTAATATTACGTGTCTTCATGTTAAACTAATTATTACCCCAGCCATTGGATTCAATTGCTGATCTGTACATGAAAGTCCCGCCCCCCCCCCCCCCCACTCAGTGTTATTTAGGGTACGCATATGCTCGTTCCCTCTTTTTGAAAGCACCCCCTATCTGAGGACTGCCAACATTTCCGAGCCCCCCTTTCGCGGGCTTTTTGCGGGCTTTTCCTGCCTTGGAGACCCCCCTAAATTCGGAAAAATGCTCAATGTACCCCCCTTAATTCGGAATAATTTCTCAGGAATCCAAAGAGATGAGAGAAAAAAAGAAAAAACACCCCCTTTTTTAAAGAAATCTCCGGGTGAAAAGTCAAATACACCCCTTTTTTTTTTACTATTCTCGGGCCGGACTTTGTCGCACGTAAAGTACCCCTTTACCGGACATTTTGGCAACACGCATGCGGTCATTCCGACCCCGGAGTGGGGGGGGGGGGGGGCGGGATGAAAGTACACACGCTCTGCTCCTTGGGGAGAATTATGGCAAGGCAATATTTTGAAGGCGCATTCGTTGCAAATCCAACTCTACTGGGTACCCATTTACCACCCGATTTAACAAGGATATAGCCCTGCATTTGCATATTCAGTTACTTTTTTGAAAGGTCGACAACGTCACCTCTACAATACATGACATAACAAATATATGTATAAATCTATTCTATTGCACACCCAGTAGGTGTCCTACTGAAACCATATACAGATTAATACGAACGAACCATTTATTAGTACATTGTTTATCATAAAATAAATCTCACTATGAAAGAGCCAAATGATACTGATCCGTTAACCAATACAATAAAACGTCTACCAACGCCGCGGATGTACCATCAGTAATATTACACTGTTTTTTGCAAAAGCTTCAGTCAACAATCTATAGTTTTTTCAAAATGATATGTACTTTCTAAATGAATTGAGATTTCATTATCTATAGATACAGAAATAATGGTTCTTTTAATAATATAGTAAACAACCATGTAAGTTTCACAAATGAAAACTAAATCAGTTTCATCCAACATTAAGATTTGATACACATTAAGTAATTCATGTCGCACTTCTAACAATGCCCTGAAAAAGGTACCATAAATAACTTTCAAATCTCAATTATTGTGGGGCCTTTGTATGGAAGCATTAACATGATAAGGTCTATACATTTTATAATAAACAGAGCATAACAAAACTATATTATAACTTTATATCATTCAATAATATGAAATGTATATCACCTATCAAATACCTGACTGAATAGCATTAATCACTTAATACTCGCACATAAAGGTTAAAATCAAATGTGTACTTACGTGATCTGCAAAAGTTTAAAAGACACGCCGTTAAGACAAGTAACACCAGACACATTGAGTTCCTCATTGTATTCGAGTATGGCAATGTACATGTATCTCCTTAAGTCATTCGCACAATTATTTATCTCGCTTTTATACGTTTAATTACATCTGTAGCGACCTTCACTTCGTCGATGGAAAATTCCAAAATGTTGTCTCAAAGTATCTCCCGTTAATTCACTTAGTTCAAATATTCTTCTACACGTTAAAACGTTGACGACTTTAACAGGCCAGCTGAAGGAAATTTAACTTTTTTTTTGCCAGTTTCAAATATTTTCCCTTAATGATATCTCTTTATAAATCTAAACAGGATCAGCTGGAAATGCACCTACGTCAATCCTACTCACTAGAAATGCAGATACGCCCAAAGTCGTGTCGCCAAAAAGCAGACGTTCTCATCAAGCAATTTGAACCCTTTCAGAATTTGGTCTAGAAAAATACCTCACTCGTTTTAGGGGTAAATTTGCTTTCCAATGATGGGCAAACATGCTAAGTCTATAAAATGAAAGCTTTTTTTGACAGTAAACAGGCGTTGCTCTAAATCCTACTCGAGCGAGAAATTAAAGTTCACATCCATTTCCTTTCCGTATCAGTTAGCGTCGAGAAGCCAGAAAATGTGGCTTTTTGTCTTGACTTTCATCCCCCTACCTGGATCAAAGCTAAAAATATGGTTGCCGCTCACGTCTCATTTTAAAGCTCTTGAAATTCTCAAAGTGCATCCACATTCTTTTTCATCGGACAATGGCAAATATTTCAGAATAATCAAGAAATGTCGTCGTAAAGTAAAATATTTTTCAAAAATATATATAACAAATGTATGTATCTTAATAAACACAGGGTAGCAGCTATTTCCATGCATACATTATACTCCTGGGTGCAGCTAATCAAATGTGTATTGGTGGCTTGTAAAATTGTTAACCTATTGACTCCTGGAACCGAGTGGCTCCTATATTAAGCCAATGGGAATTAAACAATTCAGTATTCAACGGGTTAAAGGCCGTGTTGGGAGTCGAACCCTCAACCACTGGGTTGAGAGTGACGCGAATGTGCTACTGCACCACGATACCTTAACTGTGTATTCTATACACAAGCGTAGGGCTTTTTTGTACACTCAAAGGATGCAGCATCGCTGTTTTAATAATAACATATCATATAAAGATGTTCATTTTCACAAACATCTCAATATAAAGCTTCCCACTGGATATTCAGGCTACGCAATAATGAAAGATTGATGACCGTTTGTGTACACATGAGCTGTACAGTGAACATACGAAATCTGCATCATGTGTTTTCAAATAAAAAATAGTCTCCTTGTTCCTGGATTAAAGTGGCCCAATAGATTGGGCATTGATATCGTTGGAAGGGGGGGGGGGGCTACGGTTTTAATTCATAAATACATTTTGAATCAGGGAAGGGTGTATAATCTGTGTCCATTCCTCCCCCCTCTCTTTCTCTTTCTCTCTCTCTCCATATGTATATATAGGAAAATGGTCTAGGAACGTGAGAATTCTCGCACTTTTAACTTTTATATATATATATTAATATATATCCATTGGGTTTTTCCCTTTTCAACCATTCAACTGTCCCTTGTCTCAGGTAGCTACATCATAGTTTATTAAAGTGTAGTTAATACTCGTCTGCGCACGATACGAGACTTGTGAAAATAAGCCGTGTACTGTATATAAAATAATATGCAAACAATAATTCGTGACTCCAAACGATTTTTAGCCCGCTCGACATAGTCTATATACACAGTATTAACCTATCAATCAAGTTATACCAACAATCCTCGCTTTATCTTGCTTTAACACAAATGGCAACCTATTGTATATTATTGATATTTTATTTTCGTAACAAAGTAACATATTGAAAACGACAAGAATCTGGGTTAATTTTACATGGGCATTTAGTACTTTTTCATTCGTTTTTCACTTTTTCACAAATTAATGAAGGCAACATGTATTTTAAGAACGGGATTTGCTACCTTGATATTGCAAACTGATTAGTCAACATTAATAAAGATTGATTATATTAAAACGTTCATGTTAAAATATAGTTTATATTGTTTGATTACTTATGCATACAGGTAGGGGTCGAAAGACGACATTAAAAGAGAAGATTTAATGAAACACCTCTTGTTTCAACTAAGTTTCAACGGTTCAGTCAACATTGTTGGATAAATGTAATTGTTTGCGTAACATTAGAGCATATTTTACCAAGATTTATTCAGCGACTTAGTAAGATCCTGAAAATAACAGGATGAACAATCGACTCTCCTTTCTGAGGAAAGGAACTAGATTTTGGGGAATAGTTGTGATTTGCTGTATAAATATCAATATTTACCGCCGAGCAAATCCAGAAACACCCAGTAAGCAAATACTGTTTGTACCGGTTATTTAGTGTTTGTACATTATGTCTGCTACCCGCAAGAGGATCATTGCTGCCATTATTGTCAATACAAAGCTATGGCAGCTTCCTTGCGGACAGCCGACACCCGCCGTTGAATGTTTGACACGCAGCTGATCAAGTTCTGCAATTCTAGACTTCTGTTTTCATTCCCCCAAAAAGAAGAAAACATATGGGAGCAACTATTGTAAGAGTAGGTTTACTGGGCATATAAAGGCTTGGTCCAGATTCTGTCGGTTTTTATTGATATGTAATTGTTCAGTCATCTTTGTCTTCATTCCCAGCATGCATCCCACACAGAGCGCGACAATACACCGTAGAGGGTGTGAATGAAAGGACACACAGTCTTCGTTTTAGTCTTGAGATGTGTTATTTCCACAGCACATGGAGAGCGCGACGCGGGAATATGCCAGGCAGTGGACTAATAAAGGAGACATTATTCAAATCATATAGTCACACCGACAACAGACCGATAAAAAACGTACTACCCTTACCCTAATCCCAACTTCGAATGCCCAAGAATAAGTCGCTTTAGAATTAGATTTACAGCGTAAAGACACACCCATTTGTAATGTCGTATGTGCCTATAGATATTTTTTCTCACTCTCTTATTCCTGTAATGTTTAACAATCTGATACTTTAAAATACTGTTTGCAACTGTGACCTTTTTAACTAGGAGAATTACAGAGAGTGAATTAAAAGTGTTGATTTGTCTAAATATCTGCTGCACACGGAGACTCATTTCAATTACACTATTACCTACGCATATGAGTGAAAAAAGCTTTTGCGCTAGTATTAAATCAATTAACTATGTCCACTGTTTTATTTGCCGTCTTTTTTTAGCACTAAACGTCACCACCATCACATAGCGTCCCAAAGACCTCTCCGGTCTGTGACGTAGACCTACATGTGTACGTCATGGAAGAACGCCTCGTGTGCACCATGTATGAGAGTGGAGGTGTGCTCAGGAAGTACATTCCATATCTGACAAACATGAAATCGTGTATCCATAATAATATCATTATTAACATCAATATCCTATATCACAAGTTTTAAAAAATCTGACCCGAAAACGTGTGTGACGAATTCGCAGGATGTATTATACTGGGAGTATCCGCTAGAACAGCCCACCATAGCAAATATCAAATTAACGAAAAGCATACAATTTCTTCCATTAGTCAAACGTCAGATAGTATACAGAAGGAAAATGAAATGACCAAAATTGTATGTGTGGTAACCTTTTCCGTTTCGTCAAGGAAGGACTAACAAATATTATTTTGTATTTTCAACGTACCTCCCTGTTAGCAAATATGTGAATGCTTGGACTTGGTACTTCGAACTTTATTTGGACTGATCAAATACCAAAAAAATTGTAGATATGTTTTAAAAATAAAAATTCATACCCTCTGTGTCAACATTGTCATGAGCTTAATAAGGGCACAAGAAGCGTAATTTCGAAGTCCTCTGGTGGATACTTTTCGTCTTTTAGAGAAACATACTTTAGTGAAAATAACGTAATTCTTGTATAATTTGAAACCGCTAGAGATCCTTTGTAAGCTTGACCATCGTTATGCATAAAACATAAAAGCAGCGATATTAATTACACCTATTTCGCAAAAAAGCACTAACATGATGCTCGTTTAGGAGATCAGTTGATCTTCGTTAAACGAGTAATGAGAGAAGTGTCAAAATCATATCACAAATGTTCATTGATCACTTCTCTGGATCTATTCCATGATTTGCGTTGTTGTTTATAGTTGTTAATTTAATTCATTTCTACTATCTCTCTCTCTCTCTCTCTCTCTCTCTTCTCTCTCTCTCTCTCTTTCTTTCTCTCTCTCTCTCTCTCTTCCTCCCTTCCACTTTCTCTATTTCTATCTCTTCATGTTACTGTCTGCCTCTATCTTTATTTCTATCACCATCTCTCTCTTTGCTCAGTCTCTCTTTGTTCCTATACCTATTGGTATTCCTTACCTCCCCCTTTCTCTTCTATTTTAATACATGTGTTTCAATCAAAAACAAAACCACACAATAATGTACAAAACAGTAGCGGTATTTTGACTGCTCAAACATTTATAGTTTTACACAAGTGATTTAACATCAATAAAACTATGTGCGAATACAAATAATAAATCTCAATGGACATGAGTAAAATAGTCATACCGTTGTAATCCGTCACTTCTGCATAATATGTAATAACTAAACAACATACTGAATATTACTAGTAAATTATAAATATTTTTCTGAGAATAAAGAATAGGTTCCAATATTCAAAGGATAAATTACAAAGCCACAGATCATATCGACATTCATCACTTGCTAAGTGTCGGTTTACAATTCAGGTTAATATTCGAAAGAGAAACACATTCTAACTTGAGTATAATTAAATATCAAGCTATCAACGGAATAGAATGTTCCATTTGTAGGGAGTAACAATTTTATAAAATAATCCCTCTAATTGTGTTTTCAAAAGTTATAAAAAATCCTTTACTAGACTGAGAAAACCTGTATCGTTTCGGCTTGCACTATTAAATCGAAGTAATTACCATGAGAATGAACAGAAATTACATGAAGACAAAGATGCATTATATGCTAAAGGCAGGAAATATGTTTTCATTTCATGTTGTTATTCTTATCTTCAGGTATTTCTAGTTTTTAGCGTTAGTTATTAAAGGGTTTCGTTGTAAAAGCAGGGCATACGGGGCTCCAAAGAGAATTACCCTGAATGTTAGAAAACATTATGAATATGTGTATATTTTCTGAATAAATAAATATATATTTTTAGCAAAATAAATACGAATACATAATAGGCTGAGTACTTGTATTTGTCTAAACTAATGGCTACTCATAAATATAATAAATAATTCTCCAAAATTACAAATTTCTCACTGACATGAAACCCTTGAAAGTAGGAGCATAAGTTACTGTAATTTATTAAGTCTATCCATATATGATAGTTACTGTTTTATGAAATGCACATAATTAGATATAACCATACAATTACAGTACAAGTAGTCGGAGGTGGAGAAATAGTACCATCACAACTAGCACTAGTATCAGTAGTAGAAGTAGTAGTAGTAGTAGTAGTAGTAGTAGTAGTAGTAGTAGTAGTAGTAGTAATAGTAGTAGTAGTAGCTGTTGTAGTATTAGTAGTCGTAGTAACATTAGTAGTAGTAGTAGTAGTAGTAGTAGTAGTAGTAGTAGTAGTAGTAGTAGTAGTAGTAGTGTTAGTAGTAGTAGTAGTAGTGTTAGTAGTAGTAGTAGTATAAGTAGTTTTGGGGGTACATCACTCTATTGGTACTTCAGCAATAAAGGAACAGTGATATGACAACAGCATAATAAGAAAGGCCCAATGATTGATCTGACTAATGGTCATTTGAAGACAGGAAGCGTAAGGATACATATATCATTTAACAAATAGTTTAACAAAATTAACATGGTAGTCATGTAAATTAGGTAGCAACGTCATGTGATAGTTGTTATAGAGTATTAACAAATATTGAAATATAGTTTTTTTTTTAATTGAGTTCTTCATACAATCAGGAATAATCCAGACAATTCGTAATTCATATCCTGACACTGTCACCAAAGTATTTAGACCCCCTCCCCGAAACCAACCATATAACATAAAGGGACATACATTTGTAGTATGAATAATGAGCATTAGTCTGATATACTGGCTCCTGTTCTACTACAATCATATTAGCAACGTGGTACACAGAGAGCGGTTCGGGTTTCCATAAGAGGTGTTGTTTGCATAATAAATAAAAAGTGAAGAAGTCACTGCTGATTTAACTTTGTTGTTTAAACAAACTCATTTGGAATGTTTTTCAGTCGTTACGTATTTTCCAAACAGATAAAACCCCGGGAGCCAACCTCAATAGCAAAGTGTTGTACATACCATCCTTGTTATTCAATATCAGAAACCAGAGGAGCGTACGTTCTCTCTTTATATTCGTGAATCCTCTGTATATTTGTTTTGAAGGGGGCCGATAATTCAAGAATCAGTTGTTTCTTAAGATTTTGCCAAAACACACATATGCCTATATCAGGATTCAGATTCGTCTGAGTATGTTCAACTGAGACTGTCGATATACCTAGCTCTCTTCATGGTTCTAAACTCAGGTCAGATGTTATCTACACAGCTTGATTTAATGTATCAATTCCCTTCTAGATGCTCACTATTAAACAGGTACCATATAATATTATTGTAACGCCACGTATACCCACATTCGTCAAGTACATTAGGGCATCAATTGAGAACATGATCAGGAGTGGTATATGTTGTTACATTTTTTGACTGACGTAAATTTCCCCCATTTGACTAAGTTTGCATTTTTATTTTATAGCGTGTGGGTAAAAGCGTTTATGAGAAAACGTGCGATTTCGTGTGGCAAATTAAAACCAGCGCTTTCCAATCAGCAGATTTTCCCGTAATGCTGAGGGTTGAGAAAAAAATGCCTTGCACAGCACAGTTTGCGCATGGATAAGCCGATTTAGTGATAACCTCTCTTTACTAATATAACGTTGCTATTCAGAGCCGTCAATAACTCGAGCGAAGAACACGTTAGGCGTGATCGGACGTCGAGCCAGCGAAGACGATGATGGCGAGTCGACATCATTATAGGGGTCATCATGCACCATCTCATTGATGACGCCACTGTTTATCTCTGATGATCTACCTTCTTCCAAGAATGCCTGACAGGATTTTGAAGAGAAAAAATGCATATATAAAATTATCATCCTCATCATATTATCTTCATTGATTTACTCAAATCATTCACTAAGCAAGGGTGACTTTAATCACTTCGGTGCTTCCACATAATTATGCTCCACTGACAATTTCACAGTCTTTTTAAAGCCAATTATAGGTACAGGGTTAGGATTGCAAATGGGATTTAGGTTAAGTTTAGGGTAAAGGTAAGGGTTGCGAATTGGGTTTAGGTTAAGTTAGGGATTAGGATTGTTTTCAGTGTTTAGCCCAAAGTTGAAGGTAGGCATCCTTGTTAGAGCATTGGAAGCAGAGCGATTGCCGATGGAGCAGAAATCGTACAATCATACTTTCGAATGAAAGTGGGTCAACAAGTTTAATAGACAGATCGATTATTGTTTTTGTGTAATCTTCAGAAATGTAAAAAATAAAGTATGATGTTTACATAATCTAATAGTTAAACAAATTGTAATGTTCACAACAATTGTCAACTGCTATTTTCGTTCCAACGTGCGTTTTTCTATAAGCATATATGTATAGATAAACGATCACTACGCCTACCTTACTTACTGTTGTTTTTTGTGATATTGTTACTGCGTATATGTGCTGGGTTTTGTATTTGTTTATTTTAGTTATTTTGTTAAAAGCTTTTTTTGTTTTAACTTACAGCTAAATGATCAGGAACCCTTGCTCGTAATCTATTCTGACCCGGTGGTCCTCTTGCTATGACGTCATTCAGGACTCGTTTAAAGCTCTGTCTTATGGATGTTTCCATTGGATCGACCGCGTAGTGACGTATACTCTCTGAAACGTCATCACCGAGGGGATCCAGGTGTGGTAAAGAATAGTCCCTTGCTAATGGATTAGAAACCACAGATGGTGAGAATGGTCTACTGCTTCTGGTTCGCATGCTCGGAGTGTCTGTGCTGTCATTAGAAGAGCCATCATAAACCCGAGCAAAGAAAGCAGCCGGCTCGTCCGTCGCATGATGCCAATGGTTGTAGATTACAGATTCCTGAGAATGAAATGATAGACAAAAAGATCGATTCCAGCGGTGAAACAATAATTTAAATGTAAATCAAGCTATGCAAACAATAACCATATTAGTATGCATCTATGGAGAAAAATACTTTAACAAATGTATAGAACTCATTCCATAATCTTTTAGGGAAAAGTCGTTGAGACTTATATATCTCAACTCTCCAAGTATTAACATAAACTATGTTAAAGGATTGTGTGTTTTTTGTTTCAGTTATCTCTTTTATGACTTATAACTACTGATTCCATTTGAATATTAATAACCACATTGTTTGGATAATTTGAAAGGTTTAAATTCAGGTAGGTTCTCTGCACTCTCTGTGCTTGAATAGTAATACAATTTAGGACTTATGTAGAATTTAATACAACGACGATGTCTGAAAGCGCATGACAGATATATTATTACACCGGTCATCGAATTTAGGCTGGCCCGCACGCAATGTAAGCAGATTCTCCCCTGTCTGGGTAGCGTTCCAGTTAGGCGCCAAATTGATGACGCTTACAAGGCTGATCAAACTACACTAACTTTCGAATCCTACCGGCTACACATTTAATCCCTGGGTAGAGGGGAAAGATGTAGATAAAATGCCTCGCTTGATGTCACAAGCTTTTCATTCGTGTTGCTTCGCAAATCATGCAGCCGAATATTTATCTTCCTAAGAACTCTAATCTTATCATGAAATGTAATGCCCGATAACGTTTATCCCGTCGATTATGGAGTCCACGCAATACCATTGGCTTTGATGCAGGAGCTACCCGGTTCCCTAAGGCAATGAGTTAAACTTACGTCTGCTTTCTCTCTGTAACGGCGCCTTCGTAGAGGAATCAACAACAACCAGCAGCAGCATAGTGCGACGAGGAGACCAGCCGAGATACTACCAACAGTTATTAATATTATCTGCCAAGTTTCTATAAGCAAATGAAATGGAACATATGACATTACGTAGATACATTGCATATCAATTCATTATAAACCCTCATCAACCGTTATTCATTGTTCTATGTGGTCTAAAGTAATTCATCAACTAGATCGGATGACAAAAGTAGTTGCTTTAAGAGTTTTACTCTTGATTATTTCCATGATTTATCTTTGTGTCTCTCCCCTCTTACCGCGTTTTGTTTACCCCCCCCCCCTTTTTTTTTCTCTCTCTCTCTCTGTATCTCTCTCTCTCTCTCTCTGTATCTCTGTCTTTCTGCCTCCGTAGTAAACATTTAGCTTTCATTTAAGTTTCATTCAAGAGGACTGGGCTTAGGATGGCGCCCTTGCAAAATAATCATTCACCATGAAGCGCAATGAGGAATAACTTATTGAATTTTTGCGCTATATAAACAATTTCCGAACATAGAAAATCAGTGCCTTAATTTGTTACCCCTTTGTCTCTCTCTCTCCCTCTCTCTATCTCTCTAACAAACACACACAAACACATACACATTTTCTGATTATCTCTGCTTCCCTACATCTTTACTCCTCCATGAATAGAGCTTTAAAATAGAGTGTTACCGAGTGCGCTGGAACCTGGGTCCAAGACGGTGGTGCTGTATGGTGTAGTGATAAGTTCTGTCGTATTCACGGTATCGTTTGTAACAACTGCAGAAACAAAAACAGCAAATGGTAAGCATATGTAAAATAGACTAATAACGGTAATGAAAAACAGTGCGTTACAAACTAATAGGAACAAGGTGAATCCATCGCCGTTTAATGTTTTGGTTGTGTACATGAGTTCTCCTTTTTTCCTCCTTTTTTTAGAAATATACATATTCATGTCATAATGCAACATTGATTGTTTCCTTTTTCGTTTTCTGACCAAAGTAAGTGCAATAGCATCGTATGTCACTTTCTAGAAATGTGCGAAGATGACGAGGACATGTAACATCATCTGGAAATTATAAGGGAGTATCAAAAAGGCCCTTAAGTTAATTTCGTTTCTTGTCAGCATGTATTGTCTCGTCTTGAACATACTGCACAACACGCATCAAAGTGACAATCGAAGTGCAGACTTTCATGCCAAGAATCAATTCAAAGTTTTATTTCTAACATTAATCTAAAGATAAAGACCAGTTCTGGTCATGCGATTGCATTGTGAAAAAAACGTTGTGGAATCAATCTGAAAAGATTGATCATCTAGCATATAAGTATTGATGTGTACTGCAAGGTTCTGGAATCATCAAAATGATAAGAAATTTGGCCCAGTCTTCGTAAAGTTACGAAGTACACAAAAAGATGTATATGGGACTACGCACACGTGAGCGACACGTGCGTTTATCTCTCACACACCAATAGATAAACTAATTTACCAAATATATCAATTAGTAGGCGGTTTCCCGGCAAAAAATCTATCATCATGTATTAGTCAAAACATACTCTTTCACATGATTGGTAATAAGAGCTTCCATTTCATTGTTTGAAGTTGGGGCGTTTCCAATACTGGTCTTTACCTTTAAGTTTAGTCAGATAAGGGCTATTTCTTTAATATCTTTGCGATCAATTTAAAAAGAGAAAAAGAAGAGTTAGTCAATTATCTTGCTACTTACTTAAAGAGCATAATCTGCCCGGTAGCTGAGGCATGAGGTCATCATATCCATCATTACATGTACAGTTAAAACCACCGGCATCGTCCAGATCAATACAGTCTGCATTCTCAGAACAATCATTCTCCCCGAGCAAGCATTCGTCGATTGCTGTTTGATAAAACAGAACAGAACATCATTGAATAATAGTTGTGTCTCCACATGGTGTCCGTGTCCGAAAATTACAATCCATATATATCTGTAAAGCGTTTAGAGTTACCATGTATGTATTAAGCGCTATATTAACGCGGAATGTCTTACAAGACTGCCAGATCTCACTTGCGCAAGTTACTGGGTGAGGAATAACACAGTGCATTGAACAAAGGCAGTCAGACAAAGGCACACATACAGACACACATACAGACACACACACAAATACACATGTACACACAACACACATGGTAACAATTGTTTCATAATTTCCACTTTTCTGATTAAGCATTCATTTTTATCAAGATCGCTGAATGTTTAAGTGGCATTTCCCTGACAATCTTTCCCACTACCACCATCATATCATCATCATCATCATTCGGCCGTCAGATTGTAAAACGGTCTAGCTCGAAAATTTGACTTTTTGAGGTAAATTTACTTTCCGGGTAATGTAAGGGCGCTCTTTCCAATGGTGCTATCGATAAAATCCCATCATGTCTTCTTTTCGAGATAATTTCCGCTATCTTGGTACTTTTTTGTATTTTTCCTTCAGATTTGATGGTAAAAGGGTCTATCTTTGAGTTAGCCCATTGTCGGTAATATCGTTTTGAGGTAAAACGAGCTATCTTTTTCATAAACCTTTTAACCTTCTTAACTGAGATTTTTTAATCATCGTTGTCAGAGGGTAAAATGGTCTATCTTCGAGTTAGACTAGTTTACCTAAGTTAGCCCATTGTCGGAAATATCTTTTGGAGGTAAAACGAGTCTTTTTTTACATAGTATGGCAATAGTGTTTATGGTCTAACTAGAAGATAGAACATTTTAGTATGGCAATAGTGTTTAAGGATAGACCATTTTACCATTTTATGATGTTTAGTGGGAGTGTATTCATGAGCTGTGGTTAAACAGTCTATCTGCACAAAAATCTCATTTATTTTATAATTAAAACCCCAAATAAGCACAAAATTCTTCAGTTATCAGTGTTTAATATGCTTCTTCTTGTCCCATCGCTAAAAATGGATTATACCCATCTCCTAAAAAAGCTTAAACCTCTAAACTTTTAAAGTCATTTTTCTCGGAACAGCGATTTTTGACCATTTTACCATCTGACGGCCGCATTGTCATCATCTTAATCTTCATCATTATCATCATCATCATCAACATGAAGTGCACATGAATCCAGTGTGCTTTCTCAATACGTAGGTACATTATCAATCGTTGGCTATGTCTTTTTGTTGGTGTGTGGATGTGCGTTTGTTTGTGTGCGTTTGTGTTTGTGCCTGTGCTTCTGTGTGTGTGTGTGTGTGTGTGTGTGTGTGAGAGAGAGTGTGTTTTTGTTTGCCTGGCTGTCTTTGTTCTAAACATTATTTTATTCCTCACCCAGCAACTTGGCGCAAGTGAGATCTGTCAGTCTTGTAAAGATTGTCTGATGTTCAGTCATGCATGTAGAGATTCAAATGAAAATGGTTTTCTAAATGAACTGGGATGATAATTCTATCAAGACATATCATGAAACCCATGATTAAATATTCGTACTTCAAACAATACAACTTTTAAAAAGTGGGACATTTTTTCTGACTCACTCTGTATACTCACCATTCACACTAACATCCTCGACTCTTGGGCTAAGTTTCAGATTTGCGTTGTTGTCCGCAAAGAGGAAGTAGGTATTATTTTTTATCTCTGATATCAGCATGTTCTCCAGACTGGATGCGTTTGAAGATGCGTTTAAATGCTCATCATATTCAGCCCATATACTCCCTTCTGAATAGGAAACAATCGTCGTTGTTACGACGCTCCGAGTGATAGGATGAAACAGGTTGAACATCTAGAGAGAGAAAAGATGAACAATACACATTGACCATGGTTACATTAAACAAATGGTATGTATCCCTTCAGATTAAGGGCATTATTAAACTGTTGAGACATTCTGACATTGTACAAAGAGCTATTCACATGAATGCCCAGCAGAGACGGATACCGTTGCTTTTCACAAAGCTATCATCACCATCATCATCATCTTCACAAGGAGATCCTTCATTCGATTATGTTTTGAAGGTACAAACAATGTACTATGGCTGGCTCATTGCCATGGTCACAAATGGCCGTGCACTTCTCTGCATCTAGTTTACGACGGATTTCGTACAAAATCCTTGCGTCAGACTAATACCGGTCTGCACATTTTCTGAAGGCACGCAGAACACTTAAACGCCCACAGGAAATTATTGCATATGACCAATAATCTGTGTGTGTGGCTACGTTTTTTGAAGCCTTTGCACCTGTTTGCACACAGTTCAAGGGTTTCGTGCGAGAATCACACGCGCTACTTTCATAATAATAATAATAATAATCTTTTAAAGTCCACTACAAATTTTATTATGTTAAACCGAAAATGGAAATTCTTGTTGCCCAGTTGATCGTGAGCCCGGCAGCCACTGAGCAGCGCCAGTATACATCCATACGGAGCCGTAATACAGAGCACAACAGTGGCTAGATACGTTTGTTGCTACTGCACCTCAAGGATTCTTGCAGGTAGGGAAGATGTTTGTGATAATCGTAAGAAGTACGCACGAATGGCTGGAGTTGGCCTTAGACCAGAATTTTAGCGCAGACATGTACGTGAAAAAGACGCACGGTGAGTTGTGACTCTGGCATTAGATTCAGATAAGTTACTTACGCATTGATGAATCAGTTCGGATAAGATGATGTAGCTATTACTAGAGGGGTCTAGGTAATTGCTGTTAAATGTAGCAGTAACTCCGGTTATTGCAAAGATTCTTATTTTGAATCTGAAGGTCCATACTCCTGCAATTAACACGCGAGAGAAAATTAGACATACAGGGAATTCAAACATAATTATTCTGAAACCAAAATGCATTTATTGAATTCATACCATCACTGGGTGATAACTTGTTTACATTCTAACTCTAACACTGACCCACGGTTGGTATCTCAAACCGAGCAGTTAAGATATTGCAATTATTATCATCATTATGATCGTTATTGGCAATATAGTAGAAGTAGTATTAGTATTGTTGTTATTATTAGTATTACAAAAATACATTTGGCGGACTGTATTTGAATTTCCAAGAGAAAATCATTTTTTTAATAGAAATTTCAGTTTCTGCCCTTTAATATGACTACTCAACCAGAACAAAAATGAACAGGGAATAACAAAGTTCTGGTTATTTAGAGTGATATGCTTGCATTTCCATCAATTTATTAAACGAATTCGTTTTCACTGGCTGCCTTCCGTAGCAATAAACGGAATTGACCAAAGACTTAACTCCGTTTCGTTGATGATCAGCAAAAGACGAAAGAATTCATGCATGGCTGATTTTCAACGAAACGGAGTTAAGTCTTTTGTTAATTCTGCTTGCTGCTACGGCAGGCGGCCAGTGAAAACGAACTTTTAAAATCAAATTATGGAAATGCAAGCATCACGTTAAACAAACAGAACTTTGTTATTCCTTGCTCATTTGTCCTAATTGAGGTGTCATATGAAAGGGCAGAAAATGAACTTTCTAGAAATCTGATTTTCCCTTTGAAATTCAGATACCGTCGCCAAATTACTTTTTGGTTTCCTTCCTTCAAATTGATTTTAATCACTCATGCGTGAAAAATGCATCATATGAATTGCATCTAATGAAAAAGGAGGATCTAAGCTTTACAAATATGTGTCATTTATTAATTATAATTGTGATTAAGTTATGATAACACATCGATAATTCTCGGTTTTGTTTTTGTTCTGGGATGCACTGTATAGCATCTCAGTTCCCAAGTTTGATAAGGGTATAATATCAGCAATTACCTTTAATAAGCGCTATATTTTCTTGGTATACCACTCATTAATATTTATTTTGATTTTTACTGCAGACTAAGACTATAATATTTCAAACAAAGTAGTTTTACTTGTGCATGTTCCGGAGTAATCCCTCTGTGTGCCTGGTCTACATCTGCACTCTCCTTCTTTACATGTTTCTGTGAGGTAGTCACATCTGTTGTCACACGACGCTGTTTAATAACAAGAAAAATGAAACGGTTTAGTTCAAAGTTGCGACGTTTCTTGTAAAAATACAAGTTCCATGATGCATTCTGCAAAGGTGATCCCATTCTGTTTTTTTTTTTAAATCTCTTACACATACACGTGCTTGCGTACACATAGTTGCAAGATATGTGACGACTAGGGAGAGAACCATCGAAACTCGGTTACATATTATATACCTTACGTAAGCATTTCGTTCGTACAATAATTGATGAATTTTAAGTAGGAATAAAGTGGGCATGATATAACAAAATTGAAGAAATGTCATTTAAGTTCCCGATATGTTTATATTATCATGTTATTTTGTATATATATTATCAACAATATTTTTGAAAATTACAGGATAGTTATGTTATACCACAGAGGATAGGGATGCAATGATATTATATGTCCTCAAAGTTTTCCTAAACTGCTTTAGCCAGCAGTATTTCGATTCACGGTAAGTGAATGGCAGTTCTTACGGAACCTTCAAATAATGCAATTGGACTACATTGAAGTTACTTACTACATCAAGCACAGAAAAAAAATCATGAATTAAATATGTGAGAATCCTAGGCATCGTCCCTCTTCCTACGAAGTATCCTTGATCGTATACTCAGCACTCACATACGTACGCCCATTATGTATGGAACAGCTGACCCAATATAGGGTTACATTTCCAATATTATTATTAGCATTTAAAACCATTTGTATCGTGTAAATGTAATTTGATCTATCGTTTGTTGACCGAGACATTGAATGACCTGAATGAGTGACAGTGTGGAAGAGAAAGTATAAGTGAGTTTAGTTTACCTCTACATGTGTTGTCGTTAGTGTTGAGCACCGTGTCTGGATAACATGAACATTGATGAGTGATTTGGGATCCATCACATAGCTCGTTCACGCCGCAGGTTGTTGCCCCACAAGTGCTAAAACCTACCAATTAAAAACATTAAGGAAATTTATACTTAAACCATGAAGCCACCAGATTAATATATATACGTCAAATAAATTATAACGTGCTTTGTCCACTATTTATGTAGTAAAATGCAACAATTGCACTTCATACCCTTATTTTGTATAAAGTTAAATGTGTCAGATTTTGATTACACGAAACATAAAAAAAAGTTTAAATGTTCATTATGCGCTGTAAAAATATTGAAATATCATTTAATATAATCGTTTTGTGTGGAAATTTAAATCATCTTTTTTTCAATATAGAGTGATAAATATTTAAGAAGGTTGAATTTGAAATTGAAAGGAAGAATTTGATTATATTCATATCCGGCTCAATCAAAAAAAGCCGATCAACTATTCAAACAATCTAGGCTTATCAATTTATATTTTTTAATCTTACTTCCTTGGGTTGTAGCAATCGTCGTGTCAGTAGTTGCTTTGGTTGTCCCAACTGTTGCCTGGGTCGTTAGATCTGACAAAGGAGCTTGGGTTGTAGCATTCGTCGTTTCTTTGGTCCTATACGTTATTCGAGCCGTCGTTTCTGTGGTCACTTGGGTTCTATCGATCGTAGGTTCTGTGGTGTCCTGTGTTGATGCTATCGTCGTTTCTGTGGTCACTTGGGTTCTATCGATCGTTGGTTCTGTGGTGTCCTGTGTAAATGCTATCGTCTTTTCTGTGGTCACTTGGGTTCTATCGATCATAGGTTCTGTGGTGTCCTGTGTTGATGCTATCGTCGTTTCTGTGGTCACTTGGGTTCTATCGATCGTAGGTTCTGTGGTTTCCTGTGTTAATGCTATCGTCGTTTCTGTGGTCACTTGGGTTCTATCGATCGTAGGTTCTGTGGTGTCCTGTGTTGATGCTATCGTCGTTTCTGTGGTCACTTGGGTTCTATCGATCGTAGGTTCTGTGGTGTCCTGTGTTGATGCTATCGTCGTTTCTGTGGTCACTTGGGTTCTATCAATCGTCGGTTCTGTGGTTCCATCAGTTGTTTCAATCGTCGTTTCTGTGGTCACTTGGGTTCTATCGATCGTCGGTTCTGTGGTTCCTTCGGTTGTTTCAATCGTCGTTTCTGTGGTCACTTGGGTTCTATCGATCGTCAGTTCTGTGGTTTCTTCGGTCGTTTCAATCGTCGTTTCTGTGGTCACTTGGGTTCTATCGATCGTCGGTTCTGTGGTTCCATCGGTTGTTTCAATCGTCGTTTCCGTTGTGCTTGAGGTTGTTGTCATCATAGTAGAATCTACAAATGTTGTTTTCAATATAGTTTCCATTGTGGGATCTAAGGAAGTAGTTTCACCCGTCTCTGTAGTAACATCAGTAGAGTCAGTTGATATAGATGTAGCTTCCTCTGTAGTCAGTTCTGTTACAACTTCAGTAGTAAAAACTACAAATGTTGTCTCTATTACAGTTTCCATTGTTGGATCTAAGAAAGTAGTTTCAGCCGTCTCTGTAGTAACATCAGTAGAGTCAGTTGATATGGATGTAGCTTCCTCAGTAGTCAGTTCTGTTACAACTTCAGTAGTAAAATCTGCAAATGTTGTCTCTATTATAGTTTCCATTGTGGGATCTAAGGAAGTAGTTTCACCAGTCTCTGTAGTAACATCAGTAGAGTCAGTTAATATCGATGTAGCTTCCTCAGTAGTCAGTTCTGTTACAACCTCAGTAGTAAGATCTACAAATGTTGTCTCTATTATAGTTTCCATTGTTGGATCTAATGAAGTAGTTTCAGCCGTCTCTGTAGTAACATCAGTAGAGTCAGTTGATATAGATGTAGCTTCCACAGTAGTCAGTTCTGTTACAACTTCCGTCGTAGAATCTACAAATGTTGTTTCCACTATAGTTTCCATTGTTGGATCTAAGGATGTTGTTTCAGCCGTCTCTGTAGTAACATCAGTAGAGTCAGTTGATATAGATGTAGCTTCCACAGTAGTCAGTTGTGTTACAACTTCAGTAGTAAGATCTACAAATGTTGTCTCTATTACAGTTTCCATTGTTGGATCTAATGAAGTAGTTTCAGCCGTCTCTGTAGTAACATCAGTAGAGCCAGTTGAAAAAGATGAAGCTTCCTCAGTAGTAAGTTCTGTTACGACCTCAGGAGTAAAATCTACAAATGTTGTCTCTATTATAGTTTCCATTGTTGGATCTAATGAAGTAGTATCACCCGTCTCTGTAGTATAATCAGTAGAGTCAGTTGATATCGATGTAGCTTTCTCAGTAGTCAGTTTTGTTACGACCTCAGTAGTAAAATCTACAAATGTTGTCTCTATTATAGTTTCCATTGTTGGATCTAAGGATGTAGTTTCACCCGTCTCTGTAGTAACATCAGTAGAGTCAGTTGATATCGATGTAGCTTCCTCAGTAGTCAGTTGTGTTACAACCTCAGTAGTAAAATCTACAAATGTTGTCTCTATGATAGTTTCCATTGTTGGATCTAAGGATGTAGTTTCACCCGTCTCTGTAGTATAATCAGTAGAGTCAGTTGATATCGATGTAGCTTCCACAGTAGTCAGTTGTGTTACAACTTCAGTAGTAAGATCTACAAATGTTGTCTCTATTATAGTTTCCATTGTTGGATCTAAGGAAGTAGTTTCAGCCGTCTCTGTAGTAACATCAGTAGTGTCAGTTGATATAGATATAGCTTCCACAGTAGTCAGTTGTGTTACAACTTCAGTAGTAAGATCTACAAATGTTGTCTCTATTATAGTTTCCATGGTTGGATCTAAGGATGTAGTTTCACCCGTCTCTGTAGTAACATCAGTAGAGCCAGTTGATAAAGATGAAGCTTCCTCAGTAGTAAGTTCTGTTACAACTTCAGTAGTAAAATCTACAAATGTTGTCTCTATTAAAGTTTCCATTGTTAGATCTAAGGAAGTAGTTTCACCCGTATCTGTAGTAGCATCAGTAGAGTCAGTTGATATAGATGTAGCTTCCTCAGTAGTCAGTTCTGTTGCAACTTCAGTAGTTAGATCTACAAATGTTGTCTCTATTATAGTTTCCATGGTTGGATCTAAGGAAGTAGTTTCAGCCGTCTCTGTAGTAACATCAGTAGAGAAAGTTGATAAAGATGAAGCTTCCTCAGTAGTAAGTTCGGTTACGACCTCAGTAGTAAAATCTACAAATGTTGTCTCTATTATAGTTTCCATTGTTGGATCTAAGGAAGTAGTTTCAGCCGTCTCTGTAGTAACATCAGTAGAGTCAGTTGATAAAGATGAAGCTTCCTCAGTAGTAAGTTCTGTTACGACCTCAGTAGTAAAATCTACAAATGTTGTCTCTATTATAGTTTCCATTGTTGGATCTAATGAAGTAGTTTCAGCCGTCTCTGTAGTAACATCAGTAGAGTCAGTTGATATCGATGTAGCTTCCTCAGTAGTCAGTTGTGTAACAACTTCAGTAGTAAGATCTACAAATGTTGTCTCTATGATAGTTTCCATTGTGAGATCTAAGGAAGTAGTTTCAGCTGTCTCTGTAGTAACATCAGTAGAGTCAGTTGATATGGATGTAGCTTCCTCAGTAGTCAGTTCTGATACGACTTCAGTAGAAAAATCTACAAATGTTGTCTCTATTATAGTTTCCATTGTTGGATCTAAGAAAGTAGTTTCAGCCGTTTCTGTAGTAACATCAGTAGAGCCAGTTGAAAAAGATGAAGCTTCCTCAGTTGTAAGTTCTGTTACGACCTCAGTAGTAAAATCTACAAATGTTTTGTCCATGATAGTTTCCATTGTTGGATCTAAGGATGTACTTTCACCCGTCTCTGTAGTATAATCAGTAGAGTCAGTTGATATCGATGTAGCTTCCTCAGAAGTCAGTTCTGTTGCAACTTCAGTAGTAAGATCTACAAATGTTGTCTCTATTATAGTTTCCATTGTTGGATCTAAGGAAGTATTTTCAGCCGTCTCTGTAGTAACATCAGTAGAGTCAGTTGATATAGATGTAGCTTCCACAGTAGTCAGTTGTGTTACAGCTTTAGTAGTAAGATCTACAAATGTTGTCTCTATTACAGTTTCCATTGTTGGATCTAATGAAGTAGTTTCACCCGTCTGTGTAGTAACATCAGTAGAGAAAGTTGATATAGATGTAGCTTCCTCAGTAGTCAGTTCTGATACGACTTCAGTAGTAAAATCTACAAATGTTGTCTCTATTATAGTTTCCATTGTTGGATCTAAGGAAGTAGTTTCACCCGTATCTGTAGTAACATCAGTAGAGTCAGTTGATATCGATGTAGCTTCCTCAGTAGTCAGTTGTGTTACAACTTCAGTAGTAAAATCTACAAATGTTGTCTCTATTATAGTTTCCATTGTTGGATCTAAGGATGTTGTTTCACCCGTCTCTGTAGTAACATCAGTAGAACCAGTTGATAAAGATGAAGCTTCCTCAGTAGTAGTTTCTGTTACAACTTCAGTAGTAAAATCTACAAATGTTGTCTCTATGATAGTTTCCATTGTTGGATATAACGATGTAGTTTCAGCCGTCTCTGTAGTAACATCAGTAGAGCCAGTTGATAAAGATGAAGCTTCCTCAGTAGTAAGTTCTGTTACAACTTCAGTAGTAAAATCTACAAATGTTGTCTCTATTATAGTTTCCATTGTTGGATCTAAGGAAGTAGTTTCAGCCGTCTCTGTAGTAGCATCAGTAGAGTCAGTTGATATAGATGTAGCTTCCTCAGTAGTCAGGTCTGTTGCAACTTCAGTAGTAAGATCTACAAATGTTGTCTCTATTATAGTTTCCATGGTTGGATCTAAGGAAGTAGTTTCAGCCGTCTCTGTAGTAACATCAGTAGAGCCAGTTGATAAAGATGAAGCTTCCTCAGTAGTAAGTTCTGTTACGACCTCAGTAGTAAAATCTACAAATGTTGTCTCTACAATAGTTTCCATTGTTGGATCTAAGGATGTAGTTTCACCCGTCTCTGTAGTAGCATCAGTAGAGCCAGTTGATAAAGATGTAGCTTCCTCAGTAGTAAGTTCTGTTACGACCTCAGTAGTAAAATCTACAAATGTTGTCTCTATGATAGTTTCCATTGTTAGATCTAAGGAAGTAGTTTCAGCTGTCTCTGTAGTAACATCAGTAGAGAAAGTTGATATTGATGTAGCTTCCTCAGTAGTCAGTTCTGATACGACTTCAGTAGTAAAATCTACAAATGTTGTCTCTATTATAGTTTCCATTGTTGGATCTAAGAAAGTAGTTTCAGCCGTCTCTGTGGTAACATCAGTAGAGTCAGTTGATATCGATGTAGCTTTCTCAGTAGTCAGTTGTGTTACAACTTCAGTAGTAAAATCTACAAATGTTGTCTCTATGATAGTTTCCATTGTTGGATCTAAGGAAGTAGTTTCAGCCGTCTCTGTAGTAACATCAGTAGAGCCAGTTGATAAAGATGAAGCTTCCTCAGTTGTAAGTTCTGTTACGACCTCAGTAGTTAAATCTAAAAATGTTGTCTCTATGATAGTTTCCATTGTTAGATCTAAGGATGTAGTTTCACCCGTCTCTGTAGTAACATCAGTAGAGTCAGTTGATATAGATGTAGCTTTCTCAGTAGTCAGTTCTGTTACAACTTCCGTCGTAGAATCTACAAATGTTGTTTCCACTATAGTTTCCATGGTTGGATCTAAGGAAGTAGTTTCAGCCGTCTCTGTAGTAACATCACTAGAGCCAGTTAATAAAGATGAAGCTTCATCAGTAGTAATTTCTGTTACCAGCTCAGTAGTTAAATCTACAAATGTTGTCTCTTTGATAGTTTCCATTGTTAGATCTAAGGATGTAGTTTCACCCGTCTCTGTAGTAACATCACTAGAGCCAGTTGAAAAAGATGGAGCTTCCTCAGTAGTAAGTTCTGTTACGACCTCAGTAGTAAAATCTACAAATGTTGTCTCTATTATAGTTTCCATGGTTGGATCTAAGGAAGTAGTTTCACCCGTCTCTGTAGTAGCATCAGTAGAGCCAGTTGATATAGATGAAGCTTCCTCAGTAGTAAGTTCTGTTACGACCTCAGTAGTTAAATCTACAAATGTTGTCTCTATGATAGTTTCCATTGTTAGATCTAAGGATGCAGTTTCAGCCGTCTCTGTAGTAACATCAGTAGAGCCAGTTGATAAAGATGAAGCTTCCTCAGTAGTCAGTTTTGTTGCAACTTCAGTAGTAAGATCTACAAATATTGTCTCTATTATAGTTTCCATGGTTGGATCTAAGGAAGTAGTTTCAGCCGTCTCTGTAGTAATATCAGTAGAGCCAGTTGATAAAGATGAAGCTTCCTCAGTAGTAAGTTCTGTTACGACCTCAGTAGTAAAATCTACAAATGTTGTCTCTACAATAGTTTCCATTGTTGGATCTAAGGATGTAGTTTCACCCGTCTCTGTAGAAGCATCAGTAGAGCCAGTTGATAAAGATGTAGCTTCCTCAGTAGTAAGTTCTGTTACGACCTCAGTAGTAAAATCTACAAATGTTGTCTCTATGATAGTTTCCATTGTTAGATCTAAGGAAGTAGTTTCAGCTGTCTCTGTAGTAATATCAGTAGAGAAAGTTGATATAGATGTAGCTTTCTCAGTAGTCAGTTCTGTTGCAACTTCAGTAGTAAAATCTACAAATGTTGTCTCTATGATAGTTTCCATTGTTGGATCTAAGGAAGTAGTTTCAGCCGTCTCTGAAGTAACATCAGTAGAGTCAGTTGATATTGATGTAGCTTCCTCAGTAGTCAGTTCTGATACGACTTCAGTAGTAAAATCTACAAATGTTGTCTCTATTATAGTTTCCATTGTTGGATCTAAGAAAGTAGTTTCAGCCGTCTCTGTGGTAACATCAGTAGAGTCAGTTGATATCGATGTAGCTTTCTCAGTAGTCAGTTGTGTTACAACTTCAGTAGTAAAATCTACAAATGTTGTCTCTATGATAGTTTCCATTGTTGGATCTAAGGAAGTAGTTTCAGCCGTCTCTGTAGTAACATCAGTAGAGTCAGTTGATATAGATGTAGCTTTCTCAGTAGTCAGTTCTGTTGCAACTTCAGTAGTAAGATCTACAAATGTTGTCTCTATTATAGTTTCCATTGTTGGATCTAAGGAAGTAGTTTCAGCCGTCTCTGTAGTAACATCAGTAGAGCCAGTTGATATAGATGTAGCTTTCTCAGTAGTCAGTTCTGTTACAACTTCCGTCGTAGAATCTACAAATGTTATTTCCACTATAGTTTCCATGGTTGGATCTAAGGAAGTAGTTTCAGCCGTCTCTGTAGTAACATCACTAGAGCCAGTTAATAAAGATGAAGCTTCATCAGTAGTAAGTTCTGTTACGACCTCAGTAGTTAAATCTACAAATGTTGTCTCTATGATAGTTTCCATTGTTAGATCTAAGGATGTAGTTTCACCCGTCTCTGTAGTAACATCACTAGAGCCAGTTGAAATAGATGAAGCTTCCTCAGTAGTAAGTTGTGTTACGACCTCAGTAGTAAAATCTACAAATGTTGTCTCTATTATAGTTTCCATGGTTGGATCTAAGGAAGTAGTTTCAGCCGTCTCTGTAGTTACATCAGTAGAGTCAGTTAATATGGATGTATCTTCCTCAGTAGTCAGTTCTGATACGACTTCAGTAGTAAAATCTACAAATGTTGTCTCTATTATAGTTTTCATTGTTAGATCTAATGAAGTAGTTTCAGTCGTCTCCGTAGTAACATCAGTAGAGCCAGTTGAAAAAGATGAAGCTTCCTCAGTAGTCAGTTGTGCTAGAACTTCAGTAGTAAAATCTACAAATGTTGTGTCTATTATAGTTTCCGTTGTTGGATCTAAGGATGTAGTTTCAGCCGTCTCTGTAGTAACATCAGTAGAGTCAGTTGATATCGATGTAGCTTCCTCAGTAGTCAGTTGTGCTAGAACTTCAGTAGTTAAATCTACAAATGTTGTCTCTATTAAAGTTTCCATTTTTGGATCTAAGGAAGTAGTTTCCCCCGTCTTTGTAGTAGCATCAGTAGAGTCAGTTGATATAGATGTAGCTTCCTCAGTAGTCAGTTCTGTTGCAACTTCAGTAGTAAGATCTACAAATGTTGTCTCTATTATAATTTCCATGGTTGGATCTAAGGAAGTAGTTTCACCCGTCTCTGTAGTAGCATCAGTAGAGCCAGTTGATATAGATGAAGCTTCCTCAGTAGTAAGTTCTGTTACGACCTCAGTAGTTAAATCTACAAATGTTGTCTCTATGATAGTTTCCATTGTTAGATCTAAGGATGCAGTTTCAGCCGTCTCTGTAGTAACATCAGTAGAGCCAGTTGATAAAGATGAAGCTTCCTCAGTAGTCAGTTTTGTTGCAACTTCAGTAGTAAGATCTACAAATGTTGTCTCTATTATAGTTTCCATGGTTGGATCTAAGGAAGTAGTTTTAGCCGTCTCTGTAGTAATATCAGTAGAGCCAGTTGATAAAGATGAAGCTTCCTCAGTAGTAAGTTCTGTTACGACCTCAGTAGTAAAATCTACAAATGTTGTCTCTACAATAGTTTCCATTGTTGGATCTAAGGATGTAGTTTCACCCGTCTCTGTAGAAGCATCAGTAGAGCCAGTTGATAAAGATGTAGCTTCCTCAGTAGTAAGTTCTGTTACGACCTCAGTAGTAAAATCTACAAATGTTGTCTCTATGATAGTTTCCATTGTTAGATCTAAGGAAGTAGTTTCAGCTGTCTCTGTAGTAATATCAGTAGAGAAAGTTGATATAGATGTAGCTTTCTCAGTAGTCAGTTCTGTTGCAACTTCAGTAGTAAAATCTACAAATGTTGTCTCTATGATAGTTTCCATTGTTGGATCTAAGGAAGTAGTTTCAGCCGTCTCTGTAGTAACATCAGTAGAGTCAGTTGATATTGATGTAGCTTCCTCAGTAGTCAGTTCTGATACGACTTCAGTAGTAAAATCTACAAATGTTGTCTCTATTATAGTTTCCATTGTTGGATCTAAGAAAGTAGTTTCAGCCGTCTCTGTGGTAACATCAGTAGAGTCAGTTGATATCGATGTAGCTTTCTCAGTAGTCAGTTGTGTTACAACTTCAGTAGTAAAATCTACAAATGTTGTCTCTATGATAGTTTCCATTGTTGGATCTAAGGAAGTAGTTTCAGCCGTCTCTGTAGTAACATCAGTAGAGTCAGTTGATAAAGATGAAGCTTCCTCAGTAGTAAGTTCTGTTACAACCTCAGTAGTTAAATCTACAAATGTTGTCTCTATTAAAGTTTCCATTTTTGGATCTAAGGAAGTAGTTTCCCCCGTCTTTGTAGTAGCATCAGTAGAGTCAGTTGATATAGATGTAGCTTCCTCAGTAGTCAGTTCTGTTGCAACTTCAGTAGTAAGATCTACAAATGTTGTTTCTATTATAGTTTCCATGGTTGGATCTAAGGATGTAGTTTCAGCCGTCTCTGTAGTTACATCCATAGAGTCAGTCGATATAGATGTAGCTTCCTCTGTAGTCAGTTCTGTTACAACTTCAGTAGTAAAATCTACAAATGTTGTCTCTATGATAGTTTCCATTGTTGGATCTAAGGATGTAGTTTCACCCGTCTCTGTAGTAACATCAGTAGAGTCAGTCGATATAGATGAAGCTTCCTCAGTAGTCAGTTCTGTTACAACTTCAGTAGTAAAATCTACAAATGTTGTCTCTATTATAGTTTCCATTGTTGGATCTAATGAAGTAGTTTCAGCCGTCCCTGTAGGTTCTGTTGCAACTTCAGTAGTAAGATCTACAAATGTTGTTTCTATGATAGTTTCCATTGTTGGATCTAAGGATGTAGTTTCACCCGTCTCTGTAGTAACATCAGTAGAGTCAGTCGATATAGATGAAGCTTCCTCAGTAGTCAGTTCTGTTACAACTTCAGTAGTAAAATCTACAAATGTTGTCTCTATTATAGTTTCCATTGTTGGATCTAATGAAGTAGTTTCAGCCGTCCCTGTAGGTTCTGTTGCAACTTCAGTAGTAAGATCTACAAATGTTGTTTCTATGATAGTTTCCATTGTTGGATCAAAGGATGTAGTTTCACCCGTCTCTGTAGTAGCATCAGTAAAGTCAGTCGATATAGATGTAGCTTCCTCAGTAGTCAGTTCTGTTCCAACTTCAGTAGTAAAATCTACAAATGTTGTCTCTATGATAGTTTCCATTGTTGGATCTAAGGATGTAGTTTCAGCCGTCTCTGTAGTAACATCAGTAGAGTCAGTTGATATAGATGTAGCTTTCTCAGTAGTCAGTTCTGTTACAACTTCCGTCGTAGAATCCACAAATGTTGTTTCCACTATAGTTTCCATTGTTGGATGTAAGGAAGTAGTTTCAGCCGTCTCTGTAGTAACTTCACTAGAGCCAGTTGAAAAAGATGAAGCTTCCTCAGTAGTAAGTTCTGTTACGATCTCAGTAGTAAGATCTACAAATGTTGTCTCTATTACAGTTTCCATTGTTGGATCTAAGGAAGTAGTTTCAGTCGTCTTTGTGGTAACATCAGTAGAGTCAATTGATATCGATGTAGCTCCCTCAGTAGTTAGTTCTGTTACAACTTCAGTAGTAAAATCTACAAATGTTGTCTCAATTATAGTTTCCATTGTTGGATCTAAGGAAGTAGTTCCACCCTTCTCTGTTGTAACATCAGAAGAGTCAGTTGATATAGATGTAGCTTCCTCAGTAGTCAGTTCTGTTGCAACTTCAGTAGTAAGATCTACAAATGTTGTTTCTATTATAGTTTCCATGGTTGGATCTAAGGATGTAGTTTCAGCCGTCTCTGTAGTTACATCCATAGAGTCAGTCGATATAGATGTAGCTTCCTCTGTAGTCAGTTCTGTTACAACTTCAGTAGTAAAATCTACAAATGTTGTCTCTATGATAGTTTCCATTGTTGGATCTAAGGATGTAGTTTCACCCGTCTCTGTAGTAACATCAGTAGAGTCAGTCGATATAGATGAAGCTTCCTCAGTAGTCAGTTCTGTTACAACTTCAGTAGTAAAATCTACAAATGTTGTCTCTATTATAGTTTCCATTGTTGGATCTAATGAAGTAGTTTCAGCCGTCCCTGTAGGTTCTGTTGCAACTTCAGTAGTAAGATCTACAAATGTTGTTTCTATGATAGTTTCCATTGTTGGATCTAAGGATGTAGTTTCACCCGTCTCTGTAGTAACATCAGTAGAGTCAGTCGATATAGATGAAGCTTCCTCAGTAGTCAGTTCTGTTACAACTTCAGTAGTAAAATCTACAAATGTTGTCTCTATTATAGTTTCCATTGTTGGATCTAATGAAGTAGTTTCAGCCGTCCCTGTAGGTTCTGTTGCAACTTCAGTAGTAAGATCTACAAATGTTGTTTCTATGATAGTTTCCATTGTTGGATCAAAGGATGTAGTTTCACCCGTCTCTGTAGTAGCATCAGTAAAGTCAGTCGATATAGATGTAGCTTCCTCAGTAGTCAGTTCTGTTCCAACTTCAGTAGTAAAATCTACAAATGTTGTCTCTATGATAGTTTCCATTGTTGGATCTAAGGATGTAGTTTCAGCCGTCTCTGTAGTAACATCAGTAGAGTCAGTTGATATAGATGTAGCTTTCTCAGTAGTCAGTTCTGTTACAACTTCCGTCGTAGAATCCACAAATGTTGTTTCCACTATAGTTTCCATTGTTGGATGTAAGGAAGTAGTTTCAGCCGTCTCTGTAGTAACTTCACTAGAGCCAGTTGAAAAAGATGAAGCTTCCTCAGTAGTAAGTTCTGTTACGATCTCAGTAGTAAGATCTACAAATGTTGTCTCTATTACAGTTTCCATTGTTGGATCTAAGGAAGTAGTTTCAGTCGTCTTTGTGGTAACATCAGTAGAGTCAATTGATATCGATGTAGCTCCCTCAGTAGTTAGTTCTGTTACAACTTCAGTAGTAAAATCTACAAATGTTGTCTCAATTATAGTTTCCATTGTTGGATCTAAGGAAGTAGTTCCACCCTTCTCTGTTGTAACATCAGAAGAGTCAGTTGATATCGATGTAGCATCCTCAGTAGTCAGTTCTGTTACAACTTCAGTAGTAAAATCTACAAATGTTGTCTCAATTATAGTTTCCATTGTTGGATCTAAGGAAGTAGTTCCACTCTTCTCTGTTGTAACATCAGTCGAGCCAGTTGATATAGATGTAGTTTCCTCTGTTGTCAGTTCTGTTACAACTTCCGTATTGATATCTGTAATTGTTGTTGCTAATATCAGTTCTGTTTTAATGTCAGTAGTTGCATCTGAAGTGATATATACTGTTGTTGCTATCAGCGTTGTCAGTTCGTCTGTTAATTGCAGGAAGAAAAAAACATATTCCATTTGGTTTTATCTTTTCAAAATTTAAATATGAAATGTATTTCCATTATTGTTTGTTTACGCTAGGTGTATTTTTGAAGTAATAACAATTTTGATCTCATCGCTTCTGTTCATAAGTACTATTTGATGACAATTTTATTATTCGTATATTACACTGTTTGTCATAAAGGTGGAATAATTTTTTTTACACCTTTTCATGGAATGATTTTGACACTGATTTATTTCTTAATATGAATTAGAGATTAGTATACATTCTCAGATTTTATTGAATAATAATTTGTGGGTGTTTTTTGAGTGACTGGTAAAGCATGTGTGTGCTACTATGCTAATCAACTAGGGGACCTACGTCCTTAAGTCATAACTGACAGTAATGAGGATTAATGCTTTACAAAAGGGCAGTAATATGGCACATCGACACGGTTTTGATCCTGGGGCCTCACAGTAACGAGGCCATTGCTTAACCACTGAATCACGACTGTACGCAGCGTTCATTACATTTTGCCCCGATCCCCCCCCCCCCCTCAAAAAATCCTATGTGTTGCCATGGCTTGGAACATAATGCATGGCTCTACAAAGGATTTTTTTTTTTTTCGGGCTGGGGACTGGGGGGAAATGCAATAAATGATTGAACAATTTATGCATTTTCTTTTTCTTTTTTTATTTGTGGGGGCGGCACCATACCCTAGCCCCCGCTGCGTCCAGTCATGATTCAGTGGCTAAGCAATGACCTCGTTAATGTGAGCCCCCAGGATCAAAACCATAACGATATGCTATATTAGTGTCCTTTTGTGAGGCATTAACACACATTAACACACATGTTTTAGCTGTCACGCAAAACAAACACTTGCAAGTTATTATTATTCTATTCAATCTGAGAATGTATACAATTATCTAGATCTATTAGGAATAAATCATTGTCGAAATCATTCCATAAATTGGGGTGAAAATAAATATTCCACCATTATGACCAACAGAGTATGTAACACTATTTTGACTCTGAACACAGTTTTCGTGATTATCTCAAGTTGCTTATCGTGCTGCGAGGCATTTTTTTTTATTATATATAGATGAAATGTCCACTCTTAATGTTCATATCACCCTCTACTGCTACATGATATAATATTTGTTTGGATACGTTATCCAGCCAAGGCCCTTTTGGGGGGATTGGATGGTATTTTTCATTAATTACACACACAAAAGAAGATCCTCTCTGCAAAAAAAAATCGCCTTAATTTCTTAACCACAACATTTTGAATAAATTAAACTAAATGGGGCTGTGCCGTACGTATGTGTCTTTTGTGTGAAAATCAGTAGCAACTATCAGGTCAAAATTACCCCCACTTTAGAGTTAATTTGATCAAAGTTATTTCTTCTGTCTACTGAGAGACAGTCATATTCATTAATGTGTGTGTATGTAAGGGACTGGGCAATCTTCCCGGCAAGATTGGATAACCGCAACTGAACATTACTTGATAGATAGCTCTGATTCTTTAATACACCATGAACTTATGGATTAAATGTTAGCAAATGATTATAAAATGTTCAATTTATCTATTTCTCAATTAAAATGTAGCAATGACAATACTTCTGTGGCATTTGAGTCTTGAATATGTTTTCCTTTATAAACTTGTGCTCAGTGGACCATGTAATAATATATTAAAGATGAGCCAGGAGTAAGGAGCTCATTAAGTAGTCTTATGCATACACACAGGGCCGACGTTCCTGACTGTCTCTTAGTGCACTAGAGAAATGACATTAATCTTATGAATTTTGAAATGGGTCATTTTGTCTCATTTACGCATGAGTTTGGCAAATATCGTTGATTTTCACACAACAGCTAAATAAGAGGGACAGGCACACTCCCATTTAGTTTCACTCCTTCAAAACTTTGCGGTTCAGAAATTAAAATCACTTGCTCAGCGTGAACTTACTTTTTGTTTTGTTGTATTTTAATTTTCTCAGGGGTGAAGGTGTAACCCATAGATTTAAAGTCTGATAAATACTTTCCCGAGAGGAACAATATTATTCTTACCTGGGCAAGTGACAGTAGGATCCCATACGCCATCCAGACATGTAACTGCCGGGTAAATATCAGTAGAATACAGACAGGTAAAGCTGGCAACATCACCATGGTTGTAAGTACCCGAAGGTGTAGCCAAGTTTGGTGATTCGCATGGAACTGTTGGTATAACATTCACATTCAAAATGGATGACAATGGTACAGGACTATGATATAGGATACTCTTAAACGAAATGTACGATGAATACAAGCATGCATTGTTCTTAAGGAAATAGAATTAAAACCAGCGTATAAATGTCCGTGCACTATCTGGAGAGTGGGAATTTCAAATGTTTGGGGAGTCATATTGAGCAATTCTTCGAGAGAGGATTCGAAGCACAAAATAATGAATTCTACTCTCAAGTTAGTAATTCATTCATAACTTTAGAGTAGATTCAACTCCAGCAAATGTTATTCAACCACTTCGTTAGATTAGCACTCTTGTGTGTTTACAGGGTACAGAGTATGCTTCAATAGGGACTTATAGATTTGCGTGGACTGATACGTGTGTCATCCATTCAAGGCAGTGCATTAAAAGGACATCGATCGTAGCAATCCACGTTGTCGTTGTGCAAATCTTAAAGTCCCTAATAGCGTGTAGACTCGTTAGACATGGCTTTCTTGTTCTTGTTAGATAACAAATAAATTTCAGTCGATCTATGTAGGTTTTCATAATGATAATTAAAGAATATATATTATAATTTAATGTGTTTTAAAAACGAATTTAACTTACGATTACAAGTGACTAAACTTGCATCAGGACTCCATGTGCCATCTTCACAAGCGGTTGAAGATGTGCCTTCAAGAGCTCCACTAGAGCAGGAAAAGTCCAAGACACTGTTGTGTTCATACACATCTTCACTAGTAAAGTATTCACCCGAGGACACGGTTACAGTCACACTGCTCCACGAGTAAGGGGCGCATGGTGCTGAAGTTTGAGAATAGAATATATATGTGATAAAAAATGTAATTCATGGCTTTCCATTTTACAACACGAGTCAAAAGATATACATGTACTTTTATATAATTTCATATACACTTTTCCTATTTTCCATTCAGTTCGCAGCCCGAATTCCTCAAACTTGATACTTTGATGAAAGCTACAGAGACCATTGCATTTGATTGATTGTCAAAATGAAAATATGTCTTTATAATGGCAATTATTAATCGCACTTTTATAGTTCTATTTTTTTTTTCTCAGATGCTCAGAAAATTCTCAAGGGGTTTTCCACCACGCTGTCAAATTGCTAAATCACGTTTTATCAGTGTGCTTATGTCTAATATTTCAAGTGAAATTAATTGGTTAGCTTTTGTTCATTTAAATATGCATGGGAAGAGCCTCAGCACAATATTAGTTTTTATATCCTGCATCAAAAATTTGTTGGTTTCTGATTGGTTGAGAGCTCGTCACATGACCAAAAATATTTGAGCTATTTTTAGAAAGTACTATATGAGAGTACTATTTTGGCTTACTATTTGGGAGTTGAAAAAAAATGTGATTTTTTTTTTTTTGTTGAATTGAATCAATTTTTTTTCTTCAAATCTTAATTTAATGAAAACAAAATATTTTAAATCTATTTAGATAAAAATTGACATTTTTTTTGTTCTATTTTTTTTTCCAAAAATATTTTTTTTTTTTTTTTAATACATTTTTGCTGCAGGATATAAAACAAATATACCATGCCTTCTATTCGAGGTACTGGTTAAACTATGGGCCTCGGTGACTCCAAAAGTATCATTTGCTTCGGGGCTGCGCCCCTCAGCAAATAGTACTATTGGAGTCACCTCTTGCGCATAGTTTTAACCAGAACCTCTCAAGGCAGTGAATATTTGTATACTAGTGCATGTATTTGCATTTGAGGTACCAGTGAGTCTGATTAAAGGACAATTCAACCCTTGCAATAAGTTGATTTAAATGAAAACGGAACAATAAGAGAAACAGAATGTCGAAAGTTTGAAATGAATCAGACCGATAGTAAAGAAGTTATCAATGTTTGAAATAAGCGATCACTAAGTTCTATGCCAATCTCAAATTGGAAGTTCGGTCATTGGATTGTGACGTAGGACGTGGATAACTTTCCCTCTTGTCGTGTACAAAATATCATTAATTTCTGTTTTTCTCGTAAATTCTTTCTTCCTTGGGGCACTTCTCAAAATATATTATTTGTAGCATATTATAGGTCCTCTAAAAAGAATAGATCCTCCTGAGCCATGAATTGTAAATGTAAATTTTAGTCATTTTATATGTTGGAACAGATGGGAAAGTAGTCCGGCACTACATCACATCAATATTACCGTTGCAGCCAATTTGAGATGCCCATACGTACAGTGATTACAACTTTCAAAAAATCATGACTCTCTCATATTTCTTTAGTTAGCTTCTCTCAATCGTCTGCCTTCTTTTAGAGTAGTTGTCTATTTTGGTCGGATTTCCATTTAAGAATTTTACGGAACGTTTAATAAAGTGAGGTGGTATAGTGGATATTTTACTTGACTCTCAATCTAAGGATTGTGGGTTCGATTCCCAGCCCGTTACTAACGATCTTTGGCAATACATGAACCTACATTTGCCACTCTCCAGGTCTTTACGGGTACCCGAGGTGCTATTGCGATCGTTATCAGTTAACCGCTCGTCTATGACGGGGTACTATTAGGGACTTTTAGATTCTGCACGACGAGAACGTGGACTGCCCTTTTAAGGCAATGTGACGTAACTGACAGTGCCTTAAAAGGACGTCACATTGCCTTAAAAGGGCAGTCCACGTTCTCGTCGTGCAGTATCTAAAAGTCCCTATTGTTGAGCGCCAGTGCTTCACGTCGCCATTTACAAAGCACCAATATCAAAATCAATTATAATATCATTATTAGTATTATCATCATCACCATTATTGAAAGCATTGATCATATTGAGGATATATAAATACCCGAACGAAAATCATACTTTGAAAAGAAAAGTAACATGTTCCTATAAAACCGCAAAGGGGCCTTATAAAATCAAACTGATCTCAATTATTCTTCAGCACGCTCTTGAATAATCCATCGTACATGTATGAGATAAAAAATATTCCTGGCATCTTGAAATTGCAAATACCGATGCTTTGCAGCTATTTGTTAACTAAAAATGTCTACTCAGTTTTGTATACCCATATTTCTTTTATTTTGGGAGACATAGTGGACAAAAGCACGAAACATAATATGGGAACTTATCAAGCCTAGAGTTAAATTATATCCACAGAACTCACTAACTTACATTTCATCTTCATGTCTAATTTGTGGAAATTATATGAGTTTTGGAAGTATTACACGGGCATTCAAATTTTACCTCTTCAACACACATATATATATATATAAATAGTCTTATTCCTCTTTACAGAACGCACACACTCGAATCGTTTTCATGTTTAATAGTATTCCAAATTTTGCAGATTGTTATGAATCTAGCTGTGCTGGTGAAGAGAGCATCGATAAACCAGTCAACTGTTGTCAACACAGCTGATTGAATTGGAAGCCGTCATGCAAAAATGTATCGCAGCTTCAAGCATGACTAGTATAAGTAGTACAGTTTGAAGAAAAAAACATTGCTTAACAAAAATAGCAGTAGAATCAAAACGCCTTCCCCCAAATGAATGATCTTGGGGTACTTTTAGTCGGAAAACAAAACCAAATGAAATAGTGTCAGTGATGTCAATTGTATGAGAGTCGGAATTGTAGGCCCCATTACGAGCTAAATCTACAGACTCCGTTTAAATGTGCATTATTAATCATAAAGAACAACTTTTAGTCTGTATTTTATATGGAAAACTATCAACACAGAATAGCTACATATCAAACAGTATGTTCGTGAGATATGATATCAATACCAAACCAAGGGGCAGCTAAATATACAGCAATGTGCATGCATTTGTATTATTAACCGTGAACAGAAATTGATTTTGACTTCTTTGGTGAAGAGTAAACTAAACGCATTTTCAGGAGTTAAAAATTGAGTACCAATGTAGTACCTCCAAGATACGTGAAAGTTTGATAAATTATTTTGGGGGTTTAATCATCAGATGTTGTTTATATTGTAATAATTTGGTAGTTTTATATAATATTATTATTCCTTACCGGAGCAAGAGTAGTCCTCAGGTGAAAAACTCCAGACATTGGTCCCCTGACACATGTTGAATTCAGGCAGAT